ATTGACAAAGCCGATCTTTTCTAGTCTTTTGAACCATATCGCTTTTGTTTCTGGTTCTGATATTGTCATATTTTAGTTTTGGGATTCGGATATTGTAATTGTGTGGTTGTTGGATGTCCTAACACCGGAAAACGAAATTTGTTTGCGAACTTCATAAATGCTAAAAGGGAATCAGATGTGTGTGACTGCAAACCTCCGTTCAAACTGTTTCCCTCCCCAACAGAATTGAAAAATAGTGAAAGGTGAGGTTCATACTGTAGTAATATCGTATCGTGAGACTTGGGTATCGTTACACCCCTATTTGTTATTGATAATTTACGCAAAACTTAAAAAACTTAAATAAATATAGGCTACAAATATGAACCTTAGAGCAGTTTTGTAATGTATAAAACTTAAAATTTATAAAATATACTTTTAAAATGAAATAAGGCATGAAAAAACATAAATGCATCCAAAATAAACTCTATATACAGCTATTCTACAATCTCTATATTTTACTTTAAATTGACTCAATTTGAACTCGATTATATGAGTTTGGAGATCGTTTGACACACACATTGAAAATTGCGATCAAAATTTAAACCCTTTTTCTTCATGCAGATGTTATTGCTTTGTCTGGTTTGTACGGAATGTGTTTTTATCTTCAACAAGACCAAACCTGACCAAGAAGCAGGCAGGTGACAGACCACCAACCAAAAGGTTACACAGTGCACTTTTAAAAAACAGTATTTTTCCCATTTAACACAATAATATAACCACTGTTTTTCCTCCAATCTGAACTCTGCTCCAAACCGCAGACCGCCCCCGTCAGCCAAAACACTGACGTTTTCTAAAACATTTAAAAAGTGCACAGTCAGAGGCCACAGAAGGTAAAAGAAGCTTATGTCACACAGTCAGCAGTTACCCCCCAAGCAGCTCCCAAATCCCTGAGATAAGATTCAATTTCCTGACTATCTACATTCATGAACATTTCTCCTCCCATTTAAAGCAGTGATGTGGAACCCTCTATCTGGTCTCTCTCCTCCAGGTTGGTTTTGATGTTGATAAGTCAAAGTTAACTCCTTGGGATTCCTTTTTAACTCATCATGCCTTCAGTTCACCCAGTCCAGAGACACATGAGCACATGACAGATAGGGCTCTATCAGTGACCCAAATCCGATTTTTTGGCTTCTATGGCTACGTTCAGACAGCAGGGCTTAACGCTCAATTCTGATTTTTTTCTAAAATCCGATGTTTTTGCGAGGTTGTTCACATTTCCAATTAAATGCAACTTGTATGTGATCTCCAGTGTGAACAGTAAAAGGCCCGAAAGTGTCCCACATGCGCACTAGAGGACACGATGATGTCAACTGCAGTGAGCGTGCGCTGTGTTTACGGAAGTTGTCCAAACATGGAGGCGAGCATTAAGAACCTGGCGATTTTAAAGTTCCTCTCGTACTGGAGCCAGAACATGAACAATTTACTTGTTTTAAGGAGGAGATTGAGAAGGAGAAGGACGAGGTTTTTGGCTGTGGTGTTTTGTGGGACAGCGGCAGCGATGTCCGTTGAAAGGAACTTGTGGATGCGGAGACGTAGCCAAGAGTGGTGAGTGGAGATGTGCTTCGCTTTAGTGACATGGAGTTCGTTAACAATTTTCGCCTACTTTAGCGCAGAATAGTGACGTCTGTGGCTTGTTGATAACGTGTAGGTCAGATGAATGCGCTTTGGCTGTTCACACTGAAGTCACATGTCAAAAGATCGGATATGTATCGGTTTCAGGACCACATATCCAAGTGGCCTGGGTCACATTTGAAAAAATTGGATCTGTGTCGTTCAGACTGTCATTAAAAGATCAGATACAGGTCACATAGAAGCCAAAAAATTGGATTTTGGTCACTTCAGGCTGCAGTCTGAACGCAGCCTATGTGACCTGTATCTGATCTTTTAATGACAGTCTGAACGACACAGATCTGATTTTTTAAAATGCGACCCAGATATGTGGTCCTAAAACCGATACATATCCGATGTTTTGACATGTGACTTCAGTCTGAACGGCCAAAGGACATTCATCCGACCTACACGTTATCAACAAGCCACAAACGTCACTATTCTGCGCTGAAGTTGGTGAAAATTGTTAATGAACTCCATGTCACTGAAGCGAAGCACATCACCACTCACCACTCTTGGCTACATCTCCACATCCACACGTTCCTTTCAACGGACTGTCCCACAAAACACCACGGCCAAAAACCTCATCCTTCTCCTTCTCAATCTCCTCCTTAAAACAAGTAGGTTGTTCATGTTCTGGCTCCGGTACGAGAGGAACTTTAAAATCTCCAGGTGCTCAATGCTCGTGTCCATGTTTGGACAACTTCCGTAAACACAGAGCACGCTCGCTACGGTTGACGTCGTCGTGTCTCCAGTGCACATGCGGGACACTTTTGGGCCGTTTAATGTTCACACTGGAGATCACATACAAGTAGCATTTAATTGGAAGTGTGAACAACCTCGCAAAAACATCGGATTTCACAAAAAAATCTGGGCTCATTTATTATCGTACTGGGGAGAGGCAGGACGGAGACACGAAAACCTCTTTTAAAGATTTGTTGCGTACAAAGAAAAAGATTCACAGTTTACAGTTTAGAAAGTCATCTCCAGATCAACTGCAGGGAGTGTTCCTGAGTCCCACAGTGTCTGGTTCGATGCAGTATTAGTCTGTACTCATGTTGTGGAAAAAATTATATATCTCTTGATGATTCCAGTTTTTGGAATACAGACCAAGGTTTATTCTTGTTACTGCAGATATGGACAGGGCCTAAGCCTCTCCTCCCCTCTCCTCCCCAGCAGTATGTCACTCCTCTCTGGGCATCCCCTGGTTTAGTCCTGGTTGAATCCTGATTTAGCCCTGGTTTGGACCTGGTTTAGACCTGATTTAGTCCTGGTTTAGACCTGGGTTTAGTCCTGGTTTAGTCCTAGTTTAGACCTGGTTTAGATCTGGTTTAGACCTGGTTTAGTCCTGGTTTGGACCTGGGTTTAGGCCTGGTTTGGACCTTGGTTTAGACCTGATTTAGACCTGGTTTAGTTCTGGTTTAGTCCTGATTTAGTCCTGGTTTAGACCTGGTTTTAGACCTGGTTTTAGACCTGGTTTAGATCTGGTTTAGTCGTGGTTTAGTCTTGGTTTAGTCCTGGTTTAGACCTGGTTTTAGACCTGGTTTAGTGTCCGGCAATGAGTGGAATTACCGAGAAAAAAAAGGGATATAACCCAAAATGTGAAAACAGGAAAATACCGCTGTGTAATCCATTTATTATTTATTAAGTAACTGTAATCTAATTACCACTCACTTAAACAGTAACTGTAACTGAATACAGTTACTCATAATTTGTACTCTGATAACATAACTCTGGTACATGTAATCTGTTACTCCCCAACACTGCATACATATCAAAGCAGAGTGACCTGTTTCACAGCCTTGTGCTAATCAACTATACATTTGAGGACAGCTAAGACAACAAAGGGCTTCCTGAGTGGGGACAGTTTGTCTGCTGAGCCTTTACACATTCTGACGACTGGTCTGGTCTCAGGTAGAAATCACATTCATTTACACAAAGACTTCTTCTTTCCACAGTATAAAATTCCATCACACGTGTTCTGAAGTTACACGGCCTATTAAGACCAGAGGCATATGACCTGTATGTAAACAGATTATTTCCAGCTTTTGCAAAGATTTACACAAGGTTTGAGGAGGAGTTCACTTCACATGAAATGTTGTACATTATTGAAATGAAGAAAATAAATGAGGGAGTATACAAGTTCAATACGAAATATGAAAATCATTTTTAAATCCAGGAACAAGAACAAACATTTTAATGGAAAACTGAGTTCCATTAGTTGGCAGCGTTCTCAACATCTGACAGGTTTAGTTATGATTGTAGAAACTACGAAAGTGCAGGCTGCTTTGTATCTGCTGTTAGGTCACATTTATGGAATTTTAATCCTGTAAACGTGCACTAAGTAAAGTTTTGGTTGGGTCTGCCTCCTGTTTGTTTTTATGGATATGTCATTGCTGTGCCTGGAATGTTCCACAGTGTGGCATTAAACAGCTCTACTTTACATTTATTAAATTACAGGTGATTTTATAGCAATAAGAAAAACAGGGATTCTGACTGAGAGCAGGGTCACTTCTCCACTGAACCAGGACTAAACCAGGACTGAACCAGGACTAAAACAGGACTAAACCAGGACCGAACCAAGACTAAACCAGGACTAAAACAGGACTAAAACAGGACTAAACCAGGGCTGAATCAGAACTGAACCAGGACTAAAACAGGACTAAACCAGGTCTAAAACAAGACTTAACCAGGACTAAAACAGGACTAAAACAGGTCTAAACCAGGACTAAGACAAGACTTAACCAGGACTAAAACAGGACTAAAACAGGTCTAAACCAGGACTAAAACAAGACTAAACCAGGAGTAAAACAGAACTAAATCAGGATTAAAACAAGACTAAAACAGGTCTAAACCAGGAGTAAAAGAGGACTAAACCAGGTCTAAAACAGGTCTAAACCAGGAGTAAAACAGGACTAAATCAGGACTAAAACAAGACTAAAACAGGTCTAAACCAGGAGTAAAACAGGACTAAACCAGGTCTAAAACAGGTCTAAACCAGGACTAAGACAGGATTAAACCAGGTCTAAACCAGGACTAAAACAGGCCTAAACCAGGGCTGAACCAGGTCTGTGAGCAGGGTCACTTCTCCACAGATCTGACCTGTAACTTTGTTTGGTCTTCATGAAGATAGAAAGGTTTAATGTCATACTGTGAAACATTCCAGACCAACAATAACTCCGTGGACAAAAGCATTTGACAGATTCTCCACCAGAAAAGTTACACAATGCACCTTTACAGCACTGGTAACAACAGTTCAGTTGTGATTGTAGCACTTTTTCAAAAACTAAGAGCACACTTTACCTACAGTTCCTTTAAAAAGTCACAATTCTTCTGTCTGTGTGTCTCCCCAGCCTCGGTCCATCCCCGGAGCCAGCATCCCCGCAGCAGCCCAGGACCTGTACCCCCTGGCCCTGAACCTAGTGGCGGGTCAGGCGAAGGACAGTTCGAAGCTGGCCAAGTTCTGGGTTGTGCGTTTCGGGGAGAGCGCCGCTGTGGCCCCGGAGCTGAAGGCCTGTCAAGCGTTTTGTCTGACGAAGGATCTGAACAAGCTGTGCAGACGTCTCCACCAAAACGAAGGGAACGGCGGCGTAACGGTGGCCAACGTCCTGCTGCGCGGAAACTTCTGCAGCGGACGGAGCGCGGAGAAGCTCGCTGCCGCTGTACAGGATTTAAACGAACGGCACGCGGGTAAAGATCAGGACGCTGTGGGAAACTTTCAAAACGTGTAACGCATTTAAGTCCATTTTCTGATAATTGATTCTATGCAGCTCCCTGGGCGTGTGATGTAAACCAGGTCTAAACCAGGACTAAACCAGATCTAAAACAGGGCTGAATCAGGACTAAACCAGGACTAAAACAGAACTAAACTAGGACTGAACCAGGACTAAACCAGGACTAAACCAGGACTAAACCAGATCTAAAACAGGGCTGAATCAGGACTGAACCAGGACTAAAACAAGACTGAACCAAGTCTAAAAAAGGATTAAACCAAGACTAAACCAGGACTAAAACAGGACTAAACCAGGTCTAAAACAGGACTAAACCAAGACTAAACCAGGACTGAACCAGGACTACTAAACCAGGACTAAAACAGGACTAAACCAGGGCTGAATCAGGACTAAAACAGGACTAAACCAGGTCTAAAACAAGACTTAACCAGGACTAAAACAGGACCGGTAGTTCCAGTTTGACATTTAAGTTGTAGCTATTTTATATTTGTTATTTTTTTTATCTCTCACGTTGGGAGAAGTGCGTGGGTGCTTTTTGGTTTATTTTACTAAATAATTTTGTTACAGCTACAGTTTTGTTGCTTGTTCAGAGGAAGGAAATTCATTTATGCAACACATTTGAAATTTTCACAGTTTGTTCAATATATTTTGATGGTCCACAATATTATTTTGAGAACTTTGATGATACGATATCACGATATTTTGGTTATTAGAATGTAGAATGTATGCTAGAATGTATGCCTCTCTTTACAGTTGGCAGAGATCAGATTGGTCAAAAATAGTTACATTTCATGTGTAAAACTGTGACATATCACTGGTTTTAGATAAATCTGCTTGGACAGGGCTCAAAACTGTGACTGTCCCGTGTAAAAAGGGATGTCTGGACACATTATATTTTTGCTGTGTGCTTTGTGTCACCATGGTAACTGATGACCATTTGTGATGTGGTCAAACTTTTTAAAAATGTTTTTATGTAAATATCTTTCAATTTTTTCTTGTCAGAGTGGGCTGATCTCACTTCGGGACCTCACATTCGTTCGTGGGGACGTGGGCACTTGAGCGGGTGATCATTTTGTGCACTTTTGGATTTTTTTTTCCACTTTTAAACTGATGAACATTCCTCCATAAAGATACACACATACACCCAGCATCATGTCACTGTAAAGCATCAATAAACTGTATAAAATATGTTCTACAATTTCATGAAGTTCAGATATGAGGGCAAGGGCTCATGTAATTCAGCGTTAACATGCACACGAGTCTTAACCCGGTTATCACATGATTCTGGATATGATGAAAACCTCAACTTTATTAATTAATAAAACATACTTATATTGATATATGTGTAAAATAAAACACATGTAGCTTCTTAGTGGTCCCAAAATGGAAGGAAAAAACACTGTTGCATGTCCAAAACTGTGGAATGTACCTTCTATTTTTTAAATCGGCTTTTAAAATTCAGCTCTTCTACAGACGTTTACAGTGTTCAATGTGTTTTTATGTGTTTATATTTTTTGCTTTCTGTTTGTTTTTTATCGTCTTTTGTAATTATTGCTGTGTACTGCACTTTAATCCGATGCTTTGTTTTTAAAGTGTATTAGAAATAAAGTTGGATTATAGGCATTTCTCAAAAGGGCCACTATTTTACTATTCTTATCTTTTTTATCTGTGTGTGTCGGCAACCACTTTACACTCTATGCTTTTGGAATATTTTGGTTCTTTGCCTATTATGTGTTTTTGATATCTTATATTTTTATTGTAAACAAAAGTAAAAATGTTTAGTTCAAGTTCAAGTTGCTGTTGTTAAGAAAAGCGCTTTTGAAAAAATAATTCTTGTCAATTTACTGAAATGGGGTGTCGTGCAAAGCGAAGTTATTACATGTTATATTACATTGTTCCCTCATCAAAATAAAATTAATAACATAAAACATAAAATAACATACAACATAAAATAATAAAATAAAACAAAATAAAGTAAAACTAAATAAAATAAAACAGAATTAAACTAAACAAAATGAAATTAAACAAAATAAAATAGAATAAACAAAAACAAATTTAAACAAATGAAAAATAAATAAAATAAAATAAAAAACTAAAAAAAATTTAAATAAATGAAAAATAAATAAAATAAAATAAAACAAAAGAAAATACATAAACAAAAACAAATTTAGACAAAAAAAAAACTAAATAAAATAAAGTAAAGTAAAGTAAAGTAAAGTAAAGTAAAATGAAATTAAATTTAAATAAATTTAAATAAAGTAAAGTAAGGTGAAGTGAAGTGAACTGAAATAAAATAAATAAATAAAATAAATAAAATAAAAGCGTTTTAGTGTTGACCCTTTTTAGCCAATAGAAACCGTCGCTCTGAGTCACGTGAACAAACGCGGAAGTTGTTGTTGTTATGAAGCGTTAGCATGGCTCCCACAGCATGAATGAATCGTCTCGTGTTGAGGCTGTTTAAACTACATTTCCAGTGATTTTAGTGACGGTATTTGCAAAAAAAAAAATATCAAGAAATAAACCATGACTCAGGCGGAAAAGGACCAAGAAAACGGCAAAGAGAAAGAAAAGGAGCGAGACAAGGAGAAAGAGAAGGAGCAGCAGCGGGGAGTGAAGAGACCCATCGCCCCGGCCGCGGTGCCCGATCTCCCGCAGGAGGTCAGTAAGACTCCCGGGGAAGTCTGCTCGTCCTGGGGCTTTGATTTCATACAGGCTGAGGGTGTCCAGACGTCCCTGTTTTGAGTCCTGTGTCCCCTGTCCCAGCAGATTTATACAAAACCAGTGATTTGTCCCAGTTTTATACAAGAAATGTCCCAGGTGTCCAGTTTTGGGAGTGTTACTTTTAAAATGTATTCCCCTACAGATTACAGATTACATACTCCAAAATGTAGTCTGTAACGTAATCCATTAAATTACTTAAAGTGAGTAATGTAATCTGAATACTTTGGATTACTTGATTTGCTGTAGAGAAGCAAAGACCAGGAAATCTTCACATAAGTTTTGTTTGCTAAAAGACAAAGAAAAGTCCAGACTTTACTTAACTAGATTAAAAATATTATTGATAGAAGAGGAGGAGACATGGTCCACGCAGCATGGTTTAGTCCAGTCCTGGTTTAGTCCTGGTTTATTTAGTCCTGGTTTACTGGTTTAGGTTTACCTGGTTTTAGTCCTGGTTTAGTCCTGGTTTAGTCCTGGTTTAGACCTGGTCCTTTTAGTCCTGGTTTTAGACCTGGTTTTACTGGTTTAGTCCTGGTTTAGTCCTGCTTTAGTCCTGGTTTAGACCTGGTTTTAGTCCTGGTTTAGTCCTGGTTTTACCTGGTTTTAGACCTGGTTTAGACCTGGTTTTTAGTCCTGGTTTTAGTCCTAGTCCTGGCTTTAGTCCTGGTTTAGACCTGGTTTAGTGTCCGGCAATGAGCGGAATTACCGAAAAAAAAAAAGGATTACAGCCCAAAATGTGAAAACAGATAAATACAGCTGTGTAATCCATTTATTTCAACAAAGTAACTGTAATTCAATTACCACTCATTGAAACAGTAACTGTAACTGAATACAGTTTCTCATAATTTGTACTCTGATTACATAACGCTACTTACTCCCCAACACTGCTGGTGTCCCTATTTTTGACGAATTTGATCCCTGCCAACTGCAATGAGAGGTATACATTAACATTTTATTAGGTAAAATACAGGAAAGCTGCCTTTAAATTTCCAAAACACAATGAAAATGTGACTATACTGACTCATATGTTAGTTATGAATGGGCCAAGTACACAGTTTTATTTGTTTTATTTGTACTTGTTGAATTCATACATTTGATTCCTCACACTGTGCAGTTACAAGATTAAAGGGCCTATATTGTGCTATTTTCTGATTTATGTTGTAATTTTCTTTCCTCACACATGTTTAACACACAAACCCTGCATATTTACATTTAGAGTTCTTCTCTCAAACTGAAAACAACACTCTCCACTGTGTTTTTAAACTCCACACACCTTCACTAGAATCATTTGGATCATTTCAGCCCTGGAATTACCAATTTCTTCTGTTCAAAAAGGTGAAAGGTAGCTGTTAACTTGAAAACTACTACTACTATTTCATGACATCACCAGGTGGAACATAGAGGCTTGGAGGTAACAGTAATGGGACTCCAGAGCGTCATGTCCTGATTTTCTACCAGGAAGTATAATTTAAAACCTACAAATTGGCCAAACTGGGAGGAAATATTGAAATGTTATCTTAAATCTTAAATATTATTATCTTAAAATGAGTCTAATCTATGTATATTTTAACCAAACAGTTCCATAAACACAAATCAGTAAAATCTCAACTTTATTTATTAAAAAACATACACATATTGACATAGGTGTAAAATAAGACACATGTAGGCTATGCAGCTTGTTAGTAGTCCAAAAATTGAAGGAAAAACTTGAAAAAAAAATGCTGTTGCACATCCGAAACTTTGAGCTTTGAAGGTGTAGACAGAGCGCAAATTTAAGCCCCTAGAAATCTGTGATAAATCAAAAGCACATGTGTAAAAGTACATATTCTACAAGTACATTTGCCAAATTTTAACCCTTGAAAATTTGAAGCACCAACCTTAAATAGTTTTTTTGATACAGCAAACTGAAAGTGGCTCCTCTGAAAACTCTGCTCAAAACAGGTCAGGGCAGAGTTGACAAAATATTTTTAATGACAAAACTATAAGGAGTTGGGAGCTAAAATTTGGGACTTTTCCTGTTGGAAAGTTTGTGAACCTCCTAGAATTTTTTTCAGTCATATTTGAGGTGATCAAGGGGGGGCATTTGAAGATTTGAGGTGGAATGACTTTATAACCTGGTAAAAACTTATTACCTCTTTTTGTAGGTCAATGTTTTTATGTGAATTGTCCCTGATAAATAAACTAAACTAAACCAAATTGCCAATCTCTTCTAACCAAAAAGGTAAAAGGTAGCTGTTTACTTGAAAACTACTAATACTTCATGACATCTCAAGGTGGAACAGAGAATTTTGAGCTGTAGGTGTAGACAGCCTATTAATAAAGGATTACTCAAACAACTCCAGCTGTATTTTGGTGAGGTAACAGCATTATAACTTTTCCCTTGTGCCTTTTAGCAAATCCAGAGCAACTTTGTGATCGTGATCCACCCGGGCTCCAGGACACTGCGGATCGGTCGAGCCACAGACACCCTCCCCTCAACCCTGCCCCATGTGATCGCGCGCAGACACAAGCACAGCGAGCAGGAGCGCTACGAGGACAACTGGCTGCTCAGAGACGGGCTCAACGTAAGTCCCCACTCCTTTGTCCACACCTCACCCAAGCTGTGTCTCATTTCTCTTTTCTCGCTTCCTTCTTCTTGAGTCCTCTCCTCGATTCTGCAGGAAGGTTCTGGGTGAGGAATTCCCGCCCACAGAGGAGACACAGGGAGGAGAGAGGATATAAACTCCTCACTGAGACCAATAGAGTTTGAGAAAGAAGCGAGGAAAGAGAAATGAGACACAGCTCTAGTATCTACTACCGTATTTTGGCACACACATAACCGGGGTACACTGGATGTTACAGGTTGAAACAGGTCAAGGTAACCAAGGTCAAATATGCGTTTTTGGTCATAACTCTGTGAAGGATCGAGTTAGAGCAATGGGAGTGGTCTCAAAATCTCAGAAAAAGTAAACACAGACATTCTCATGTGTGACCAATATCACACAAATGTTCATGGGCCTGTACAGATACACACATTGCATTGTGGATATAACGATCATGTAATATGGGCTGGGCTCCTCATAAGCTGGCTTCCCTTGTGGATCAATAAAGATTGTCTAAGTTTTTTATGTTTGTGTTTGTAGAAGCCTGAGAGCACTGAGCAGAGACTGAATGGACTCAAAATGGTGGACCAGGCCATTTGGTCCAAGAAGATGTCCAACGGAGTGAGGAGGACGCCTGTGTCTGCGGAACAGGTCTGAACTTTGACACAATGAAGTACATCCATGGTAGTGTGTTGAGATTTGTTTGTTTATTTAAAAGTGCACTGTGTACCTTTTCTCGTGGAGGATCTGCTGTTATTGCTTTGCCTGGGATGTTCCACAGATTGGCATTAAACTAATATATTTATTCATTTATTATTTTTTTCAGACACAAATATTATTCGACCCATGGCTAAAAAGAAAAGCTGGATACAAAAAAATATTTTAAATAATTCGTTTCTGGCATATCTTGCATTTATTCAATTAAAAGAGTTTTTATTTCTCAAAAACTAACAGTCTCAAGGATACTGTGCTTCCTAGAGATGCCATATTGTGCCGCAATGTTAACTGCACCAATTCTGAACATGGTGCTCATCTGGGCCTCCTATATGACACTGTTGTGAATGCTCTTATTATGTCTGGCCGGGCTCTATGTAAAAGGAGGGGTAATGGTCATAGTGGTAAACCTGGGTGGAACAGGTTTGTTGAAGAGCCTCACGCTGAAGCACGGCGGGCTTTCAAGGCTTGGGTTGCTGCTGGAAGGCCTAGATATGGACCTGTCTTTGAAGGGAAAAAACGGGCTAATTCTCAGTTTAAGTATGCTCTTAGGTATATTAGGAGGAATGAAAACACCTTAAGGGCCAACTCTCTTGCATCAAAATTGCAAAACAATGGATACAGTGACTTCTGGAAAGAGATCAAAATGTTAAACAGATGTAGAACTTCTCTCCCATCTAATGTTAATGGTGTGAGTGGCTCTAAGGATATCTGTCAGCTATGGAGGAATTTTTACTATGACTTGTTCAACTGTGTTAAAAGCAATGTTAATGTGATTGAGGCTGTAGAAAACCACGCAGGGGTTATAGTTACTCCTCAAGAGGTATTTCATGCTGTCTCTAGACTAAAGAATAACAAATCCAGTGGGATAGACCAGGTGACATCTGAACACCTGAAGTTTGCTAGTGCTAAGCTGTATCCACTCCTAGCCATCTGCTTTACTGGGTTCCTGGTCCATGGTCTCTTGCCAGAGTCTCTCCTGTCTATTGTTTTGGTTCCTGTTGTCAAAAATAAAATGAGTAAACTTAGTGACATTAACAATTATCGGCCAATAGCACTGGCTAGCTCATTGTCAAAGGTGCTAGAGAGGATTCTGTTAACCAGACTTGAGCCATACCTGTACACTACAGCTAATCAGTTTGGCTTTAAGCATGGTCATGGCACTGACACATGTATCTTTGCACTGAAGGAGATGTTGGATAAATATAATTCCCAGGGGTCCACTATATTCATGTGTTTTTTAGATGCTTCTAAAGCATTTGATCGGATTAATCATGGGAAACTATTCAGCAAATTAACAAACCGAGGTGTTCCAGGGGTACCTCATTAGAATACTTATCTTCTGGTATACCTGTCAGTCCATGCAGGTGAAATGGGGTGATTCTACTTCTGACTCTTTTAGGGTCAGTAATGGAGTTCGCCAGGGTGGAATCCTGTCTCCCCTTCTGTTTAATATCTATGTTGATGACCTGTCTGTGCAGCTGAATGAATGTAAAATTGGATGTTTTGCTGGTGATTATCTGTATAATCATTTAATGTATGCAGATGACCTAGTACTGCTGTGTGTCCTTACAGTGCAGGTCTGCAGCAGCTTTTTAAATATCTGATTGTGCATGCTCACCAATTATGTGCTGTTGCCAACTATGTATATATACACATTGTTTGCAGAGTTTACATTATAACGACTCTTTGAGAATATTACTGAAAAAGGTTCAGCGCCAGTGATGTGAGATGTTGCTGTCAATTTATTCAATTTATGTGTAGAGCTGTGAATCTGAGTAATCAAATCATTGAAGCTCTAGTGTGTCCTGTGAGGAGCTCTGTCAGATTCACCTCTAAGCTGTGGAGACACTGGCGCTCTTGTCTGTATACGTTATAACATGCACTGTATTTAACTTTTTATTCTTACTATTGTTTTTTTTTTTTTTTTATACTATGAACCAGATATCATGTGTTCTTAATAAAGATTGAATTGAATTGAATTGAATTAACACAAAAACATGGATTATTACTGTGAGTGGGCCCACTTCTCCACAGATATGACCTGTAACTTGGCCTTGTCTTGTGGATAGTTACATTAAATGCCATACTGTAGAACATTCAAAGGTAAAAACGATAACATCTACATCAGAGATGGACAATTATTTTTTCCTTGGGGCCACATAAGAAACAGAAAATATTGTGAAGGGTCAAAATGCCTAAATATGCAGGATTTGTGCTTTAAACATGTGAATGAAATAAAAAAACACAGGTCCAGGTCTGTTTGTGATGAGGAAACAATATTATAACATGAATCAGTAAATAGTGAAACATGGGCCCTTAAACAGTAAACAGATTGACTCTAATTGACTCACATTAACAGTAAATACATAACAGCAACTTCTGTCTTTTGTGTTGTTGTGTGTGTTGATGACAGGCGCGGGCCTACAACTGTCAGGTGCGCCCTGCCGTGTTGGACAGCAGCTCCAGGGTCAAGTGGACCAACACGAGTCATCAGCCCCAGTACCTGGTGGGGGAGGAGGTAATGACACTCTGTGATTTTAAACAGCCTGTGCCTGATTTTACCCGTGTATTTGAGCAAAATATGTCTCCAGTACAGCTCCTAAAGCAGGGGTGTCAAACATACGGCCCGGGGGCCAGATCCGGCCCTCTAAGACCTTTAATCTGGTCCTCTGCTGATTTTCTACTAAAATATTTTAATTATATTTTCTGTTAAAATATTGGTAATTTTCTGCGGTGCTTATCATAGCAGCGTCTCCAGCGCCTCTAAAGTGGACGCCGAGTGCAGGGTTTTCCAAGAAAGACTTATTCCTATTTGCATGCAAGTTAATGTTAAAACATTGTGTTGAAATTGCATTTTTCTTGAAGTTTCAGGTTGTTCATAATATTCTAATATTTAGTAAAATAAAGAGTTCATAATTAAAAAAAAGATTTCTGTAATAGATTTGCGTTTCTCTGCACAAATATTTGAACTTATTGCTATTTTTGGGGTTTATATGCCATTATTTTTTTCTGGCCCCTTTGGGATCAAAGTAGGTTGGATACGGCCCCTAGACCAGGGTTTGACACCCCTGTCCTAAAGTCATCAAGGTGAATAATTAGGATGCTCTAAATGCGCAAAGTGAGTAAGATATAAGACCGATTCACTGCAACTGTTTAAAATGAACAAGTTCTGTTTTTCACAGTTTTTCACATATTCAGGTACACCGCCTTTAAGTCAAATTATTTTGAGTTTTGATTTATTATTTACTTACTTATTATTTACTTTACTTAATTTACTTTAATTTACTTACTTACTTTGCTTTACTTAGCATACTTTACTTACTACTTTACTTTACTTACTTCACTTTACTTACTTACTTTACATTTCTTACATACTTTACTTTTTTTACTTTACATTACTTACCATAATTTACTTACTTACTTTACATTACTTTTCTTTCTTCTTTTCTTTACTTACTTAACTTAACTTAACTTTATTTAAATTACTTACATTATTTACTTATCTTATTTAAAATTCAAATGATTATTATTTTTTTACAGTTGTTTTGTGACCTGACTAACCAAATAAACTTGACATCCCTGGTCTTATTCAGTCTACAGCGTCCGGACCCTCTCTAACCCAAAATCTAACCTGCCCACACCAGATTCATATTGGTGTCACTCTGAATGGACCTCTTCACATTTATCATTCTGAGATGACTCTCACTAAAAGCATTCAGAAAACTTGGCCGAAGCGTCACAACAGCGAAAGAAGCAGAAAAAACACAGCACAGACATCTTCTCTTGACACGTTTTTCACAAACTCAAACGTCTTTATTAAAATAGGCTGATTTCGGCGCTTTGATTTGTCACCCGCCCTATTAACCGTACAGCGGGCATCGAGAAGGATTCTTGTCAGTTTATGAGTTCACAGATATCAGAGAATCCATCTGACAGGGGAGGTTTTTGCCTCGCATCAGCAGTTATTAAACACTGATACAAGCTTCCTGTGAAACTTTTCCTGTCTGTTATTGCGTCTTCACATCAGTGGTTTATTAAACTGTCACTGCTTCACACACCTGTGACAAACCAAATTGTCATCTGCTACATCCTCCTCTGAACAAAGACCCCTTCTGTTGACCTATATTTACTTCAAATGTTGTGGAAAAAGACTCCTGAATGAATACTGAAGCGAAAACGAATATAGTCCAACAGAACAATCAGCAGGATGTCCCTCCCAAGTCAGACCCTGATACAAAGCATTAAGTTTATATACACTGAGATGACCCGAGGAGATACATTTGGGTGTGCTTAATCTGATTTGCATCCATATTCACGTGCACTTCTCACTTCCTGACTAGATTAGCACGCAAAACGAAACAGAGGTGTGTACACTGAAGGGTCTTTCCAAACCAAATGAGTTTTAGTTACAAGATCAAATGTGTTTCTAAAAGATAAATTAATCAATATTTCTTTTTACATAACTTTCAGAACCTTTTTTTTTTCATTTTGACCATTTAATTTTGTAATTCCCTACAAAACAACCATTTCTACATTATCACCGTCCTTGTGTATTCTGAAGTCACACAAAACAGCTCCAGTCGCAGAGTGTGTTTTTCTCTTCAGGCTCTGTATGTGAACCCGTCCGACTGTTACAGTGTGCACTGGCCCATCCGCAGAGGGCAGCTCAACGTCCATTCAGGTCCAGGGGGGTCACTGTCTGCTGTGCTGGCCGATCTACAGACCATCTGGAGCCACGCCATCCACAAACACCTGGACATACCTCTCAAAGACCTAAAGGTACCCAACAAACTTTAGGATTTAAAGTCAAAATCTCAAAGGGTTTATGGATTCAGATTTTCAAAACAGAAATGTGTCTGGTTTTGTCTTGCTCCTGGGCTTTGTACACTGGTGTTTAAAGAAAGAGTATTTTGAAAATTGACTTTTTAAAGCGTTCGGCCGTGTAATAACCAGTGTTGGGAGTAACGCGTTATAAAAGTAACAAATTACTGTAATACGTTGCTTTTTGCTGTAATGCAGTAATGTAAGGCCTTACATCACATCACAATGCATTTTTAACCTGGATTGAAGTGGTTGTTTTTTTTTTTTCTTCATACAAATTCGCTAAAATCACCGCGATATCAGCAGCGGTGAAATGCCGGAGATGTGCCCACGTAGACCGTTGGGTAACTGCGGGCAAAAGGACCGGCACAGAACGGGGCTAAACGCAGCTGACGCCTGATTGCGCTTGGGGGTTCTCTCAGGGTGGTGCTAGATTAGAGTCCTGGTTTGGTCCTGGTTTAGTCTTGGTTTAGACATGGTTTAGACCTGGTTTAGACCTGGTTTAGTCCTGGTTTAGACTTGGTTCAGTTCTGGTTTAATTCTGGTTTAGTCCTGGTTCAGTCCTCCTGGTTCAGTCCTCGATTCAGTCCATATACGGCACAACAGTTCAGCATCTTCAGTTATTTTGTTGGGAGTAACTTAAAAGTGCTGCAATAGTCGTGTAATGTTTTACATTTTAAATACAGTAATATTGAAATGTAGCAAATTACTCTGAAATGGCAGTAACAAGTCATAAATAACACATTACAGTTTTGAAATAACTTGCCCAACAGTAGTAATAACATTCCCTCATCGAACTTCCATGCATGTTTGAGTAATGTTGTGATCTCTCCTAGGCCCTATTCAATTTACTGGACAATGTTGGCTCAGGACATCTTGTAATAGTGTTATAGCCGTGGTGGTAAAAATACGGAGCTGGGGATACAGTTTAGGTTATTTATTTAACAGGAATATCAGTAGTGAACTAGTCAGGCTGGTGCCACATAGTACCTCCGCTCAATTTCATTTCTCTCCAGCGACTACGTCAGGAATCAGAATACACTAGACGGTTTGCAAGAACCCTGGAATCAGGGTTCAGGCACCAGCCAATCAGCGAAGAGCCATGTATTCTGTGTTGGCAATGATTCCCGAGATCGTTATTGCCCTTCTTCCTACGGGATTTGGGAAAAGCTTAACATACCAGTTAGCCCCTTTAGCAGAGCATTACATACGTCATGACCAAATAGCAGCGATTGGTTAAATGAAAAAAAGTACCCACCTACTGTCGAGCGAACGAATTCTAACACTCAATATCAGATCAGTGCGTCCCTGGTACTAACCATTGGTCTGTGGTCCTCCTCTACAAATGTTTCTGTATGGCTCAGTGAATAAAGTAGCCAGGCTGGCACCTCCTCTCAATTTCATTTCTCTCCACACTAGACGGTTTGCACGAACCCCGGAAGTTGCGGACAGTGCACCGGCCAATCAGCGAAGAGCTGTGAAGCCATGACGTTAAACTCAAGCGTCTGTCTGGGTCCCTTCTGTGGAACAGCACAACAGTAAACAAAGCGTCGAGATGGATGTAGACGAAGATATACATTCTGTGTTGGCAACGATTCCTGAGATCGAGGATTTAAAGCCAGAACAAAGAGAATGTTTTGTGAATATTATCAAGGGGAAAAGATGCTATTGTCCTTCTTCCTACAGGATTTGATGCATTTCATACATCACGACCAAATAGCAGCGATTGGTTAAATAAAAAAAAGTACCCACCTACCGTCGAGTGAATGAATCCTAATTTCCACAAAGTGAAACTGACTGATGAATCAGGCTATGAAAAAAGTTGTGACTATTGATATTTTTGTAACGTATTGTGCAGCCCTGATCTAAACGCAGTCGTGTGTGTGTGTCTGTGTGTGTCTGTGTGTGTCTGTGTGTGTCTGTGTGTGTCTGTGTGTATCTGTGTGTGTCTGTGTGTGTTTGTGTTTGTTTGTATGTGTGTGTCAGTATTACAGATGTATCCTGCTGGTTCCGGACATCTACAACCGTCAGCACATAAAGGAGTTGGTGAACTTGCTGCTTCTCCACATGGGCTTCTCAGGTATGAACTTTTACACTGTGTGCTCAGCAGGAATGTAACGACATTCGATATAATATTGAATCGTTCAGTACTGGTGTCATGATTCGATACTCGTGTTCCCTCCATGCGCACTGTGTTGTAATTTATTTTGGTCCAAAATAGAAACAATTTAAACCAGGACTATACCAGGACTATACCAGGTCGAAACCAGGATGAAACCAGGTCGAAACCAGGACTAAACCAGGTCTAAGCCAGAACAAAAACCAGGACGAAACCATGTCCAAACCAGGTCTAAACTAGGTCTAAACCAGGTCTAAACCAGGTCTAAACCAGGTCTAAACCAGGTCTAAACCAGGTCTAAGCCAGAACAAAAACCAGGATGAAACCATGTCCAAACCAGGTCTAAACCAGGTCTAAACCAGAATGAAAACCAGGTCTAAACCAGGAAGAAACCAAGACGAAACCAGGACGAAACCAGGTCTAAACCAGGTCTAAACCAGAACGAAAACCAGGTCGAAACCAGGTCGAAACCAGGCCGAAACCAGGACTAAACCAGTGCTAAACAAGAATGAAAACCAGGTCCAAACCAGGTCTAAACCAGTCTAAACCAGTCTAAAACAGGACTAAACCAGGACTAAACCAGTGCTAAACCAGAACAAAACCCAGGACTTAACCAGGTCTAAACCAGGAATAAACCAGGTCTAAACCAAGATCAGCAGGAATGTAACGACATTCGATATATATTGAATCGTTCAGTACTGGTGTCATGATTCGATACTCGTGTTCCCTCCATGCGCACTGTGTTGTAATTTATTTTGGTCCAAAATAGAAACAATTTAAACCAGGACTATACCAGGACTATACCAGGACTAAACCAGGATGAAACCAGGTCTAAACCAAGATCAGCAGGAATGTAACGACATTCGATATAATATTGAATCGTTCAGTACTGGTGTCATGATTCGATACTCGTGTTCCCTCCATGCGCACTGTGTTGTAATTTATTTTGGTCCAAAATAGAAACAATTTAAACCAGGACTATACCAGGACTATACCAGGTCGAAACCAGGATGAAACCAGGTCGAAACCAGGACTAAACCAGGTCTAAGCCAGAACAAAAACCAGGACGAAACCATGTCCAAACCAGGTCTAAACTAGGTCTAAACCAGGTCTAAACCAGGTCTAAACCAGGTCTAAACCAGGTCTAAGCCAGAACAAAAACCAGGATGAAACCATGTCCAAACCAGGTCTAAACCAGGTCTAAACCAGAATGAAAACCAGGTCTAAACCAGGAAGAAACCAAGACGAAACCAGGACGAAACCAGGTCTAAACCAGGTCTAAACCAGAACGAAAACCAGGTCGAAACCAGGTCGAAACCAGGCCGAAACCAGGACTAAACCAGTGCTAAACAAGAATGAAAACCAGGTCCAAACCAGGTCTAAACCAGGTCTAAACCAGGTCTAAAACAGGACTAAACCAGGACTAAACCAGTGCTAAACCAGAACAAAACCCAGGACTTAACCAGGTCTAAACCAGGAATAAACCAGGTCTAAACCAAGATTAAACCAGGACTAAATCAGGTCTAAAACATGTCTTAAACAGGACTAAACCAGGACTTAACCAGGACCAAACCAGGACCAAACCAGGACTAAACCAGGACTAAACCAAGACTAAACCAAGACTAAACCAGTTCTAAAACAGGACTAAAACAGGACTAAAACAAGACTAAAACAGGACTAAAACAGGTCTTAAACAGGTGTAAATGATAATATTATGCTCATTAGCAGAAAAAATATCGTGGGAAAAACTGTATAATTGCATCCTGAGCTGAGACACAGCAGAACCACAGTTTGATAAGGCCTCCGCTTCTTGTGAGTTTTCCATCTCTCTTATCACGTGTTCAGATCAGTGGTTTAAAGAGTCGATCTCACACCAACCGCCGCTCTGTGTGTGCCTGCGATTTGTAAAACTCTGTGCCAAACTGTGAGCGGCATCAAAACACGAGAGATAAAAAGAAACACACACAAAAAACATCCTGCTCCAAATGAACACATGATAAACTTCTGTTCACACAAAGAGATCATAATACACGATAATACACCATTTTATGATCTGTGTTGTATCCTCATCAGGTTAATACTACTAATACTACTAATACTACTACTACTGCTACTATTACTACTACTAATACTACTAGTACTACTACTACTGCTACTATTACTACTACTTACTACTACTACTACTACTACTGCTACTATTACTACTACTACTACTACTACTACTACTACTACTGCTACTACTACTACTACTATACTACTACTACTACTACTACTAATACTACTACTGCTACTACTACTACTACTACTACTACTGCTACTACTACTGCTACTACTACTGCTACAACTACTACTACTAATACTAATACTAATACTATACTAATACTACTACTACTACTACTCTTACTACTACTACTACTATTACTACCACTTCTACTACTACTACTACTACTACTACTACTATGACTACTACTTCAACTACTAATACTACTAGTACTACAAGTACTACTAATACTAATACTATTACTACTAATACTAATACTACTATTGCTACTACTACTACTATTACTACTACTACTACGACGACGATGACGACCACTACTACTACGACTACTATTTCAACTACTACTAATACTACTAATACTAATACTATTACAACTAATACTAATACTAATACTACTATTGCTACTACTACTAGTACTACTACTACTAATACCACTAGTACTACTACTACTAAAACTATTACAACTAATACTGATACTACTATTGCTACTACTACTACTACTACTACTACTTCAAGTACTACTACTACTAATAATAATCATCTTTTAAAAATCTTTTAAAAACAAGATTTACAAAGTGCTGTACAAGTCGCAAAAAACATAAAATCACAAACAGAAGGCAAAAATAATAAACTATGCAAACTATTAAAATATTTATAATAAATAAATAAAAAGAAATAAGGAATAAAATCAAGCTAAATCCAGTTAAAGAAGTCCAACCAATAAAAATTTAACTTCTAAGAAGTGATTTAAAAGAGTTAAAAAAAAAAAGTTAAAGGAGAGTGAGTTCTTGTACAGTTGTAGGGAGTATTATCTGTTACATACATCAGCACTTTAAATAACAGAGTCTTTCCTCTGCAGGGATCATTGTGCATCAGGAGTCTGTGTGCGCCACGTTCGGTTCGGGGCTGAGCAGTGCCTGTGTGGTGGATGTGGGCGACCAGAAGACCAGTCTGTGCTGTGTGGAGGATGGAGTGTCTCACCGCAACTCCAGGTGCCAATCAAAACCACTACATCTATTATAAAATAAATATTTTAGTTTTTGTTTAATTTAGAGACAAATCTGATCATGTTTTTGACCTCCTTTGGATTATAGTGCCCATATTACACTATTTTCTGATCTATGTTATACTGTTTTTTCCTCATCAAAAACATACCATACTTTTCCAGGGTTCCCACGGTCTTTTGTTTAAAAGAGACGACATTAAATGCACACAATAAATGTATTTTGAACGTTAAAAAACTATAATACGAAACCATAAGCTGAGCGGAAAGGTTTAACCTTTCATATTTAGCCCTAAAAGTATGATCAGTCCTAACATGTAGGTGTCGTAAAGTCATGGAAAATTCACTTTAGATCATGAAAAAGTCATGGAAAATTTTGAAACCCTCGACTTCATTAATCCACAAGGGAAATTACTTGGACGCAGTAGCCCAGATATCACAATATATTCTAATAACAAAGAGATGATTATATTAATATATATGTACAAGTTAAAATAAAATAAAATATAGAAATAAAGTAATAAAAATATATCTCAGCTAGAAAAGGGGTTATCTGTACATAAGGGTGAGTTGTTTTTGACCTACTTTACATCATACTGTAATAAATTCTAAATAAGTAGCAGAAAGAGCAAGAGACTGATGTCAAATAAGGTATAATTATATAAATGACCCTCTGTGGATACGCCGGCTCGTGTTTCAGGTTGTGTCTGGGCTATGGAGGCTCTGATGTGACCAGGACTCTGCTGTGGCTGCTGCAGAGAGCGGGCTTCCCTTACAGAGACTGTGACCTGAGCAACAGACTGGACTGTGTGCTCCTGTACCAGCTCAAGGAGACCTTCTGCCACCTGGACCAGGTCACACGCAAACTCTTTTATTGGTGGAGTTCAGATTCTCAGATGTGATGATGTTGTACTCTCAGAACGGGGGCGAGAGCTGGTTTCCCCTATTGATTACACTGTACTTTGTCATTAAATATCCAAAAGCTGAATTCACAAATGCTGAATCTGATCATTTCTAATAGTGAATACACCCAAGAACTCACTGTATTACAACACAAATCAGCAATTTTACCAATATTTATTTTAGTATTCCCTATTGATAACATTGTACTTTCTTGATAAATATCTAAAAAGTAATTTCACAAATGTTGAACCTGATCATTTACATTGGTGAGACCCAAGAACTCACTGTGTTACAAAAAATAAAAAATTAGCTGCCCCCAATCTGTATTAAATATTATTGACCTATAGAAAGTTGTGATGTTGTGAAACCCAGTAATACTAATACTATTATACACTGTTACACTGTTCACTAGGGCTGGGATCATTCTGTTTTGTCACGATTCAATTCTTATTTCTATTTTTGTTGGGCCTCCTCTCGGTGCAGGACATCTGTGGTCTGATGGATCACGAGTTTCAGACGCGGTTTCCAGACGGTCCAGCTCTGCTCTACCAGATTCGCCTCGGAGACGAGAAGCTCCAGGTGCTGAAGCATTGATTTTTACAGATTTTATGGTGTTGCTGTGTAATAATTAAAGACAGTAGGGGTCTATTGTCGTTGGCACTCTCTTCCTATTAATTTATATTATATTATTAAATTAGCACTTTTCATGACACTCAAAGACATTTCACATAAATCCGCATTTGCCACGTTTACATGAGAGCTTTAATTTCGAATAAAAATGATTAAATTCTGAATAAAAATAAATTCCGCTTTAAAAAGATCATATCAGATCACTTAATTCCAAATGAAAATGATTATTCAGAATTAAACTTAATTCTGAAGTAAGTTTAATTCCATAAATTTAAAGTAAATTTTGTATCTCGATCATGTAAACGTTTATTCTTCTTAAAAATAATTCTGGTCGTTCAGCGCGTGCTCACTAGGTCGCCCTTCTGACTCTTTGGATTTGTGAGCGGGATGCGGGAGTGGGCTGAGGTAGAGCAGCCGTTGACTCAGTTTGTCTTCTTCCTCCCTTCTCCGACACTCTTCCCTTCTTCTCCTCAGTTGACAGACGTAAAGTGTGATGAATTCTCCAGCTGCTATGCAATTATCATCAGAACCACTGGGAAAAAGTTTGTTTTATGTTCATGTCCGTGGCGTAACAAGAAACTAAGATGACAAAAAAGCCGGTAGCAGCTGAAGTGTGTGTTTTCTTTAAATACGTTTGTGTCTCTGTCCAATCAGAACCTTCCTCACCCCCAGACGTTGAGCGGAATTAAATAAAGACAATTTAACGAGTTTTCCAAGTCAATCTCAATTCAGAATAATTATTTCCATGTAAACTCAAAGGAGAATATTTTAATTCCGAACTATTTAATTCAGACCAATTCATTTGGAATTAAAAAACATCATGTACACGTGGCCCATAATAGTATAAAAAGAAAGTCAAAAGCTACAGAATGCAGTTTTGAAGTTTTGATATAGAAACAGAGCTCTTCATCAAGTCTGTTTTTGAGGAGGTAACAGCATTATAACATGGCATAAAGATTTTTAAACCCAAATTATAACCCAAATTAAACCCAAATTATAGCAATGGATTATTATGTTAATCCTAAATGTGTGTGTGGTTTTCCAGGCACCCATGGGTCTGTTCTACCCCAGCACCTTTGGGATCGTGGGGCAGAAGATGACATCACTGCAGTACCGTTCCCAGGGAGACGCCGAGGATCCCTATGACGAGCACTACCTCCTGTCCACTCAGAGCAAACAGGACCAGGTAAGCCCCGCCCCCTCGTGACCTCCTGTCCACTCAGCTGAGTTTTTATGCAACTGAGTCTTGTAGCTTTAAAGGTCCTATATTACGCAAAATTGACTCTTGTGAGCTTTTAGCCATGTGAGAATGTCGTCAGGGGTGGACTGACAATCTGTGCGTTCTGGAAAAGTCCAGAACTGCAGTCCGGTCCACTGGTACTAAGACCGGAGGGCGCTAATACGATAATTTGCCCATTTGACAAGCATAAAGTGCACAGGCTTAAAAGGCGACAAAGAAGAGTGGGTCACTCGTTGGTTTCAAGGGGCCGAGCTCAATGGGACATGACTCCAGATTCCTCACCTTTAGCCCGGCGAGGTACTTCCGGTGGGTGCGGGACGATTGAGCATGCGCAGTAGTGTCTTTTCTCCCGTGGGCACACACAAATGCACACGAGCGCACACACGGAGCGCAGTCTCGTGTATCACATGACCAATCAGAGCAAGAAGAGCTAGAGTGGAACCGGAGCAAACGATTAAAACACGTTTTTCAAGACGACTGAAGGATTTTGAGCTGAGAAAAAGTTTATGAATTAAAAATAGGTAAAAATCCCCACAAAATCCGATATTTTTGAAAGTTGTAGGTGTCCTGTCAGCAGAACACTAGCAATTTGTGATTACATTTCACTGTATGAGAAAAATAGTTTCTCAGCCAAGGGAATTTTTTTCAGCTGTAGTTCCAGAGAGTGTCACTACGTCAACTGGAGCAGCTAAAAGCAGGCACACCCTCCATTTCAACACACGTCAAAGATGTTGAACAGAAAATGTAAGGGGAAAGGTTGATGGGAAAAGGTTAAAGAAACAAAGTCACTTAAAAAAAATGAAGTAGGTGTTTGTGTTAATAAACAATCAGAAGTATTGTGGGGGAAAAGTCCAGGGCTTATTTTGGTCCCAGTTCATCCCTGAATGTCGATACCTCATCAAAAACCATACCTGTTTGTGTAACCCTTTACTATTAGTCTGTCTACATCTCCAAATCTCAAAATGCTCTGTTCCACCTTGTGATGTCATGAAGAGGTAGTTTTGAAGTTAATGGTTCACTTTTGCTTGTTCAGTAGACATTAACAATTCCAGAGCTAAAATTATTCATATGATTCTAGTGAAGGTGTATGGAGTTTAAAAACACAGTGGAGCACTTCTTGTATTACTTCATGACATCACAGGGTGAAACAGGGCATTTTCAGTTTGAGAGAAGAACGGAAGAACAGTGCTCCAGGTTTGTTTTTGATGAAACAACATCATAACCAGTGTTGGGAAGGTTACTTTTAAAATGTATTCCCCTACAGATTACAGATTACACACACCAAAATGTAGTTTGTAACGGAATCCGTTAAGGTACTTAAGGTGAGTAACGTAATCTGAATACTTTGGATCACCTGATTTGCTGTAGAGAAGCAAAGACGAGGATATTTTGGTCTGATTAAAGACAATAAAAAGCCCAGACTTTCCTTAACCGTATTAAAAAATATTACTGATAGAAGAGGAGGAGACACGGTCTGCGCTGCATGGTTTAGTCCTGTTAAATCCTGTTTTAGACCTGGTTTAGACCTGGTTTTAGTCCTGGTTTAGATCTGGTTTTAGTCCTGGTTTAATCCTGGTTTAGACCTGGTTTAGACCTGGTTTTAGTCCTGGTTTAGACCTGGTTTAGACCTGGTTTAGACCTGGTTTAGACCTGGTTTTAGTCCTGGTTTAGACCTGGTTTAGACCTGGTTTAGTCCTGGTTTAGACCTGGTTTAGGCCTGGTTTTAGTCCTGGTTTAGACCTGGTTTTAGTCCAAGTTTAGTGTCCGGCAATGAGTGGAATTCCAGAAAAAAAAAAAAGAAAAAGGGGGATATAGCCCAAAATGTAAACACAGGAAAATAATGCCATGTAATCCATTTATTTCAACAAAGTAACAGTAATCCAATTACCACTCACTGAAACAGTAACTGTAACAGAATACAGTTACTCATAATTTGTACTCTGATTACGTAACTCCGGTACATGTAATCTGTTACTCCCCAACACTGATTATAACATAGAAAATGCCGTAATTTGGGCCTTTTAAACACACTTTTCCTTGTTTTTATATCAGATAATTCATGTCTAATTTTTTCTGATATTTTTCACAGTCCTCCAAATCAGCAGCAGACCGTAAGTCCCTCTCTCGGCCTGTGGGAGCAGAGGGGGACATGAGCGCTCCGGGGGGCAGCGCTGACCTGTCAGAGCTGCCCAGGGCCTGTGGAGCGGGGGGGGCTTCAGGGGCCCAGGGCGAACTGGAAATGGGCCCCGCGCAGGGAGAGGGTCTGCTGGGGAGCGCGGACATGGAGGAGCCCCTGTCCGCTCACCTCTCCAGGAAGACGGCCATCATCAACCAGTTCGAGAGCAAGGCCCTGGGGCTGGACAAGGCCATTCTGCACAGCATCGATTGCTGCGGTGAGGGCGCAAGATCTTTGTCCAATTAGAGCACAGAATAAACCTCACATGAGTTTCAAGTCTAGTTGGTTTAAAGGGCCCAGATTTATAATGTTGTTTCCTCATCACAAACAGACCTGGAGTTGTGTTTTATTTCATTCACACTTTCATAGGCTGAGTTCTTCTCTCAAATGGAAAACACTCTGGTCTAGGGCTGGGTATCATTAAGGATTTGCCGATATGATACATACCTCAATACAGTGAACTTTTGATTTGATACCATTCAATACGATATTTCAAATCTATTCGATACGATTCAATAAAAAATAAAGCCTAACTCATGTCTGCGATACTAAAAGTCTTTGTTAAACCACTACTTGTGCAAAATTAATATAAAACACAAACATTTTAATCATCAAAACAGTGAAAACTTCAAATGTGTTGCATAAATGAGTTTTCTTCCTCTAAACAAACAACAAAACTGTAGCTGTAACAAAATAATTTAGTTAAATACACCTAAAAATACTCTTGGCGATATATATAGATATAGCAGCCCATGATATTGATACTGTATCATCACATTAAATGACACAATATATCGATATTTCTATATTTTTGCACATCCCTATCTTGGTTTAGCCTGATTCAGCATTAGGATTTGTTCGCTTCACGGTAAGCGGGTACTTTTTTATTTAACAAATCGCTGCTATTTGGTTGTGACGTATGTAATGCGCCACATCCCGTAGGAAGAAGAACAATAACGTCTTTCCCCTTGATAAAATTCACCAAACATTCTCTTTGTTCCAACTTTAAATCCTCGATCTCGGGAATCGTTGCCAACGCAGAATGTCTGTCTTCATCTACATCCATCTCGACCGATTTGTTTACTGTTGTGCTGTTCCACAAAAGGGACCCAGACAGGCGCTTGAGTTTGACGTCATGGCTTCACAGATCAACTTCCAGGGTCCTTGCAAACCGTCTAGTGTATTCCGATTCCTGACCTAGTTGCTGGAGAGAAATTAAATCAAGCGGAGTCACTTTCACTAGAATATTTTAGATAATTTGTACCCTGGAATTGTGAATCTCTGCTGAAGAAACAGATGGACTAATAATGGAGGGTCATGCAAAACATGTGTGAATGAAACAAAACGCAACTCCAGGTTTGTTTTTGATCATTATAACACGTCTTAAATCTCACAATAATCCATTTTGTGTAATATTGAATCTTTAAACTTAAAATATGTCTCTTTGATCTGAATCATCACTACCTAAACACCAACACCTACAGCATCTACTGCTCTGTTCAGAAAATGTTCAGAAAATACTAAACTAATCTAATTACTCCGTCACTCCTCCTCCTCTCACAGCTTCCAGTTTTTGGCTGTAGGCATGTTTGGCTTATTCCACTCATCTTGGGTTACAAAGGGCTGCACAATTCCTGGAAAATGAACTGGAATATTTTCTGAATTCTCAAGAATAATAAGACAAAAGGTTATAAAACATCCTATTTCGGTCATTGGTCTTTCCCAGGAACCTTTCTTACTCATTTGAATCGCTAAAGGGCCCATATTCAGTGTTAGGAAGGTTATTTTTAAAATGTATTCCCCTACAGATTACAGATTACATACCCCAAAATGTAGTTTGCAATGTAATCCATTAAATTACTTAAAGTGAGTAATGTAATCTGAATACTTTGTATTATTTGATATTGTCATGCTTTTTAAAACTACATGAATGTAACAACCACATCCTGAAAATTCATGTTCTCTTCAAATTGTCTGTTGAGCCCAAGTCTCCATGAACAGACTTTTGTTTTACTGTAGAGAAACAAAGACTAAGATGTTTTATCTGCTAAAAGACAAGAAAAAGTCCAGTATTTCCTTAACCAGATTAAAAATATTATTGATAGAGAAATGATTTTTATATGAAATCACTGCTGCTTTAAATTATGTCCACCTACTCTTAGTGTCATATTGTTTAGACCTGGTTTAAACCTGGTTTAGACCTGGTTTAGACTTGGTTTAGTCCTGGTTTAGTCCTGGTTTTAGTCCTGGTATTAGACCTGGTTAGACCTGGTTTTAGTCCTGGTGTAGACTTGGTTTAGTCCTGGTTTTAGTCCTGGTTTTAGTCCTGGCTTTAGTCCTGGTTTTAGTCCTGGTTTTACTCCTGGTTTTAGTCCTGGTTTTAGTCCTGATTTAGTCCTGGTTTAGCCCTGGTTTTAGTCCTGGTTTAATCCTGGTTTTATTTCTGTTTTTAGTCCTGGTTTTAGTTCTTGTTTTAGACCTGTTTAGACCTGGATTAGACTTGATTTAGTCCTGGTTTAGTCCTGGTTTAATCCTGGTTTAGTTCTGGGTTTAGTCCTGGTTTTAGTCACACACAAACTCTGCATATTTAAGCTGCGTTCTTCTCTCAAGGAAGTGCTCCACGGTGTTTTTAGACTCCATACACCTTCACAGAAATCATTTGGATGATTTCAGGCCTGGTAGCTGTGAACTTGAACACTAATAGAGCATTTTGAGCTTCGGAGTTTTAGACAGACTAATAATAAAGTGTTACTCAAACATCCGTGAATGAAAACACAACACCATGTATGTTTTTGAGGACGATACATCATTAAAACAAACAACAATAATAAATATAATGTGTTAACGTGTGATGTTTGTTTACAGCGTCGGACGAGACCAAGCGTAAGATGTACAGCTCCATCCTGGTGGTGGGAGGAGGCCTGATGTTCAGAGGAGCTCAGGAGTTTCTTCTGCACCGGATCATCAACAAAATGCCCCCCTCCTTCAGACGCCTGCTCGACTCTGTGGACGTCATCACCAGACCCAAGGTAAACACACGCACACTAAAGGCTAAAGGGACTAAAATAAAATATGGTAGATTGCAGTGGTGGAACGTAATGAAGTAAAAGTAGTGTAGTAATTTATTTATTTATTTTTTTATTCTTCTTTTTTTTTCTCTTTTCACAAATGTATTTATACCAACCATCCAACCCCAGGTGTGTACCAGTTTAGATTTTTTTTAAATTTTATTTATTTATTTTTTCTTCTCTTTTTTTTTTTTTCTCTTTTTACAATTTTATTTATACCAACCATCCAACCCCAGGCGTGTACCAGTTTAGAATTTTTTTTTTTTTTTCACAATTTTATTTATACCAACCATCCAAATCCAGGCGTGTACCAGTTTAGATTTTTTTTAAATTATATTTATTTATTTTTTCTTCTTTTTTTTTTCTTTTCACAATTTTATTCATACCAACCATCCAACCCCAGGTGTGTACCAGTTTAGATTTTTTTTAAATTTTATTTATTTATTTTTTCTTCTTTTTTTTTTCTCTTTTCACAATTTTATTTATACCAACCATCCAACCCCAGGCGTATACCAGTTTAATTTTTTTTTTTTTTTCCACAATTTTATTTATACCAACCATCCAACCCCAGGCGTATACCAGTTTAATTTTTAATTTTTTTTTTCCACAATTTTATTTATACCAACCATCCAAACCCAGGCGTGTACCAGTTTAGATTTTTCTTTTTTTTTTTTTTTTTTTTTTTTTTTTTTCTCTTTCCACAATTTTATTTATACCAACCATCCAAACCCAGGCGTGTACCAGTTTAGATTTTTCTTTTTTTTCTATTTTTTTTTTTTTTTTTCTTTTTCACAATTTTATTTATACCAACCATCCAACCCCAGGTGTGTACCAGTTTAGATTTTTTTTTAAATTTTATTTATTTTTTTTTCTTCTTTCTTTTTTTTTCTTTTCACAATTTTATTTTACCAACCATCCAAACCCTATACCAGTTTTTTTTTTTTTTTTTTTTCCACAATTTTTATTTATACCAACCATCCAACCCCAGGCGTATACCAGTTTAATTTTTTATTTTTTTTCCACAATTTTATTTATACCAACCATCCAACCCCAGGCGTATACCAGTTTAATTTTTTTTTTTTTTTTTCCACAATTTTATTTATACCAACCATCCAAACCCAGGCGTGTACCAGTTTAGAATTTATTTATTTTTTTCACAATTTTATTTATACCAACCATCCAAACCCAGGCATGTACCAGTTTAGATTTTTCTTTTTTTTTTCTTTTTTTTTTTTTTCCTCTTTTCACAATTTTATTTATACCAACTATCCAAACCCAGGCGTGTACCAGTTTAGAATTTTTTATTTATTTTTTTATTAAGGCAACAGAATATAACATTTAGAAAATAAAACAACAATCAACATTTAATAATTACAATATTTAGCATAAAACGAAGACAAAAACCCACGACACCACAACAAATACAAAAAAAAAAAAAAAAAGCCCCCCCAACCACCCACACCGACACAAATTTGGCAAAATTAAACAAAATAAATGTAATAAATAAATAAATGTAACAAATACATTTTTTATGCATAGTAATAATGTTAAATTTTTTATGTATTCATAAGTTAGAGGCTTTAATATCAGCCCTTTTGAGTAAGACCCGACCGATATGGATTTTGTTGCAGCAGATATGATACCGATAAAATGGGAGATGGAGCTGCCGATATAATCACCGGTATATTTAGTGATGTAAAAATTCACTGTAAATCTTGAATTGTTTAAAAAATTTAGGTGTGGCTCTAGTGGATTTTAAATTGGGTTTATTTGGGCAACATTTATTGTTATTCTGCCTCTTTACGTCATATTTACAGACAGTAGGTTGGACTAATGACATTTTTGCATCACATTCTAGCCAGTAAAGAGAGAAAATAAACTACTGCTATTAGCCTTTAGCTGTAAATGCGTAACAAATATACGGCCAATAAAGTCATTTTACAGTGGGTCAATAGAAGAGAAAACAGCCTGTTTATGTTTATCTGTGGGAGCTACAGCAGTTAATCGCTAACCAATGAGAAATAATCAAAACTATCTTCAAAGTCGACATATTTCCAACACTCACCGCTCAAACAGGCTCCTCTCAGATCACAAGTCTGCACTAATAAATGTCCTTTTAATCCAGACTCAAACCGATTATCTGTAAAAAGAATATACCGTATTTTTTGGACTGTAAGTCGCACTTTTTTTCATGGTTTGGGTGGTCCTGCGACTTATACACCGGAAAATCTTAGTGTTGCATATGGATCTGTGGCTGCAGGTGTAAACAAGAGTATGTGAGTGACGTGACTCTGGGGTGTGTTCAGGGACAGTACGGACACACACGGACAAATTACTCTGCAGATAAATACTGATGCGGAGCCACATATTAGGACATTTATCTGTCTGTAAATTGGATTAAATGAACATAATGTAGAGAGTCTAAACTTTATAGCGAGGTATAACATGCCCACGTGAAATATCGGCCCATATCAGCAAGATTTAGGCCGATCGCCGATATGTTTCCAAGAGCACATATCAGCCAAACAATATATCGGTCGCGCCCTACTTTTGAGTTTTTTGACTCTTCTGGCACCTACTTTTTTTATCTAGTGTTTTTTTTTTTTCATTTTATACGTGCAAAATAAATAAATAAATAAATACAAAAAAGAATACATATTTAGGTATCTGTACTTTACGTAAGTAGATTTTAAAGTGGCTGCTTTTTACTTTTACTTCACTGCAATCTGCACAGAAGGTTTAAGTCTTCCAGAAACATCTGTGACTTTTGGACTGAAGCGGTGACTGCCAGACATTTAGAACTGTGTGAATTTCCCAAAGGTCCTTTCGCTCAAATGACATGGCAGCATTCTCTTCCACGCCCTTCATACTTCACACAGATATGGAGCAGCCAAGATGGATCTTGTTTAAAATATTTTAGTGTTGATATGACCAGTTCAAGAGTCACACAGAAGTTATGGCTATACTGTCCTAGAGATGCACAAATCTCTCTGTCTATGCTAATATCGACATCATGAAATCGATTTTTAAATTTAATTGTAGAATCAGTCTGAGTGAAAAAAGTTCCTTTTGTTTTATTCATGAGCATAACGTTCATGCTTAGTAGTTCACTAATGCAAGACGTTTTCATCTTTCTTCTCTTGATAGTTGTGGATAAATTCTTCATGTTGGAATGTTTATCCTTTGTGGACCTTGTTGGTTGAAGATTTGGTGATGGGGCAGATTTATGAAGTTGGTGGAGAATACGCCAGACATTTACACTCTATAGCTCTACCTGCTTTCATTGAATGGTGCGATTATAACCACCTGGCCCTAAATGTAGCTAAAACTAAAGAAATTGTTGTGGACTTCGGGAAAAAGATTCACAGCCCAATAGCCAGCTTTATCCATGGGGAAGTAGTACAAATGGTGAACTCTTATCAGTACTTGGGAACTGTGTTTGATTCCTCCCTATGGTTTGATAAGAACACAGCAAATAATCAAACGAAACGAGGACAGCAGCGGGTTCACTTGATGCGGAAGCTCAGCTCTTTTAATGCGTCGTCCAACATTTTAAGTAATTTTTATCATTCCTTTATCGAAAGTTTGCTGACCTTTTCTTTTATTTGTTAGTTTTATGGGTTATCTGTGAAAGCTAAGAACAGTCTGAACCAGATAGTAAAAGTATACGGCAAAATCATTGGTGTTCAGACAGAGGATTTGGCGTCTGTGTGGAGACATCGGGTCCTCCAAAAGACTAAGGCCACTGACTGAGCCGGTCTAACCATGTTCCTGCGCTCACAGTTTGTGCAAATGCCCTCCGGGAGACAATATGTCACCCCACAACAAAAGACCAACTGCTATAGGTGAGTTTCATTGTTGACAAAAGCGCCCGTTGCATGCTGGCAATTATTTTGGTTGGCGGCAAGAAACACTAATTCAACATGACGGATGGAGCGGGAAAGCACGTAAAGGGTATTGATCCCAGTTATTTATCCACTCTAACGGCAGAGGACCGAAGACAATTCGACCAGAAATTGGTCATAAGCATCGATGGACGCCAAATCACCCTTTTCAACCCCTACAAAGCCTGGACCAAACCAAATTTCTGGTCGGAATGGCCAACTACCTGGCCAAATTTTCACTTTGGCGATATCCACAATGACTTGGTGGAAACTCCTGAGCCATTCACAGCAGAAAAGATGAAAGCCTCCAAGAGTCTCGATGTGTTGTTGAACTTGTTGGAGTCCACGGTTTGCTAGGATCTTCTACGTTTGCTCTGCTAATGTTTGAAAGCCATTTAATTCGCCATTGGCGGTTCTTTTCACTCAGAATAAGAAAAAGACATTTTCCTTCTTCCGTGCTTCTATTTGTGCATCCAATAATGCAGCAGAAATTTACCATTATCGGGGATAAATACGCGAGGTTACGCACTGTGCTTGACCGCTATCGTGTTTCTTGCCTCCGACCAAAATATTTCCCAGCATGCAACGCGGGCTTTTAATAACAATGACGTCAGCTGAAACTCGCCTATACTAAATCTTTTATTCCTTCTGCCATAAAGCTTTTAAATGGAAAGTAAATTTGCTACTGTGTCCCTGATGCACTGAGGTTTGAATAGATTGTGTCAGTTTTCTTTTTCTTTTATTATTTATAGATTGTTGTAACTGGATGTTCCGTAAATCTACAGCGGGGCACTTCCAGCCATTGTGAAAAAGGTCTATTATGAGTGACCCTGTTGTTGCGTGTGATTGTGCGGCAGGACATGGACCCCAGACTGATCTCGTGGAAGGGTGGGGCAGTGCTCGCCTGTCTGGACACGACTCAGGAGATGTGGATCCACCAGGCCGAGTGGAGACGCTTTGGGCTCCGAATGCTGCGCGAGAGGGCGGCTTTCGTCTGGTGAAGTGAAGCCGCTGGACTGAGACGCTTTGTGTAAATATGTAAGGGCGCGTCTCATTTCTCTCTCCTCGCTTCCTTCTCCTTGATTCCTCGATTCTGCAGGAAATGGGTGAGGAGGAGAGAGAGGAGCAGAGGAAAAGAAAGAGGAGAGGAGCAGAGGAGGAGAAAGAGGAGCATAGGAGAAAAACAGGAGCAAAGGAGAAGAGAGACGAGAAGAGGAGCAGAGGAGAATGGAGAGAAGCAGATGAGAAGGAAGAGGAGAAGTGAGAGGAGCAGAGGAGAAGAGGAGAAGAGAGAGGAGCAGAGTAGAGCACTGAGACAATTATTTTATCTGACTTCTGCCTCTTGCACCCTCCCTCTGGTTTCCTCTGTATTTTCCTTCCCTTCTCCCCTCTGAACTTTGGGACACCACTTAATCCGGAACATTTGATTGACAACAAAAAAAATGGAGGCTCAAGGAGAAGGAAGCGAAGAATGAGAAATTAGATGCACCCATTGTGTACAAATGTATGAATTAAACCATTTTTAGAATAATAAATATCTTTAGAAAGTGTGTGTGGTCATGTGTTATAGTGTTTGATTTTCCATGGAGTATTCAGGGTAAAAAAAAAAAGGCAATTAAAGGTGGGCTATGTCACTTTTTTAAGCTTTGGGGTCCTGCTTGTTTCTATGGTTATGTTACTACTCTGGAATGTTCCACTGGATGACATTAAACAGCTCTACCTTACATTTACTCAATTACAGGTGGTTTTATCGCTCAAAAATACCAAGAAAAACAGGCATTCTTCTATGGAGTAAGAAAACTTTCAGAAATATTTGTGCGCATAGAATAGAAATCTGTGCATATTTGGCTGTAGTTCCGCATAAAATAAATATTTGGAAACTCTCGAATGAGTCCAGTCGTACATAAAATATATTGTGTACATCTTATCCATCAGAATACGAACTGAAAAGTTATGAAGTCAAGCTTTCTTACTCCATATTCTTCACTCCCAAAAGAAATCACCACACATTTTAACAACGCAAACTTTTATTGAAGCGAGATAAAATAATAACTACAACCGTCGTAAAATCAAGTTCTCTATAGACTCTTTAAAATGCTCTCATCAGAAAAGTCCGGATTGGAGGCGATTAGAGGCTGAACGAAGCTGAGTACAAAGACTGACATCAGCTCTAAATTTTCAGGGATGAAGTGTACAGTTTAGAATTTTCAGAGTAGAAATATCAATTAGTTTGCTTCTAAAAGTGGAATAAATATTTTCAAACCTCTTATTTGAGCTTCACAAAACATACATACTTTACCACAAATGTATTAAATCACTCATGTACATTTCATTGGCCAAACTCTCCTTGCTGTTTCATATTTTGTAATAATCTCTGGCTGCCTCCATTCCGGTCTTAAAGGTGCATTGTGTAACTTTTCTGGTGGAGGATTCCTCACCTGCATGTAATTGTTCTGCCTGGAATCTTCCACAGTATGACATTAAACATTTCTACTTTACATTTATTCAATTACAGCTGGTTTTACAGCTCAAAAATGCCTTGAAAAACAGGAATTCTGACTGTGAGCAGGTCGCCTCTCCACAGATCTGACCTGTAACTTGCTCTGGCTTGTTCTGGTTTAATGCCATACTGTGAAATATTCCAGACAAAGCAGTAACATCTCCATGAAGGGAAGCATTCGACTGAGACCTTCACCACAAAAGTTACACAACGCACCGTTAAGAATGTTTTTGTTTACACATTTTTACAAACTATATCAGTAAGAAAGGAAAAGGAGGAGAATAGTTGCATCTCATTTCTCTTTCCTCGCTTCTTTCTCCTTGAATCTGGAGGAAATGGGTGAGGAGGAGGAAGGAGGAGAGAGGATATAAACTCCTCACTTTAGACCAATAAAGTGTGATTATTTTATCTGATGTTTGCCTCATGAAGCCTCCCTCAGATTTACTGCTTCAGTCTGTGGTTTTCTTAATATGACAGATTTGATTGATTAGAGGAATCAAGGAGAAGGAAGCGAGCAAAGAGAAACAAGATGTGGAGGAGGCTGGAGGAGAAGGAGGAGGAGGGGTGTAGCTGCTGATCGACCGACTCAGACCCTGGCTGCAGGAGTTCCCGGGTCGGCTTCATAAACTGCAGGACACAGGCAGCTGGAGAGAGGGGGTCGTCTCTGGACTGAGACTGGACCCAGCGCCTACACTCGCGGTGCAGGCGTTTACCTACAGACAAGGGCAGATGGTCAGTACTGAGGCAGTACTTCAAACATGATACAAAAACAGTGGGAATGTGAGTGGGGGTTTGATTTACAGCTGTAACGAGACATGGGGCCACAAGAATGAAGCAAGACAGTTATTCTGAAGTTCAGTTCACAAGTTCAAACCATTTTTAACTGACTTTATTGAATGTCTTTGCGGTCATTGGGCTGCTGTTCTTTGGAACTACAGCTTCTCCAGAAATGTACCGTATTTTACGGACTATTAAACATGCTCTTTTAAGCCTCTAACCCCATCAAAAAATGGCCGCGTGCCCCGCAAGCCAAAGTGCCTTATACACAAATCCACTTGGGTGTCCCAGCACAACTTCAGTAAACTACAAAGCTGCACCACCCACAGAACACGCAAACACACACGGAGCAGACAGCGACTGCTGTGATATGACTGTGATAGTGATAATGTATGTGGGTCTTCATGTGCAAATACTAATATTTTAATTTCAGTTGTATTCAATAATCCACTTTACTTTCGTCAACAAAAAGCAGCAAACAAAAAGTCCCTCCAAAAATGAAAATATGCCCTCCCAAATAACATATCTATACATCTCTACATCTACAGGACACTGGTTTAGTCTGTTGTACCTTCCTCATCCTCCTCCTCCCATCGGTGGAGCATTGGGACCTCCTCCGTGGGTTATTCTGCCCATCCTTCTCCTGCCACCAGGGGGCCCCGGGGGGCTGCAGGGGGAATAAAACAACATGGTTGAGTCTGTGAACGTTCACTCAAGAACTGAATATGAATAACAAAGTCATTCAAAGAGACTCGTTAATCATATTAGATTCTAGGACCAGGACTAGAGTCTAGGACCAGTCATAAAGCTCATTTTAGAACAGAATTAAATATTTTGCTAAGAAATTCTCAGTTTCGTACTTTTTTTTGGTTTAAATTTTACTTCCTGGTTAGAAATCATAACATATTACATGAGACTCTCTAAATATGGAAATTGAAAACAGGTATTCTGAAAATTATTACATAATTAAATTTTATAACATTAACAGAATCTATTGATACTTTGCAGCTGACATCATCAACATTTCCTGGGGGTGTGATGCAAATTGTAGGCACTGCTCTGTCCGATCTGCCTATTATTCAGGTCAGAGTGTAATCTGAGCTTTATATTCTGGTCTGGCTTCGTTGAAACTGTGACAGGTGATCTGATTTGTGCTGTTAAGTCCCTCACATATAAAATTTTGGTTAAAAATCAAACAAGAACATGAAAGTTCAATTTGATCACAGGTTCCTGAAAATGTGTTTAAATCAAAAATAAATGTATTTTTTTCTTGAGTGCAAAAGCCACTCAAGATTGCACCATAAACACACATGCGGAACCCCCACAGTGTGATATCACTGCGCAGTATCAAGACATTCAGCTCTGTAGTTTGGACTTCTCACCCTCTGCCATCACTGAATCTGGACGTGGCGCTGCTCCCGTGTTTGGACATGTCTGGGTTGATGATCGTCTTAAAACTGGAGACAGAAACAACACATGGATTTAACACAAATGAAACAGAAGTGGACTGGTATGGTTTGGTCTGTTTTTTATTTGTACAGGGACAGTGCAAAACAACACATGAACCAAAACAGAAGTCATAGGAGACATGCTGGTGCCAGGGTAAAGCATGAAGGCTCCTTTACACCCGTTGTCCCTGAGCTGGCTGGTAGAAATACTAAAATACAGATTCAGTGTATATAGACAAATTGACCAAAAATACATTCAAAACAGTTATTACTTAGGGTTACAGTGTTGAAATACTATTCTGCAAACAACATACACCAAACATGCCTCTTCCACCTGGTATCATGCCCCAACATTTGCACACACACACACACACACACTCTGCATTCTCCTGATCATTAAAATCACACTGATCCCTAATGTGTACAGACTTGTTTAGAGATCAGCCACTTCTTCGTCAGACGTGCAAACATTTGAAAACCTGATGGAGTGTGACCATAAACTGTATAAAGAAGTGGATTGAGGGAGTTTGACGTCACCCACGGCGCTCGGCTCCGGTCAAACGAAGCTCACGAGGCTAGAGGTTATGCGAGCGAATTTGGAGCCAGTTCCATATTAAGAATTTATTAACAGACAAAATAGCGAAATAAAAATGCTAGGATTACGTAGAGTGGGTTAAAACGAACACTTTAAGACCAAAATGACGAGGCTCACTGCAGCAGTTACAGAGAGAGGGGCAACAATTTATCAATGTAAATTCATTTGGAGCCGGAAGCGTCCCATTGACAGTTTGTGGGTTTTAATAATCAATAATACTCAGAATCAAACACAGTCTGTTGTACTTACAAAAGGGTGATGAAATCCACTGCTCCCCAGAACAGGTCTGACAGCAGAGACAGTCTCCATGGCGACTGGGTCCTGCTGTCCAACACCTGACCTACGATCAGAAGGACAGAGACAGTTATTACCAACTCATGTACGACCTTTTTTATTAGTATTTCAAGTCAGTTCAGATAAATAAATATTCTTGTCTTTCTTTGAGTTAGGGGCATTTTTATAATAAAGGAATAAACTCTATACATAATAAGAATTCCAATCCCATGATGATAATAAAAAAAAAAAAAACTTCTTTAGATAACAGAATGTGTTTTTCAGCATTAAATCGCAGTATTTTCTTTTATATTACCATGTTACCAAAGTTAAAGGATTCGTTTCCTTTGATTTAATGTCCAGGCAGGTAAAAACGCAACAAAAATTGTCAGTTTAAATCACACATCTAAGTATCTTCTGATAGCAGCAGTAGTGCCAACAGTAGTAGCAGCAGTCTTCTCAAATTCTCTTATACCTCTTTTTTTTTTTTTTTTTACTGTTTTAATTAAGCAATTAGAATTCTACCTATCCACTATCTCTAAAAGCATAAACAAAAAAGCTACTGTACATTGACATATGAAAGTTGTATATCTGTGAATACCTTTGTACAATGTCTTCCAAAATCTTGTCAGGGTGTTTTAGAAGCAAAAAAAAAAGTGTCATATCTACAATTACATCAGCTTCTCTAAAATATCGTAATAAATATCGTACCGTGAGATGCATATCGTGATAATATCGTATCGAGACATTTGGATATCGTTACATCTCTACAAATCTCGTGTTTGAATGAACGAGCTTTACGCTGTGTAGGAAGCAGTTCGTTTTTTAACCACCAGATGGCGCTACAAAACGCACCTATATAGTATCAACACAGTGCTGGAAAAGTGTTACACCCTGAGGCCTCATCTACCATCACTACCAACCCCGTGTAAGTGAAAATAATAAATCCAGAGCTGCAGCCGCTGAGAGAAAACCCTGAACCTGCGCTTCCTGTTTCTCTGCTACCAAACACAAACAGCCATTAGCCTACATGCTAACCGCTCACTGTTAGCATGGTCAGCTCCGGCTCGGTTTGTCCTCTTAACGGAACTGTCTCATGATCCGAAACGACAAACTGTGAATACTGGTTGAAAGCAAACAGTGAAAACATTAATCGAGCTAAATGTTAAAGAATATACAAGGAAACAAGAGAAAGCACTCACCGTTGGACACGTACACCATCTTCAGCTGTGTTTACGAATGACGCAGCACGCACGGACAGTTGTGTTTTGAATACGTCATTTTACGCCATCACGTAATCATGTTTTTTTTTAAATTATTATTATTATTTTATTTACTAATTTATTTCATTGTTATTTGCGTAATTTATTTTACCAGAAATATGCATATTATTAGTACTTTTTTTTTTGTAAATGTTTAATATTTGTGTTATAATCTATAATCTATATAATAATCACATTAGCGCAGAACAGGAATGTCATAGCTTTAGTTTCTAGTGTCTAGGCCTGATATCAGAACATCCTCTTTTCTGGAGTACTCGCTGTTCAAGTAATGAGTATATATATAATAAGTTTGTCTTTTTCTCTCACAAGAGCTTTCAGGCTCTGGAACTTCTCCAGTAAGTCGTCCAGATTTACTGGAGGAGATCCAGTAAGTCTAGAGCAGGGGTCTCCAACCTTTTTCCTATGCTGAGCTACCTCACAAAACAAAAATACCAGAGAACTACTTGAGAAATTAAGAACCGAGAAAGTATAAGAGTCATGGTGTTGGGGTCATGGGGTACAGTTAAAACATAAACCATTATCCAGTCATTAGTGCAGAACTACAATGGTAAATAATCAGATTGTAGTTATTCAACACAATATGTATAATTCAGAAATCCCTTGGCGAGCTACTTGGAAGAGGGTGGAGAGCTACTGGGAGCTCCCAAGCTACAGGTTCGAGACCCCTGTTCTAGAGGATAGATTCACTTTATCCTTTTATTTTTTAGATTCTCAAAAGGATTAAGAATTAGGATTACGGTCAAATAAACACAAACCAATTTACCACACCAAATATAATACCAATCATTTTATTTGAAAACAAGATCAATTTAGGAGACACACAAGCAAATAATGAACATTACATTTGCACAACTGATGACAACTGTCCCAAAAAGGACTTTAAATATAATAAGATCTTCAATATAACTTGCTGTCTACAGACAATGATATCAACAAGATCGATCGCAAAGCCCACAAATTACAGACACCATTAAGTAAAAAGTTATTATCCGTCCTAATGATATAAATTTTTGTTTTTCACGTTTCCTGTCCATCCTCTGTGGGCTCTTGTGTGTCACTCCCGGGCTGTCCAGTTTTTGTCGCGTCTGTCCCTTCGTCCACCTCCTCATTCACCCGTCTCTTCTCCTCCGTCTGTCCATTTCGTGCCTCCTTTAGTCTTTTCCTCATCTTCATCCCTACAGCCTTCCCAGTCTTCCTCTTGAGCCCTGGCGTTAGTTCTAAATACAGTTTATACACGTCGAGAATCTCCGAAACCGTGCGGAGAGACACGTTACACATCTCGGACACGTCTTTTATGGACAGGCCTCCCAGATAGGCCCCCACGATCTGTCCCTTTTCAAACTCACTCAGTTCGCCGATGGAAGAGACCGGACTAGGTTCTTCCTCCTCTGTCATGATCACGGTGCCTCTTTTTAAGCGTCCTCTTCTTTAAGGTTTATGTAGGAGAAGGATGAGATGGTTTGAAACGATTCTACAAAGACAAAACGTAAGTAAAACAGATATAAGTCACTAAACTGAAATGGACACTGAACATTTTTACTGAAATGACAATAAATATGTACTAACAAAAAAAAAAGAAGAAAAACATCATTGCACTGAAGTAATTATAGCTATTCCGTATAAATACTGTATTCAAGTGTTGACATGATACTAAAATTTCAAAATCGATTTTGATATTAAGGAATAGAGTTGATAATTAAAGGTTCATTGTGTAACTTTTCTGGTGGAGGGTCCATCAGATGCTTTTCTCCATGGAGATTTTATTGCTTTATATGGCATTAAACCTTTTTATTATCATTCCAAACCAAACCAGACCAAGTTACAGGTCCAATCTGTGGAGAGGAATGCTTTGAAAGCTTTTCTATTTAGGTATTTTTGAGCTGTAAAACCACCTGTAATTGAATAAATGTAAGGTAGATCTGTTTAATGTCACACTGTGGAATATTCCCCAACCAAAAAGTTACATAGTGCACCTTAAATACTGATTCTAAAACCACGATGATGATAAAAAACACTAACAAACAATAGAAATTGAATTAAAATTTTTAGTATCGATATCTGCTCAAATGAGTATACAGTTTCGATACTAGTTTTAGTATCTGATTTTCAATATTCATGCCCTACTGTATAGTAATTAAATTTAGGAACAATTTAACACCAATTGTGTATTTTTTTAATGTAAAAATGCACAGTGTGACCATGGAGATGTATGTTTTACTGGCTGGAATATTTCACCATATGGCATTAATCTTTCCGGCGGTGTGTGATTTTACTGCATACGGTTTTTACTTGTAGGCTTGCTTCTCCACAGATCTGACCAGTAATTTGGCCTTGTGATGCCACCTGATTTTCAAAATGGGATAAGAGAGTGAATATATGGTACAGAGAAGGTTATACTTATTATAAATGGTTGAATTGTTTAAATTTTTTTAAACGTAGATTTACAATAACAATCCTCTGCTATTACAAAGCATCATTTTGCATTTTGAGATCAGAATTATTCATATTAGAGATGGTGTAAAGCTATTTTTGGTGGATAAATACAGTCAGATCTTCCAAAAACACGAGCACAAACAACTATTATTAATGCATTCAAAAAGAGGAGTACTGTGTGTGGAATAAATGCCATAAAACACTTGTATTTCGTGCTAAATGGAAGGAAAAGAAGACAAGACTCACCACTGGCCACCATTTTGGCTCCTACTTCTTCTTGGAGGAAATGACACAAATACACTACCGCCATCTTGTGGTCTGCAACAGCTGGAGGAGAACCACATGTCACTGTCAAATAATTAAGACACTGTAAATATATTTGTTGATCCTTCTTCTATTTCAAATATTCTTGTCCATATGAAAAATAAAAAAAATACAGTAAATTCATGTAAATAGTTTTTCATGTGTCTTGTTTCCTTCACTCATTGTAGTTAACAGATACAAATGTCAAATATATGTCGAGTTTCTGTCTCATTTAACTGTGAAAGGTGTTTTGGGATGATTAACTTAGAATTGTAAAATGCAAATAACCTTACTACTGTTATTATAACCTTGAAATATAATGTTAATTGCATATTGGACTCTAATATGCTTATAAATATATTTAAAGGTTAATATATTAATTATTAGAATGTTTTAATTAGGTTTGCCATTATTATACATAATAAAAATGAATTACACCTGAATCTGTGTTTTTAAGGATATTTGCAGAACTTTGATTGACTTATTTTATATTGTATCATTTAGGTTGATTTACATAACTTTTTTTTGTTTTAAATAAAGGTGCAGTTGCAAATCTTTAATTGTTATTTAAGTATGAATAGTTTTTACCATTATTAGAGTGAATTTAGTTATTGCAAGTCTGAATAGTAACGTGTTCTTCAAGAATTTAAACCAAGTTTGTTTAACATGGAGCTGCAGTGATTTTGGTGTAGGACGATTTGCACTGTTCATCTTGTTCTGGTATATTTCCTCCTGGATGTTGAGTTGGCTCTGGAAAGGCTGAAAACCTTTTGGGGGCATGAACAGGATCTAGGGTAGAACTATAGTTAAATTTCACTAGACACAGTATATGAAGTGGATCCGGGCCATATCCGTTATAGTTTTTAAAAAATTTTTTTTTTTGTAGTTTAAACTTCAGATACAAACAAAAAGGCACCACACAAAGATCACACCTAAACACAGCAAAAAATAAATAAAAAATCAAACCACAATTGTGAAGAAAACAAACAAACAAACAAACAAAAAAATTCATGAACAAACTAAGGGGGCAATTCTAAAGCTTCTAATCAATGGAACAAATCGACATCGTTCAGAAAAGATACAAGAAACCGGCTTCCCTTTTTTCAATCAGGTTCAATGAGTCAACAAAAAATCTGAGGTCATTTCTAAAGTGCGTTACATTTGGTTTTATCTTAAAAAACACAAACAAACAAAAAAACGACATTTGTGAATAAAAATACCTAAAATCAATAAATTATTAATTCCAAATTCCTTCCTTTTATCTTCTGTGCTTTGTTGACCTATTTGTATGATGTTTATTGTTTTGTTTTGTTTTTTTAAAATCTTGTTTTAATGTTGTACAGCACTTTGGTCGGCTTTGTTTGTTGGAAGGTGCTATAGAAATAAAGTTTGATTGATTGATTGACTGATTCTCTTAATGCACCAAATTTGATTTCTTTTATGGTTAGAAAGGCAAATTTTATTCCCTTGGACGAAGCAATGAATGAAAATCAGACCAATATTGTTGTACTAAACTACATGAGAAGAAAAGATGTTCCAAGTCTTCTTCCCTTGTGTCACAGAATAAACATTTACCTCAAATTTGAATTTTTGTTGTTGAATTTTGCCCATATAAACTGAGGAGCAGCGGTACCAGGTAAACGGTACCGGTTTTAGGTGCACCCGGATGGGCCTGCGCATTTTGCTTTTGCGTGTACTTTGACTAAATTTGGGTTAATTTACGATGAGATCAATCTGGATAATCTAACAATAAACCGCATAATCATTAAAAAACACGAATGAAGAAGATTATAAACTAAAGTCCAAAACGCACAAAATGGCGGCGGTCGCGGGGAGCAGGCTCGTGGCGCCGGTGGGAGGGGCGTGTACTCTTGCGCTGGGAGCACGCCACATGCGCAAGGGAGAGGGGCACGAGGAGAGCGCACACCACGGAACAACACACGGGTAAGAGAAACATGTCTGTGTTTATGTCCATGCGGGGGTTTCATTGAGTGTTTGTGGATTTCTGACGCGTTATTACAGCGATAAACAAGACAGTTCTGTAGTTACTGCGTTATAACACGTTTATAACACGATCGCAGAGGTTTACGGACTTCGATTGTGGCACGAGCGCTAATGTTTTGGTATGAAGTAAATAAAAAATACTTCTAATCTCGGGCTTGGTTGGTTATTTTTACGCTTATTAATAACCAAACCAACGCAGTGAAGAGATGCACAACTCAAAACGTGTGCGCTTTTCACACTCACTCATTCATGTTGGTTTTCATGAACTCCGCCATCTTTGGCCTCCTGAAAAAAGCAGATCTAGTTGATCGGAGTTGTAAAATGTAAATGTGTCTTTGTTTGCCGCTGCAACTTGTCTGCAAACAAACAAAGTTCCACACTATTCCCACTCACTTGTAGTTGAAAGTACGCTGTTTGTTTGTGGAGTTGTAAAGTTTACAGAGCACTCTTTCTGTGTCTGATCAGAGTTTGTTCCTTCAATGATCTCACGGTTTCCATTGCGGTTGTGTTCAGTGAGAGCTGCCAAACTGTGCCGCGTTTGGAAATGGAGATCTTTCTTTGTTTTCGTTGTTTTTCAGTCTTTTGTTTTAGTGGCGTTGGCGTGACTCGTCTTTGGTTACTGCTTTTAACAAACAGCAACATCCAAACGGCGCCTTCACTCTGTTCCATTCCTATCACGTAATTTACTATTACTACTAAATTATTTTTCAATTTACTAATTTATCATGTTGTTAAAACTTCTGTACGTTCTTGTATTGTTTGTTTCTGATTGGTCCACACTTTTAGCTGCTGCAATCCTATTGGTTAATGTGTTTTTACGTCATTATGTTCACTCCGAAGATACGTTTGTATTTCACCTGCAAAACGATCACGCATTATATTTATTTGGACTTTTTAAACATATCATCTTTATAATTTCTTCAGAATTAGTTGCTATCGTGTAGTTCACTCATTCTGTGCCTTACTTTTAAATTTTAGCAGCAAAATAATACATTTAAACAGGTTATTGAGTTGCTCTCCCGTAGACTTGAATGCACCCCGGAGTTGGCGCGGGAGGAATATAAACAGAAAAGCAGCGTGCTGAGCTGCTGCTACATGCTAAAAGACTGATCCCAGTGGTGTGATTTTATTGTTTATCTGTTGTCAGTGAAGTTGATTGACATGTAAGAAATTCTGGAAATGCGCCCCAAAGTGCAGCGATGTTGTGCTAGAAGTCGTTGGATAGTTTTTGGAGAGGACGCACGCTGACAGGTTAGTTTTCCTGCATAAAAAAGAAAATAACAGCAGCCAGAGTCGGTTTGTTGGTCCAGTAGTGATGAAAGATGGATATTCTCTTGACACTGACAGAATCCGTGCTTAAAATCGTTCCATATCTAAAGAATGAGCTGCTGTGAATGCATGTTTACGCACAAAGAGGTTTTACGCACGTAGAGCAGCTGGCAAAAGTTAAATGACCAGCTATTCCAACCCACGCACTGTTTATGAATCTGCACATGTCATCTTTTGGTCCTCTTGAATGTTGGTATGCAATTTAACGCCGCAGTACCATCTCCAGAATGTTACAGTCTGTACTTTTAAGTTGTATGAGTAAAATGCCCATGTATTTTTAATTTTAAAGCAACTCGTCTGCATTTTATGTTATAATTATTTTTATGTTTCCATTTTTGACAGACTACTATATTATTAATAATAAATGAAGCTCAGTATTATATTATGTTGTATTGGTTGTTTATTGAAATGGTCCATATTACAATATTTTCTGATCTATATTATAATGTTTCCTCGTCAAAAACATACCTGGGGTTTTGTTTTGTTTCATTCACACATGTTTTTCATCACACAGACCCTGTATATTTAGGCTGATTTCTTCTCTCAAACTAAAAACTACTGGTTCCACCTTGTGATGTCATGTGGTAAAACAAGAAGTGCTCCAGTGTGTTTTTAAAGTCCATACACTTTCACTACAATCATTTGGATTGATAGTTGTGGAACTGGCTTTTTCTACTGGACAAAATTTATAAGCACTACATGATATCAGAAGGTGCAACAGAAGGTTTAATAACGCAGTTTTATTCATAACACGTGTGAATGAAACAAAACACAACTCCAGATCTGTTTTTGAGGAGGTAACAACACTAAAACATTGCTTAAATCTGACAAGAGTCAATTTTGCGTAATATACTATCGTAAGTATATATAAGTAACTTTAATTAATCTTCCATCAGTCCTTTTTTGACCAGTAAAGGCAATAAGTGACGTATTTCCCCTTGAAAAATTTATGAATGTATGAATCTGTTTCGTTTCAGGTGCAGCCTTCTGCCAGTCGACGCACATCTTGTTTCCTTCCGTAACGGGACTGTCAGCAGCCAAACTTCACTGTGGAGACAAAGACTGAAGACACAACTACGATTTACTGCAGAAGGCTTTTGATGAAGTTGGTGTTGTTCAAATGAGTAAAATAATAATTTAGTTGTGTTGATTTGGGTGTTGTGTTTGACCTTAGTATCTAAACTGTGCATTCTCCCTCTAGTTTATTCTTGTTAATTAAATAATAAAGAAGGAGGAAGTAAAGCTCTTGAAGCTTCTGCAGTGGTTTAGTTTTTTTTTATGAGAAAAGCTACGAGAGAAGATGTTATTAAATTACCTCCACTGTCGGATGCAAGTGCATTTACAACTCTTCACTGTAATGAATTGGTTAAAAAGAGCATTAGATTGCAGCTGTTAACTGGAATAATCAACAATTGAAATATTTGTTGACTTTTTAAATGATTGCAATTGTTAACTGGACAAATAGCAATAGCAATATTATTTAATCAAAACAAATTTAAAAAGAATTGGTCATTTTCACCTTTTTTTGAAAACATTTTTGGAACTATTGTATTTTAAAAAATCTCTGTATATAGAAACAATACTTGGCTAGTCAATTGTTTTCTTATTATTAACTACTAGTTAATAATACAAATAGTTAAACAAAATTTTGACATTGAGGAAAAGGTGGAAAATTTTGATAATAAAAACTGTATAACAATTAAATGTTATTTTATTTCTTTAATATTGCAAAAACTGTTCAAGAAAAGTATTTTTATATGATTTTTATTAGTATCTAGATTCAATACTAGTTTTAAATATTGTGTAGTAACTGAATTAGATTTTTTCACAACCCTATTTCATAATTACATTTTCTAGTGTCTCATAGTGTTTATCTTCTTCTGAAGGTTTTAGCTTTGACCAACATAAATAGGCCTGCAAGAAACCAGAAAAAAGTTATTTGACAGACAACAGTGTGTGTGTTCATAAGACTGTTACATGTACCAATTACCACATGTTTATTTTTATTATAGATCCCTCCTCTAAGAATGCTGAGCTGAGTCCAGTGGAACCAGAAGTTGACCAAAAGATGCTGGGACAAATGTGGATTTAACCAATGAAGATACGACACAGGAGGTTATGAAAAAAGCCGAACCAAGTTTATATCAAGACAGGCTTAAACCTTTGAAATTCCCTGATAATCAAGAATCAGCCCAGTTTTTCCTAACAAAAGACAGTTCAGAAATAAACCAAATCACATTCAGTTTCTCCCTGCTAGTGAGAATGCACAAGAGAGCAATACCTCTTTACTGACAGTGCTGCTTAAATCATGGACGAAGAATCTTAACAACAGTTATCCAAATGTGTGTGAAAAGTTGAAAGAATTAGTATAACGCCTCCCAGTATAAATGTGTCAGAAATGGCAATAATAATTAGTCATATTGAGCAACCATGTGCAAATCCGTAAAGTGCACAAATCACGATTTCAGAATGCAGTATCCTTCTGAGCACTGACATTTTCGCCGTCTCTACTAACTGTACCTCAAGCAGTACCCAAATACTTTATATATTCAAGACAGAAAACTCAAGTTGAAATGTCCGCTATGGCCGGAAGCGACGTCATTTTGATCTCGGATTCTGAAGATAAGCCACAGGAGACTAAATCAAGCGCTGAAAATGCTCATCCGAAGCCGCCTACATCCACTGGAACTACAAAGGCCAGCAAAAAAACGGCGAGAAAAACTACAGGAACGCAAAATGAGTCACAAATCGCATATGCCCGGACTTTGAAAGAAATCTGCTCCAAAACGCCGTATTGTCTGTATGCGGACATGGCGTTGGAGCTGGATAACACCACCTGCGCGGTTATGATCGGCTACTTCGACTGCTGCTCCGGAGTAAGCGTAGTGAGAAGGCTGAACACGCTGCGCATCAATCAACCCAGCAGTGAAACTAAACGCAAGCCAGTGATCACCAAACACACCGCCAGCTCCGCGGCGGATCTGTTGGTAGACTTGCTCAAGACTGCCGAGCTCCCTTTGTACAATCTCAAGGTGTTTTACTGCAACATTCGCGATCCGGAAGTCAACGGAATTATTGTGTCGAAGCTAAAGGCACTCAACCCGCATTTGGTGTCTCTGGGCGGGCTTGCCTGTACGGTCGGGAGGGCTTGCCAGACGGGGCTTTTGGAATATTACAGCCACGTGATCGACCTCATTAATGACATTCACTTCTTTGAGTTACCTGAGTGTTTAGGAGGCACAGAGTACAGCGTCACTCTACCGATTTCAATCCAGTACACAGAAATCATCATGGTTATCCAAAATATGTCCTCAAACTGGCTCAAAGTGGAGGAGTATTTCAAAGAGCTGAGGTTAGACGTCGGGTTAAGCCGTCAGCAGAGGATTTGCGATCAAATGGAAGAACCGAAAGTTAGGTTGGATTTTACGTTCCTCGCTCAAGCTTTGGGAACCTTCCGAAGTTTTCGGGATGTGCAGGACAACATGGCGCGCGATATGGTGGTGGAGCTGCAGATGACGGCGCTGCTGGTCAACGTCTGCGCGTCCAGTATTTTTACGCCGACCGCCACGGAGGAGTTTGTCAGGAAGAAGGATCTGGGAATGCTCCAGAGTGAGAAGGATCTGCTCCCCCTGGCGAGTATAAATGTGGGTTTGAGAGCCAGGAGGTACTTGGGGTCTCTGTCCTTCGTCGTTATGGTGGAAGAAGAGAGGACTGAGTTCCTACAGCAGGCTCAGGGCTTCTACCAAACAGTGCTCAAGATTTTGGTTGAGAATCTCCCCGGACAGCTGAGTCCTCTGTCCATGAGGAACATCGGGACTCTGCTGAAGAGTCCAATGAGTCTCAAGGTAAGTGGTTTAAAACATACTTAAGCGTAATTTACCCATAATTTTATTGCAACCATGACCAATACAAAATCCAATATTTTTTTTTAGTATGATTGTAGCTTTACAAAATCGACGATGCACTAGGCAAGTTTTCTGGAAGAAGGTCCATCACCTGCTTGTGTCATGATAAGTTTTGCAGTATTGGAAAAAATTCCCACTCACAGAGGATTTATTGCCCACTTGTTTGTCTCCATTGATTGCTAATTTTTAAGGCAATTTATAGAACATTTGGAAAAAAAATATCTCCACATACAGTGTACACAATCGGTCAAAAGTTTCAGAACGCCCTAATTTTTCCAGTTATTTATTGCAATTCAAGTCGTGCAAGTCCAATGAAGAGCTTGAAATGGTACAAAGGTAAAAACTGAACAGATAGAGGTTAAAAAAAGATAAAAGATGCTAAACACAAGTCTAAGGTAACTACCTCAGGAAAAAAGAACAAGATGGTAAAACTTGAAAACATGGAGTATCCAGCACAGTGTCCAGACTTAAACCCCATCGAGCTGGTTTGGGATGAACTGGACAGAAGAGTGAAGCAACCTACAAGTGCCACACATTTATGGAAACTTCTGCAACAGACTTGGGAAGAACTTTCTGAAGAATATTTGATTTCTATTGTAGAAAGAATGCATGAATCAAAAGTTTAGAATAAGTTTTGGTCAACAGTAAATGGTAAAAAACTGGAAAAAGTGTGGTGTTATAAAACTTTTGACCAGTAGTGTATAGTGCCATATTATTGCTTTGCTTTGAATGTGGCATTGATTATGTAGATTAATTTTATTTTGTAATATTACCATTTACTTTTGCTTCTAAAATTGTCAGTTTTAGTTTTTACAATGCTTATTTTCACATTCACAGAATAATAACACATCTAATCTTTTTTTTTTTGTCCAGTCGGAGGATGTCTCCCATGTGCAGTTGGCAGAGTTGGGTTCTCAGTTGGGTTTGTGTAAAAGTAAAACCTCCAACTCTCCTCTGGCGTCTGAATACGTCAACTACATCCAGAGGATCAATGACGTCCGCGGGTTTGAGGGCAGCACAGCCGGCGCCAAGTGGCTCAAGGTGAAGCTGCACCACACGCTCGTAGAGGACTGGGCGCAACAAACAAAACAAAAAAAATCACACTTTCTTTTGTCATATTGAACAACAACAACAATCTCCAAGTTCTATTCAGTTTTACTTTTTTCTTTTAGTATTGATTTCATGAACATAAACAAGATACCTTTTAATTTAAGCCACTGAAAAGATAAAAATGCCTTAACTGAGAGGTTGTAGACCAATCTAAGGTGAAAGGGGCTCCAAGTAGTGCTCAGGGAGTTAGTGTGTTTGCTCAGAAACATGAAAAATTTAGGGGGAACATTGCTGTAGTGCTCCAGTAAAAAAAACCAAAAAAAAACAAGTTGCTCATTGACCATTAGAAATGACTGAATCTCAATCTTAATCTCAATTTGATTAACAGCCCTGTACATGATTTCTCCTGTGCAAAATCTGTCTTGCCCCAGTTCAGCTCATGAAGTCCAAAGTCTGCTGTGTACTATGAGAAAACGTTTTACAGTCGTCCCTCGCTGTATCACGGTTCACCTTTCGCGGTCTCACTGTTTCGCAGATTTTTTTTGCGCAATTTTGCATGCCTTTTTTTAAAATTTATTTTTTTACAGTGTATGAGCACGCATTGTGTCCCTCCCCCTGCGTCCTGATTACGGGCGGGTAGTGATTACACACAGACTAAACCAGGACTACACCAGGATTACATCAGGTCTAAACCAAGTCTAAATCAGGACTAATCTTGGATTTAAGAGCTTAAAGCGCGATCGAGCGATGGCCGCGATTAGCTCCATGAGTTGTGGAGCTCTGAGCCGGTCCTTTCTCCTGCGGTCACCCTCAAGCCCGTCCCAGCAGTGAGTCCTGGTTGAGTCCTGGTTGAGTCCTGGTTGAGTCCTGGTTGAGTCCTGGTTGAGTCCTGGTTGAGTCCTGGTTGAGTCCTGGTTGAGTCCTGGTTGAGTCCTGGTTTTGTCCTGGTTTTGTCCTGATTTTGTTCTCCTCTTCAGTCCTGGAATCAGTCCTGGGTTAGTCCTGGGTTAGTCTTGGTTCAGTCCATGGCATATGCAGTGCAACAATTTGATATAATCTCTGTGCGAGTCTCCAAATATGGACCTGTGCAGGACTCTGCGCTGCAGGGCTCTATTTCGGAATAAATGAATCTTCTGTTCGTTACATAAAGAAGGAGGAAAATAACAAAAGGACGACAGCAGAAATAAGTTTTAAGAAGGATGCAAAAAGGGTTGTAACTGTCCTGTGTGAGAAAAGTGTACAAAGTGTGTACTGAGGGGTTTTACAGCCTTAAAACAGATAGAAAAATTGTAAAATATAAAGTTGACTACTTCATGGATTTCACCTATCACGGGTTATTTTTAGAACGTAACCCCCGCAATAAACGAGCGACCACTGTATTGTCCAATGTTCAGGAAGTGTTTGTTAGCATGGTAGGTGTTACAGTGTTAGTTTCCATGACTGCAAAACTCCCCTCAGGCCTCTAAAAGTTATGAAATGCTTAAGGAATGCCTAAGGTAAGTGAGGAATAACTTTGGACCACTGCAGAGCTCTTGTTTTTCAGTTTAATTGCCGAGCCGGACTCTTATGTGTGTCGTCTGTGCCCGTCTGTCTGATCGTAATAATGAGGTTTTAACTGTCTGGTTTATGTTTTGCAGGTGCTGGACAGTTTGGCACGGTTTCCTATTTTATTTAAGCTGGTCCTCACTCTCCTGGCTTTTCCGCGCTCTCTACAACTGAAGCACATTTTTCAGGTGAGTTTCCCACTTCCCACTAGAGGCAAATTTTAAATCCAGTGTGATTTTTACCTATCAATAGTGTGCAGTTGTAAACAACAGGATTTTATTTATGCATGTGTTGTTATAGTTGGAGTAATAAAAATATTGAGCTGGGGGATGAAGTTTAAAATAGTTGGTTTTCCAGTGAGTTTACTGAGAGGCACAAATATGGATAGACATAGATCGGGTAGAGACAGCCACAACAAACATCACCACAAATGGGCAGGTTCCAATGAAGCTTTTCTTATAGATGAGCATCAGTATTTTTGGGGGGAAGTGGCCAAAAAACAAACAAATAAAAAGAAATAAACCAGTTTGTCCCCTTTACACCCGCAACACCATCTCTTCTGAGGCAGACAAACTGGGTGAACTCAAATTGGAAAACAAACTAAAGGACAGCAGACAGCAGTAACCGCAACTGTAAACACAAAATTACAAAAAAAACAAAACACTTAGACAGATTTGATAAATTTTTTATAAAAAAATTTAAAATATGAGCTATTTGTGTGTCGTGAGACCCGCATACTTCACGGTCACACAGATCAGCCGTTAAAAACAGCATGGCCCTAACATAAAACATTCACACACATAAACAATTTAAAAGGCTTACAGGTCACACAGCCAACTTCTCCTTAAAGGGCCCATCTCATGCAAAATAACTCTTTTCACATTGTATCTTCTGCACATATACAAGCACAATTTGGGTTTTGGAACATCCATTACACAATAGTTATGAAATCTTACTGATTTGTTGGAGACAGTCACAGACCAAGAACTGTGAAAGACCGACTATTGCTCATCCCCCCGCCCGTCCTGAGAAAGCACAGGCTCCACCCTCCAAACCTGACGTAGGCTCTGAGTGAGCCGCCCTTCCTCCACCCATCTCAGGGAGGGAGGGGGAGACAGGCGTGCACGCTGATAGTGGTAGGAATAAACTTTTATTCATCATGGTGATACAGCGCGTTCAGCCGCATGTGTTGGACCCGGAATCGGATGAGGACTTTGAGGTGCAGGAAATGCAAGCACCGCGTCGACATCAACTTATTATATTGTGTAGACTGCAGTGTAAAACAATACACTGAGGGGGGCGGGTGCGAAGCGCCTTCTGCTGCGTCAAACTTGTCATAGTGTAGCTGCCGCATCATCGTTGTATAGCATCTTTAGTTCGTTGTCACTTGGGAGGGTTTTAGAAATACGCTGCAATTTGTTAAAAAACGCCAAATCAACCTAAAAACCATTTCGGCGACATATACAAGGCCCACACATCACTCTTAGAAGGTAGAAATCTCTGAAAAGTTGATTTTGCATGAGATGGGCCCTTTAAATTCCATTGGCCTGTGCCACAACAGCGACACCCCGAGGTGCCCCCCACTACATATATTAACAGTGAAAATGTGATCTCCAAGGCTGCATTCACATTTGCATAAAACCTCAGCGAAATTGTGACTAAAATGTGGGACTAAACAACAGGACTAGACCAGGACAAACACAATTTAGCATTTACTTCTTCTGTTTAACATTGTCTCTGATCAGTGAATGTGTGTTTCCAGTCCTCAGGCAGAAGCGTTCTTTCCCCAGACCAAAGGAAAGGTGTGAAGAGGAGGTATCGACATTCGCACAGAGCGGAGAGAGAGAAGGACTCCTCCTTCTCCTCCTCCTCCTCTGATGAAGACCGACCCAGACCCCATCCCACACGCCAACTGGAGAGGGACTCAGAGGACTCGGACTACACTGACAACTCATCAGGTCAAATAAATGCCCTTGGTCTTCTTTTGTTAAGTGAAGGAACTGTGTGTTAGATTATGATTTTAAATTCCATAAGAGTGACCTAATTTGTCCACAGATATGAAGTAAACATTTTCAAATCAAATCAAATATAACTTTTACTAGTAACAATTGTAAAACTGATTTATTCTTCATTACAAAAGCACTGGATACAAGGACCATGTTTGTTTTGGTGTTTGATTCTCAACATGATTATCCAACCAGAAACCAGAATGAGCCTCACATGACTCACTCATTTGGGTTGCCAGTTTCAACTCTAATATCCAGTTACTGTATTTTTTCGGACTATAAGTCACTTCATCCAAAAAAATGCGCAATGAAGAAGAAAAAAGCATACAAGTTGCACCGGACTATAAGTTGCACTTCTTGGGGGAAATTTATTTCATAAAATCAGAGACTAGGAACCGACATTTCATCTTAAAAGTCAAATTCTAGTAAAAACAATAGAAGAGAGAACAACAGACTGATAACGTCACATATGAACAGTTCTTCAGATAACTATAACATAAACAACAGAACAGAACAAGTTTACCAAACTCCATCTCACTCCAAATCACTAAATCCATTCAATTCTTCATCCTCGGTGTCACTTCTGAGCAACTTGGTGACCTCCAGAGGTAAACAGAGCACCGCTTCTTCCTCTTCTGTGTAGCTGTCGTCAGACTCAGTTCCAGTTAGAATTATTCCGGCCTTTCTGAATCCCGACAGGATGGTTTTGGTGTCACTGAAGTCCAGACTTTGTCCATCCATCCAGTGATTTCCAGGAAAGTTGCATGGTGCATTCTCCCGGTGTCACAAGTTTCTCGCTCACTTCAAACTTTGTTTCTGCTGCTCAATTACCGTTTTCTACTGAATATTTCACTACTTGCTGCTTGTAATCTGCAAAATATGATTTTCTTTTTGGGGGCAGTTCAGTCTTCTCAGTTGTCTTAATAAGTTTGTTTAAATGTTTTAATTTCAGTGGTACAGAAGTAATGGTGCGATCGACTGACATGATACAAACAGAATAGAGGCTCCTTATGCTTGGAGACATGCTACAGAAGTAATAGGAGTGGCAGATAGGGGCACACAAGCCTAAAGCGCCCTCTTGTGGGTGTCAGTATGAAAATTTTAATATATAAGTCGCACCGGAGTATAAGTCACAGGAAACACCCAAACCATGAAAAAAAAATGTGACTTATAGTCCGAAAAATATGCAGTACTTTAAACCTAAAATGCCTCTCTTTGATTTGAATGGTCATTACCTAAACCAGCAGCCAGTCATGAATCAGTGCTAGTGCAGCCTCTGCAGCTCAGTGAGTGAATTCTGGAGGGAGTTTGAGCTTTCACATGAGGCAAAAACTGAATAAAATTGTTAGCTTTACCCCTGCAAAAGGGAAAAAAAAAAAAGACTAATACTGATACTGAGTAATCTCTCTTGTCTTATTCCAGATGTGGTCGACGTGACTGACGGCTGCAAAGAAACAATTAAAGCACATGAAGGTACAAACTTTAGACTTATTCTATATTATTATACAGTCTGTGTTCCTTTTCCATATTAATACTATAATTTCTACTTAAACTACATTTAACTTACAGATTCAGATGACACGGAACCAGAGCCTGAGAAGCCTGTCAGTGAGTCCATCTATGTGCTGGAGGGTGAACAGAAAAAGACCAAACACAAACCAGCCAAACTGAAACCAGCCAAAGCAAAGCCTGAACAAGTAAGATGTGTTTATTTTTACCTTATTTAGAGCTAAATCACGTCTATAACTGGACTTTTCCAGGTCTAATCTATGGCTAAACCAGGTCTGAAAGTGGACTGAATGATTTCTAAAACAAGTTCTAAACAAGAAATGATCCAAAAGAGGACAAAGTGTGGATAAAATGAGCTCTAAATTAGGCAAACTCTCAAACTCAAGACCTTTATACAACATACACAGCAGCTTTATTAAATCAAAATGTCAGAAGAAGAATAAACAACTCGCAATTTCTTTCAATAATATACTTTATTTGTAGATATTCTCTGTTTAGAAGCTTTTACTCTCCATATTTCTATCTCTCTTTTATTGGTTATTTGGTATTTTCAAGTCGACTAGTAAAAATATTGTTAGTAACAGCCCTAGAATCTAAAATCCTGGTTTGATTGGTGAGATGTTAAGAGAGTTTTCATTTGTGGCGCAGAGGCAGCAGGGTGAGCTGGTTCTGATCAGCCTGGAGGACGCCCTCTGCTGGCCGGCCGTCACAGTACCCACTTTAGAAAACAACCAGGAGCCGGACATGAAGAAGGTGGTGTGGTACGGGCACAGCATGACCTCAGAGGTGACTTTTGACTCCGTTCATATATTTGAGTAACACTTTAGTTTGGTGACTGTATTTCAATCGCTGGGTGAGTGGTAATTGGCATATTTATTACCGTATTTTCTGCACTATAGGCACACTTAAAAGCCTTTAATTTTATCAAAAAGCGACAGTGCGCCTTATAATCCAGAGCCCCTATAGTGCGGAAAATACGGTATTCAAATTTTAAGCCTGGTGTCTGCTTTTTTTTGCCTTGTATGATTTGCTATGTTTACATTAGAGCTTTAATTCTGAATAAAAAGACCATGTAAACACTTAATTCCTAATGAAAATGATTATTTAGGAATTTTACTTAATTCTGAAGTAAGTGGGTGGTTTATTCCGATTTTAAAGCCAAATTACTTTATTCCTCGATCATGTAAACGTTTATTCTTCTCAAAAATAATTCCGGTCGTTCAGTGCATGCTCGTTGGATCGCCCTTCTGACGTGTCCAAATCGCATCAGAAGGGTGAGTTAAGCTATTTTCTGCACATCAACGATTATTGTCTGCTCTTTTTATCATGTTAAACAATGTCAGATTGTGTGTAGGGATGGGACAATAAACAATAATATTTGGTTTCAAGCTCTGTGTGGTAACATTTTTGTAATTACTGTGATTAGGTGCTGCTGTTTTCACCTTTGTAAAAGTGAGTAAATGAACGGGAATCAGGGAGAGACAGTCCTGTTCACAGTGGAGCAATTCTTCTATTACTTTGACTCTGCGCTTGTCTTTCCGTCCTTATTCAAAGATAAGATTGATCATAGATGTTACTTTTTTTATTGTGTCACTGATTGTAACAGATCTTGAATATCCATCAGCATTGAGGTCTACACTTGTTGAATCTCTGTCTGTCGTCCTGTTTGTGTTTAATGTTCAAAAACTGTTGTGCTGTAGGTCTGCATCGAGTATCTGCGTCCATTCGCTGACTTCTCCAGATTCTTCTCTCAAAACACCTTTGCCACTGTCGCCACCTACAAAGATGCTGTGTTTTTGGCACTAAGGGTTTGTTTTTTCATTTTATAATAAAAAAAAATTAATTTGACTGTGTTTTTTTAGTTATAAGTGAAAATATTTACTTCATTTAGGAGGCGAGTGCCCGCTGTCAGAAGCAGTTTTCAGCCTCGTTTGACAACAAAGAGGAGATCCTGGTGGAGATGCTGGACTGGGCTTTTGGTGGGTTCAAACCAACGGGACCCACAGGATTTGCACCTGCTTTATTAGGTATATTTTATTTTAAAAATACATTTTCATTTCATAATTTATAGGGGTGAGATTAGATTTTAAAAAAATCTAATTAATTACAGGCTTTGTAATTAATTAATCGCAATTAATCGCAAAACAATATTTGCTTTACCAGAGTAGCCGCCGGGTCTTAAAAGTCTTAAAAAGATCTTAAATATCATGTTCCTAAATTAAGACCTTAAAAAGTTTTAAATTATGTTGTCCAAGTCTTAAATTTCAAGTCTTTAAATTTCATTTGCCTATTTCTTTGCATACACAACCGGGCTGCAGTGCAAAGGAAAAAAAGCCACCAACATGAAATCACGTAATGGGAATGAATGTCTAATTTGGAGTATGTACTCTGTACTTTGGTTTCTGACACTGGTGGTAATGAGTAAACAATCAGTAGAGTGGAGAAAGAAGTTGGATGGATCATGGGGAAGTGTGAGTTTAATCCACAGTGGCTCTTAGATTCTAGATATAGTACTGTAGTTGATTGGTCATTATTAGAATTGGTAAAAAGGTTTTTAAAAAGTCTTAAATTTAGGGTAATCAAACCTGGGGATACCCCGCTTACTCATTTACTAAATTTTCTCCCTGAAGCCTCTGATTTGTTTGAGTTTGGGCTGCTGACACCGCTTGTTTGTACTCAGACCAGAACTGCTCCCACCCACAGCTCCAGCTGTTTCTGTGCTCACTGTCACATGTTTTCATTTAAATGGTATTGCAGGGTTGAAGTGCTTTTGTGATATGAAAACTCTTTTCTGCACAGTTTGCAATAAATGCCGCCTTTGTCAGTACTTCCACGGGGTACTTTTTTAAATAGAAATTTACCGTCCAGCAGACCCAGAGCGCTTTCATCGTTGTTGTCGGAACTGTGTGTGTCAGTATAATTAGCGTACCACAACATGGTGCACTGACAAACCTTGTGTGCTGTTTGACAAAATGTGATAAAATGCATATTAAAAATATTTTTAATGCATTATTTACTCTGTAATTAATTCAATCGTAATTTACGCTTTAATGCCCCACCCCTAATAATTTAATTTCTATATAAAAGATGTAAGGTGTGTTATGTAGAAATAGAAAAACTAAAATATTATCATGTGGAATTTTTTTTCACAGCAAACCTTCAGTTCAAACCTGACTTTGTGAACGCTACTGCCAAACAGTCACCATAACAAATTTTGTAGTACGATATATTGCTTAAGAACATGTAAAAATTAAATGATAAGATTGAAACTAATGCTACTGGAGCACTGCACCTAAACAAGAATTATCCCCAAAAATAATTCTGAAGGTACAATATAGTTAAAAAACTGCAATGAATAAATAAATAAATAGAAGAATCAAACACTTGAGTCGTTAGTTTGTATCTGTAATGAGCCATAAAAGTGATTTATTCAATCTTTTAACATTCAAATATAATCGTACTACAGGAAAAGTAACAAAAACTTTCTCACTGGTATAAAGAAAAAGTACTACAATAAATACTGACCCCCAAAAATGATCATTCCATTTAAGATACATGAACAATAAGTCGATATAGTTTTCTAATTATGGTGACAGTACTTCCAAGTGATCTGTGATTGTGATGTACATTTGTATTGTGTTTGTATTTCTAATTGTGTTTAAAAAATTTTTTATGCAGCAAAAGAGAAGAACCGCCCTGTCGAACCCTCAAACTCATCCAAAGGCAAAACTATCACCCCTGAAGACCTGCCCAGGCTTTCCGTGTCTCTGTACAAACTGCCACTGGAGATGTTACAGAAAAACACAGAAAAGAAAAAGACTAAACCTGTGTGGAAAGGGAAGGGCCCGAGGAGGAAAAGCAGTTTATGTTTGAGAGACACGTTTGAAGATACAGACATGTCCCCAGACTATGTGCCGTGTAAGAAGAACTTTATGAAGAGACCCTACAGCAGAGTGGACCAGTCGAACAAGGGCGCCCCGCAGAATGTGTACAAACAACCTGACCAGAAAGAGAGAGGTGAGACAGTGCAAATATCAAATGTATGCCTATGTCAACTAGGGTTGTTCCGATACTGATACCGGCATCAACAAAAGCTCTGATACAGAACGTTTTTAGGTATCATATTGGTGAGTACTCGGACCAAATCACCGATCAAATACCTCTGTATCTTCTTGAATAACAATTTCTTGAAATGTTAACTTGAGGAGCTGCTGTTTATGTTTCTGCCTAACCTGGAATTTACATCAAGAGCGTCAGCAGCACGTAACATCGGCAGATCTGCAAACCTGTTTCCCTTTAAAAGCTTCAATTTACACCAGAGACAACAGAGCTGCTCCTGTGATGCCAGCCTCTGTGTATTCTCATGTTTAAACACTAAATTTTTACATCGCTTATGTATTCTTTGTTGATTGGATGAATTATGTTTTAAATCACAAAACAAAGTTGATAAAGTCGATGCTTTGCAGCGACAACAAGCTGTATCTGCTGTGCTGTATTAATTAAGATACTGTATTTTTCGGATTATAAGGTGCCCTGGATTATAAGGCACATTAAGTGAAACAAACGGGCGACACTTGAGACTGATCCTTTAGCCCAGGCGTCCACGATCCATCGGCAGATTGTGGCGTAATTCGCCCAGCGTTACCTCCCTGTCTTGGTGAATGTGTATTATGAATGTGAATGTGGGTGAATCATTTAAGTTTGTTTCTTTATTTCCTACGAGGAGGACTTAAATATACATTAATAATGTGTTTAATGCAGCTTAGCGCTCTTTTGTTTACGTTTTACTGACACTAAACTTAAAGCCACATAACTAATTTGCATAAACTCTAAGCGCTGAAAAAACAGCTTTCTCCTTGTGCGCTGATGCGGTCACCTGCTGTCAGACTAAGGACCGTAAATTGGGCTTTACTCTGCAAGGCTCTGTAGTTTTGACAGATTTTTGAGCGTCGTGTACCACATAAAATCAGTTCAGGGTCAGTAAGCAGAACCAGAATTAATACATATGGCGTACCGGATTATAAAGGGCACTGTCGATTTTTGAGAAAAATTAAAGGATTTTAAGTGTGCCTTATAGACCAGAAAATACTGTACTCACTATTTAACTTTGCTTGTCTGCTCCACGCACCTTTTCCCTCAGAAGCTGTTCTTGTAACGTTGCTGTTTGATGTCATAAAGTGTTTTATATTTATCCTCCATGGCTGTAAACTTTCCACAGTCCATCGCGAGCCATTCTCCGAGCTCCTTGATGCGATGCACAGTGTATTGTTTATATTTTGGAGGTCTCCTGTTTGCTGCATGCATTTAACTTGTTTTTTATTTATTTATTTATTTATTTGATTGGGACAGAGCATGTTAATGAACAAACATGACAACATGAATGTAAACACACCGGATTGTAGCCTAAGGCTAATTTCCATCCGTTGTCCCAAGGGCTGGGGTCACAGGGGGCCAGACACTAAAATATTGCACACTCCACTCATTATATAGTTCCATTCATTGCACAGTTCCCATTGTGAGAATTTTTGTTTCAGAGAGGATCATACGCAGAATTATGGAGTTTGACTTGGACATTGACAGTGAGTATCGAGGACTGGTTACCTGCTTATTTTTTCGTAAAAATGTCCTAATGTCTTTTTTTGTTTTTTTGCAGAGTTCTGTGTGTGTTGTGGCACTGAGGACGTAAGCGTGTTCCACCCTCTGTTCAAAGGCAGCCTGTGCTTGGAGTGTAAGGTAAGGGAGCATAGAATTGTGACAGGTTAGACTATCGGTACTCATCTGACTAAATAAAACACAGTCAACATCATTATATTCAAGACTTTACTAAGAATCAAGTGTTGTTTTTTCAATTTTTAACTTTTCTATTAATTTAAGCGGTTCTTCAGATGTCCAGGAATTAGAAATGCTCACAAAATTGGATCAAAACAACTGGACTTACTCAACTTTTGCAGCCAGTGATTCACTTCTAACCAAGTAGCTTCTTCTGGCTTTGTTTTAGTCACTGTGGCTATTTTTATTTATTTTTTATTTTATATAATTTTACTTCTGTAGCAGGCATAATGTCTAAATTGCTGTGTAGTTCTCCATTAGACAAATAAAAATAATTGAAGGTTTAAGTTGCTTGTATTAGTGACACAAGTAGAGGAATTCTGTTTTCGAACTCAGCTCTACTTTTCGTATTTTTGTACTTTTTGTTTTTTCCACAACAAACTGTCACTTAACTAATATAAAACTATGGTAAATATTGACCACAGGTACTATCAGACCAAACCAATAATTAGAAAAAGATGAAAACATGTCATATGTACTTTAAAGAGTAGGTTTTGTGATGTGTCTAACTGATTTTTGGGTGTGATTTTCAGAATAACTTCACAGAAACCCTGTACCGGTACGATGAGGACGGGTACCAGTCCTACTGCACCATCTGCTGCTACGGCATGGAGGTCATTCTGTGCGGCAATGACAGCTGCTGCAGGTTTGTTTTAAAGGCCCTAGATTACATAAAATAGACTCTTGTGGGCTTTAAGTTGAGTTGTAGTACTCGAGACCGTTTTTTTTTTTTTTTGGCGGTTTTGGTCTCGTCTAAAACTTGACTGTGCTTGGACTCAGTCTTGTCTCAGTCCTGAAGGCACTTAAACTCAGTCTGTCAGTCAGAAAAGCACGTTTCTCAAAGAGGAGTGGGAAGAAGAAAAAAAATTATATTAACTCACCCCTGTTCATTACATAGTTTCAACAATTAAAAAAATGATGCGGCTGCTTATGGACATTGATTACGAAACTTTACAAATATTTACATATAGCAAAATAAATTACATACTAAGAATACTAAATATTATTTTTACCCAGGTTCTTTCTTTTTTTAATGTATTGTACTGTATTTTGGTTGTACAAACTAATAATAATGATAAAGAAGGCACAGAAGTTTATCGTTTATGATCGTTTCAAATTAAGCTAAATGAAATGAAAAATTTAAAACTATTACTTTATGACATCACAAGGTAGACCAGAGCATTTTTTAGCTTGGGAGATGTAGATAGACTTATAATATTATAGTATAATAGTATTACTCAAATGTGTGTGAATGAAACGGCACAACTCCAGGTGTGTTTTTGAAGAGGTAACAATATTCAACAACATGACGTAAAGCTCAAAAGAATCAATTTTGTGTAATAGAGGACCTTTAAAGTTAATAATATACTAATAATATAGTGACAAACTGTTCCATCACATTTGAAAGTCTCTCCATTTCCATCGTAAACGTTCAGTCCTTTGTTGTGGTGCCCAGGTCGTTCTGCGCAGACTGTCTGAACATCCTGGTGGGAGAGGGCACCTTCGACTTCCTTAAGGACCTGGACCCTTGGATTTGTTACCTGTGCCAGCCCCACGAGACCCACGGCTCCCTTCGACCCGACTGGAGCATCCGCGTGCAGGAGCTCTTCGCCAACAACAGTGCCATGGAGTTTGTAAGACATTCAACTCTCTACAAGACCTTTAACCTGAGGACAGTGTTTTTAATAGCATGGGCTATGTTTTGAAAGACATGAAACATATAGTTTTCTTTTTCATACTTTATTATATACAATATTTTGACATAAAAATGTTTTATTTTTTATTAATTAGATTTTTTTTTTTACATTTTTGGTAAATAATTTGTTCCAGTTCCATTTGTTTTGGTCCAATGATATGAATAGACTGGGTGCAATCAAAGACAAATTTGAAGTAAATTTCCCATTCATTTTTCCCATAGACTTAAAAAAAAATCTGTAAATAATCAAGTAATAGAAAAGTAATAAAATAATACATACATGAAATTATATTAAAATAAATATTAAAGATAAGATAATGGGGGTTAACCGGCTAAATCATGTCTATACAGTCCAAAAACACATTTAATATCTAAAAATAAGTTTTAATAACTTTGTGTTCAATCAAGTTTCAGAAGCCGATTATGACTAAAATAATGGATCTTGTGGTCATTAGTTAACACAATTTTTGTTTCTTTTTTAAATGAATATTAAAATTTTCCTTCAAGAACTAAGTAGTCGCTGTTGAGCCATAAGATGACTTGCTAAAAATGTTATCTAACACGAAATGTACTTTTGGTACAACTTTCTTTAATTGTAGTTGAATTTCTATACATATGAATGACGTTAATATTATATATATCCACTATTTTATCTTTCATATAGTTAATCTTGTGTCAAATGAAATATCACAAAACATTAACATTTCACAATTGAGACAACTGATGAGCTTTGAGCTTGAGTGCTGTGAAAACAGGTTAAACATAACCTGACTCGATGCTAAACCAAATTTTTTTTAACACAGGGTGAAACAGTTAAATCATTCAGTTATTAAGATATTTAAAATAAGTTTCATTGGTCCATTTTAAACACAGTTCCCAATGTATTTGCGCTTATTTCTGCACTTTGTTGTCTTGTTTATAAATACTCTCTTCAGAGTGGTTAATAAATGACAGAAACAAAATATTTTTATTGCTGAAGTTCTCAAACACATGTGCTGCTTTACACAGGAGCCTCACAGAGTTTACCCGTCCATCCCCGCCAGCCTGCGCCGCCCCATCCGAGTCCTGTCCCTGTTTGATGGAATAGCCACAGGTGTGCTCCTACTGGCCAAGCGCATGTCCAAATCTAACCTGCATGAACTAACACAAATGTATGGTTTTTAATAAATGGACCACCAAATAACCCCCACTACCTTTAATTGCACTAATGGCCACTTGATGACGCTTATGTACTTTCTACTTTTCCCATTCATCTTATGCACAGAAAATCCAGAATGATCTCTCTCTTAGGGATGCATTGGTATCTGATGTTGGCACCAATCCAGGAAATTTTGCATGCTTGGACCCATGATATCGGTTCAGCAGATGTCCTGGTTGGGCCATTAGGTTCATGTAATAAGAGCAGGGATCTCCAACCTGTAGCTTGAGAGCTACCAGTAGCTCTCCACCCAAGTAGCTCACCGAGGGATTTCAGAATCATACCACTGTGCTGAATAACAAAAATTGTTTAATTACATGCATATTACCATGTAAATGTATCATTTTGTAGCCCAACTTTGTGCACTAATAAATGGACAGTGGTTTATGTTTTAGTGGCATCTGTCTGCACCCAAAGACTTGCCCTTTCTTATAATCATCTCAATTTCTTCTGGCAGCTAAAATAAGTAGCTCTCTGGCATTTCTGTTTTGTAACGGTAACTCACCGGAGGAAAAAGGTTGGAGACCCCTGGTTTAGGGGCTCAATCTCATAGTGATTGAACCTTTATACAAAGCTGCTCAGTAGTTACTTGCAGGAAAAATTATAATTACATACCAAAAGTTAACTGTGTTTTTTTGGGGGAAAAGGGCCATTCTCAGTCTAAACACTGTTATGGGTTCATATCTGGTATCGGTGAATACTTAAAGAAACAGTATCGATACTGGACCTGAAAAAGCATCGGTACATCCCTAATCTCTTTATTTTTAACGTGAAGATATCAGTCTGGTCCCCACTCGCTGGATCGCGCCTTGGGCCAGAACCAATTATTATTATGATTGTGCAATCAAATTTACATTTAAGGTGTATTTCTACTTTCTACTGCGATTTATTGAGTCCCCAGTCCCATGTTTATTTTTCCCTATCTTAATTCCACATAAGCTGCCATATTTATTTTGATATGAATGTATCAAGGTGGATGGGAACTGTTCTTACACATGTGTTTCACTTGGTTTAACAGCTGATTCTGTCACCTGCATGCTGGTGTGATTATTTCATGGTCACTTTCTGGCTGATACTCTATTTCGTCCAATGGCTCTGTAACGTCTCCTGCCATGTACCAAAAAAGTTTTAGCGTTCCTGTCAACACCAGATCTCAATCAGGACTATTATAACTATGACAATGCTGCAGGATACAGAGAACACAGGGGAGAGGTACTTTTGTCCTGAGGGTTCTTACTCTCCTCAAACTGCCCTGACACTGGATCTGGTGACTGACCTGTTGAGCTGAACTGAGACTTTTGTTTGAGCTTTTTTACTATTGTGTTTACTGCTCAATGTGGGCGCTGCTCTGTCTGAGGCTTATAAAGAACTGACTTGGGTGAAAATACGACAAGTGATATGATTTGTGCTGCTGCTCAGATTGCGTTAAATTAAAGGTCTGAATAAAGTCTAGTTTGAGTAACAGAGCTTCAGACAGAGCAGTGCTTACAGATGGTATTAATTAAGACATTCACCTGGTCATGATGTTGTAGTTTTTTCACATGCATGCTGGTGCTGTAAAAAAAATTTTCATGGACATTTTCTTTTTATAATTTGCCCTAGATTTTCCACTTTTTATAGATTTTCCAATTGTGAGTTTGAGTTGTATTTGCAGTCTCCATGTTGCTTCTTGCGCATCTTTAGGCTACTTAGTGCTCAAAGATCTGGGCTTCAAAGTGGAGAAGTACGTGGCGTCAGAGGTCTGCGACGACTCCATCGCTGTGTCCACCGTGAACCACGAAGCCAAGATCATCCATGTGGGAGATGCCAGGTTTATCACTCAGGAACATGTAAGTAAAACTAAAACACTAATGAATCTAAAGGGGACATATTCAGCAAAATACATTTTTTCAGAGATTTTTAGCATGTTTTAGTTGTTTCCCCTTCTCATTTCTCCTCTCAAAGTTGTATTTAGAGTGATTCATGCAGGTTTGAGTAATAAATATTCTCCTGCAATCAAGGCGCAATAAAGGCTGTAAAGACTAAAGGAATTCTTGGTAGATTAAAGACGTGTCTGCCAATTGATTTGCCGACTAAAAAGGGGGCGTGGTAAAAGCTCTGACCCAAACTACACTCACAAGACTCGACCTACAGGAGGAGCTCATGCAAAAAATACTACTGTATTTTTCGGAGTATAAGTCGCACCGGCCAAAAAAATGTGTAATGATGAAGAAAAAAACACATAAGTCGCACCGGACTATAAGTCGCATTTTCTGGAGGAAATTTATTTTCCCAGGAACCGACATTTCATATTGAAAGTCAAGTTATAGTAACAACAGGCTGAAAAAGCATTAATATGTTAACGTAACATATTAACAGTTCTTCAGATAACTAGAGCATAAACAACAGAACAAGTTTACCAAATTCTCCATCTCACTCCAAATCACTAAATCCATTGAATCCATTGAATTCTTCATCCTCTGTGTCACTTCTAAGCAACTCCGCGCAACTTTATTTGTCACTGAAGTCTGGGTTTTGTAAATCCATCCCGTGACTTCCAGGAAAGTTGTCCCTCACAAGTTTCTTGCTCACTCCTTTTTTCTGCTGCTCGATCACCGTTTTTGCTGCATATTTCACTACTTGCAGCAGGAGAATGGCTTTTTCTGCTGGAGACATGCGCAGAAAACTGACACACAAGCCTAGAGCCTCTCACGGCTGTCAGTCTGAAAATTTAAATTCATTAAATTAATTAATTTAAGTCGCACCAGAGTATAAATCACAGGAAACACCCAAACCATGAAAAAAGTGCGACTTAAAGTCCGAAAAATACAGTACTTTATGCTGAAAGTACTAGGAAACAATGTATTTATATGAAAACATTAAATTTGTGAATCATGGGTTTTATCTGATTTTTCTACATGTAAATACACAAACTTGTTATAGTTATGATTAGCCTCAAGCAAGATTACTAAAGATTTACTTAAAGATTTATATTTACAAATTCTGGACTAAACAAGGTCTAAACCAAGACTACAGAGACAACATCAAACAGTGGCAAAATGGAGCTAATTTAGATGACTTAAGATGACTTCAGATTCTCCAGAATTACCTTTTTAATATTGTACTTGTACCAAAAACAGTATTCTTGTTTTGAAATGATTTTGTTCCATGGTTGCTTTTTTTCTCTATACTTTATTATAACTAAAGTCTTGTCTGTTTTTGCTCGTGTAGCTGGATCAGTGGGGGCCTTTTGACCTTCTCATTGGTGGAAGTCCGTGCAATGACCTGTCCATTGTCAACCCGCTGAGAAAAGGCTTGTATGGTAAGTATCTAAACTAATGTTGTTATGAGACTAAAATGTCGAACTCTATTTAGGCTACGTTCAGACTGCAGCCTGAAGTGACCCAAATCAGATTTTTTCACCCCTGTGCTCCTGTATCTGATCTTTTAATGACAGTCTGAATGACACAGATCAGGTTTTTTTTTTTTCAAATGCGACCCACACCACTTGGATATGTGCTCCTAAAACCGATACATATCCGATCTTTTGACATGCGACTTCAGTCTGAACGGTCAGGTCACATTCATCCCACCTACACGTCAGACTCGGAGTCTTGTCAATGGAGGGAAAGCAAAGTTAGAGAGTTTATTAATATTTGTGGGGATTGCTGTATTCAGGACAAACTGGAGGAATCTTATCGGAACCGGGCAGTTTTTGAAATGATTGGCAAAGAAATGTCAGAGCGCGGCCACAGACTGTTTTGGCTCCAAGGTCAATGAAAAATAAAGATCCTGCGAGGCAAATACAAGGAGGCTAAAGACTCAAACAAACGAATCAACCGTGGATGTGTAACCTGTCCATTTTACAAAGAACTGGACCGTATTTTGAGAGACAAGCCCAGCGTTTAGGCGACTTCCGTTAACACTGAGCATGCTCACTGTATGTGACGTCGCTGTGTCCTCCAATTCACATGCGGGACACTTTTGGGGCGTTTAAAGTTCACACTGGAGATCACATACAAGTCGCATTTAATTGGAAATGTCAACGACCTCACAAAAAATCTGAATTGAGCATTAAGCCCTGCAGTCTGAATGTAGCTTTAAATAATGCGAAACAGACTCAAAATTCAATACTGATTCTTTTACCATGACGATAATAAAAAACACTTTCTTTAGACCAGTGCTTCTAAATTATTTTCTCTCAGTACGCTCTTCCACAAATATAAACAGTATCATTTATATTCACAAAACGGGATGATTGTTGGCAATATTCAGCTTGTTTTCACTGAAAAAACTCAAGTGACTCATCAGTGTGATTGGGATGTAATGTCTTTAAGCGACGCCGTAATTTATTTGTCTTCATGCTGTCTGCTGCCAACATTTTTAGACACAGTAAACACACTGGTCTTTCCTCGTTTGCCATCGTATTCACAGTGAACGCAAGTGCTGAATACACTTCGTCATATTTCCTCGTCTTAGCTTTCAGGAGACTGTTGTTTGTTTCATTATCTTCGTCTTTCTCCGCCTTTTATTTCATCCCTGTTAAATATTTTTTCATGGCCCACTATTTGAGAAGGACTGCTTTAGAAAATAGGATTTGATTTTCAATATTAAATCATACTTTCTTGTATATTATGAAGTGGCCGTGTTCTTTTTTTTGTTCTGCTACAGCTCAAGATCTTATCATAGCTGACCTGTATGTGCTGTAATGCCTGTTTTGTCCTGCAGAGGGCACCGGGAGGCTGTTCTTTGAGTATTACCGGATCCTGCAGTTACTGAAGCCCAAAGAGGAGGACTCCAGGCCGTTCTTCTGGCTCTTTGAGAACGTGGTCTTCATGAACGTGCACGACCGGCTCAACATCTGCAGGTTTTTAGAGGTTTGTCCCACCATGTTTAATCTGGGAACCTGATTTTCAAATCGTGAAAGAAGGATTTTTTTATATATATGTACTGCGTTTGAGCGATTAAGAAAAAGCTATTGGCGAGTGAAGTCAGTAAAGAGCAGTGGGCGTGTGCTGGGTTCGGTGAAAACAGGATTAGCAATATTGTCTTGAAAATGACTGAAAGTGATTAAGGATGACTCAAACATAATCACTCCACATAAAAATTCTAGAGAGTAAATGAGAGCGGGTAAAGTCGATTTTTAATTTTGTTATTGTATATTTGTACATAAGCCGAACAAAATCTTAATTACTCCTGCTTTATATCTTTTATGCTTAGTTTATATCTTACATTTTGTTTAGTTTTTTTTTTCATTGTGGTTTGAAAACAAATTTTACTTTTCTCTTTTACTTACTTTTACTTTTCTCAGTCAAAGCCATGTTCAGTATGAAAATCTTTTAGACAGGGCCTGGTCTTATTATTACCCGAAATAGATGTCCCAGTGCACCCAGTTTACAAAAAACTCCAAAAAACAACCTGCACCCTTCTCAAGTTTTTCACCCCTGACCCATTTTCATTCCTGCATATTTATGTTCCTGTTTTTCTTGCTTTCTGTTGTTGTTTTTTTGTAGTGTAACCCTGTGCTGGTGGACGCTGTCAGAGTCAGCCCTGCCAACAGATCGCGCTACTTCTGGGGCAACATCCCTGGAATGAGCAGGTAATCCATGTCAAAAAGCTCCATTGTTTTATAAAGTAATTACTCATTGAAGTTAACATGTAGTATTTAAAGGTGCACTGAGTAAAGTGGCCACAGGATACGTAGGGATTCTTGGCTTTTGTCTTGTTTACTTGAGATACTTCTTTATTTTTATATTTTTGGTAATATTCTTTGTCTTTATTTAGGCCAATTACAGCCTCTCAGTCGGACAAACTGAACCTACAGGACTGTTTGGAAATTGGACGAGTTGCAAGGGTCAGTGACATTTTTCATCCCTAACAATAATAGTTTTCTGAATCCCAAGCTTTGGAAGTACTGTGGAATATTTCATCTTTTCTTTTTTACCTGGAATTTGATGTATTTGTTTTTCCTCAGGTTACTAAAGTGAGAACCATCACCACCAATTCCAACTCTCTGAAGCAGGGTAAAAACGTGTCGCTGCTCCCTGTTCTCCAGAATGGCACCGAGGACACACTGTGGATAACAGAGATAGAAAAGTAAGTGGGAGAAAGATCAGGGAACATTGCGCGACACATTACAAACACACAGGCTCCCAGTGAGTACCAGCGTGTATCACAGGGCAGATTAAACCTTTTAAAACATCCTACTTGTCCATCTGCCTCATTGTCTCAGCACATCCCTCTCTCTCTCGTATTGTGCACATCGGCTTGGTCCTTAATTCACACCTATTAAAAGAGTAAGACAAAACCTAAAGCAAAAACTAATCAAAATTTATGGTACAGTGTCAGCACAGGAGGTCTACAGCACAGAGCAGACCTACAGAGATATGTGGGCTGAAGTTTGCCTAATAAAATGCCAAATACATTTGTGTTTGCCACAATGTGCCTTTGTTTTGGTAAATGTGCAGAGGCTAAATACCATTGTAAAACCAGTAAAAGAATGTAACTCCAGTTTGGAATTTGAAAAAAACAGGTTTAAAAATGCTACCAATTTTTTCACTTTGAAGCAGCTTTCTGGTAGCCTGATTCATCAGCTGGTTTCACTTTGTAGAAACTGTCTGACCTCGCAGCATTAGGATTCGTTCGCTCGACAGTAGGAGGGTACTTTTTAAATTTAACCTGTTTGGTCGTGACGTATGTAATGCGCCACTAAGGGGCCTAACTGGTATATTAAGCTTTTCCCAAATCCCGTAGGAAAAAGGGCAATAACATCTTTCCCCTTGATAAAATTCACCAAACATTCTCTTTGTTCCAGCTTTAAATCCTCGATTTCGGGAATCGTTGACAACACTGAATGTCTGTCTCTTTGCTGATTGGCTGGTGCCCAGACTCACTTCCAGTGTTCTTGCAAACCGTCTAGTGTATTCTGATTTCTGACCTAGTCGCTGGAGAGAAATTAAATTGAGCGGAGGCTCTACATGGCACCAGCCTGGCTAAATTTCTGTAAAGTGCCAGTGGGAGTTCTTTTAAAGAAGGGTTCTCAAACTGTAGGTGAGGGTCCAAAAAAAGGGCACAGAATGTCGTTGTGCCATACAGTTTGCTTGGCTTATTTTATGCCTAAATTAACATTTAACAGATAAAATATGGAGATAGATTTATAAAAACACAATTTAAGTGCCAAAATAAAAATGTAAAATACAAATAAATGTAGAAAATGATTTGGTCTCGATGGTCTGTTGTCTCGGTCTTGTCTCGGTCTTGACCTTTAAAAGTCTTGGTCTTGTCTTGTCGTGGTCTCGGACAGGTCTTGGTCTCGATTGGTGCAGTCTTGACTACAACACTAGTGCATATACTGGTGAATTCCCATTCATTTAGACAGGGCCTGGTCTTATTAACCTGAAGTAGATGCCCCAGTGCACCCAGTTTATAAAAAATAGGCTCTCTTTTAATTTTTGTCAGTAATGGCCACCCCACATCTCAAATTAAACTTTTTACCTTTACCTCTACCTGTTCCTGACTGCATCTCCTTCCTGTGTGTCACCAGGATCTTCGGCTTCCCCAAACACTACACCGACGTGAGGAACATGAACCGGCAGCAGAGGCAGAAGGTCCTGGGCAAAGCCTGGAGCGTGCCCGTCATCCGCCACCTCTTCGCCCCGCTCAAAGACTACTTCGCCTGTGAAGAGCTCCCCCCGTTGGCCACGTCCAGCGCTTCTACCTCCAGCTCCTCCTCCTCCCCGGCATCCCCAGCCACTCCGGAGATCCTCCAGCTTAGATGACGACACCAAACAATGCAATTCTTTTATTATTACTCAATTATAGAAGGTCTAAAGTCAGATTTAACTCTATGCTTTTCTCTATTTTGACAGGATACACAATATACTGTATTTTTAAAACTTTGTTTACATTTTTAGTCTGTTTTAGATCACTTCAGCTTCAGGTTAATTAACTCTCAAAAGCTGGACAGTGCTGTAGACAATGCTGCTAAAACCATGTTCAGATAAATAGGAAAAAGGCTGATTAATCTCATTTAAAGATGTGAATTAATACAGGAATCTCATGCGTTTATGAACATGCTTATTGAGGTTTAATCTACAAGGTTAGCAGGGTTTATACATCCCACAAATGTAAATTTTTATCTTCCTTATCAATTTCACTAAGTGTCACTCCTTATAACCGGTAAATACTAAAAGATTAGGCAGTGGACGCCGGTGACTTGAGGGTGAATCTGATTGAGAACATGTTAAAAACTACACAGACACTTCATCGTTTTAGATGTTTGTGTCTCAGTGCAAAGACTAATTCTAATTTTAAGGCATAAAAATATTAAACTGCCACAAACAGAAGCCCTCTACGTATGAAAACATTTGAGTTATCTTTACCTTACATTTGAATAGGATGTTTATTTTATGTTTTGCATTTAAATAAAAGTGGGCATTGAGCTTTGAGGAAGCCAGAGCGCTGCTGAGCACAGTGTGGAAGATAATTTGTTCCATCAGATTTTGAAATTTAAATACCGCTGAATTTCTCGCTTTTAATTTTTCAACTTGAATTATTTTTATTCTGAATTTTAGTTGCTGAAATTGAAAGTATACCTTTGCGAAATGCTTAAAATCCAATATACATATATATTAAAAAAAAAAAATCACCTTTTAAATATAGATTTACAAGTCATCCAAGTCAACATTCAGGCTGTAAAATTTTCATATCGCTTTTGTTTCTGGCTCTGATATTGTCATATTTTAGTTTTAGGATTCAGACATCGTAATTATGTGGTTGTTGGACGTCCTAACAGCGGAAAACAGCTCGAGAAACGGGCTTTGGAAGTTTGCAAACTCCATAACTGCAAAAGAGAGTTAGATGTGTGTGACTGCAACCTTCAAACTGTTTCCCTTCCAATGGAATTGAAAAATAGTGAAAGGCGAAGGCGATGGGCAGGATTGATCCTCACGAAGGACCAAAAAGGAAACCTTTGGCTGACTAAGAAATTATTCAGAGTTTGCGGCAAACATTTTGTATGTGGAGCACCATCAAAGCAAAATCCTGTTTGTTAATGGAGAGGTGCAGAAGACAAACAGACTGAGCTGCACTTTCTTGTTCTTGTGGTTTTACAGCAACATCACGTCTTGGTCTCTTTGCAGTGGAAGGTGTTTCTTGGTGCCTTTCACTTTGGCGTTGACTTTTTAAATTCGTAACCAAGGTGGAGCGAGGGATCGGGATTTTGCTTTGATGGTGCTCCACATACAAAATGTTCTCTGTAAACTCGGGATGATTTAGGCAGTCAGAGGTTTCCTTTTTTGTCCTTCCTGTGGATCAATCCTGCCCATTGCCTACACCTTTCACTATTTTTCAATTCCGTTGTGAAGGGAAACAGTTTGAACAGAGGTTTGCAGTCACACACATCTGATTCCCTTTTGCAGTTATGGAGTTCGCAAACAAATTTCTCGAGCAGTTTCCCGCTGTTAGGATCCAACAACCACACAATTAACGATGTCTGAATCCCAAAACTAAAATATGACAATATCAGAACCCGAAACAAAAGTGATATGGTTCAAAAAACTTGAAAAGAGAGAGACACATCCCACTGGGAAAACAAACATGGCAGTTTGATGCTCACTTTTTCGGAAAATCCTTCCCAGTATGAATTGCGCAATGGCCGGAAGTCCAAAATTCGTGATGCATGTATAGGAAACAGCCTTTGTCCTCGAGCCAGCCATGATCGATGCTTCTGCCGTGGCATCCTGGATCTTTGCTGTGAATTTTACACTTTTAACTGTTGAATTCGAAGGCTTGAAAATATTTGTGCTAAATATTTAAAAGGTGAAATTGGTATGTTAAATTTGAAACGGCATACTTAAAATTTCAGCAACAAAAATTCTGAATAAAAATAATTCAGCAGTATTTAAATTGTAAATCTGATGGAACAAATGAGCTTACATAACTGAGTCTATTACAGCTTTGTATCCAAAACATAAGAGTTTACTGCAGGAATGTGGAGAGGTCGGGTTTTGCTGCTGCTTGACGCACACTGGACACTTTGTCTCGCCTGCAGTCACGGCCCAAGAGACTTCTGCTCCACTCCCAACGCCTTTCAGTGGAGCCACTAAAGACACTTTGTATTGTCAATGGAAAAAAACTGCATCTTTTGTGTAGTTTTTTTTTTTTTTTTATTTATATGCTGCTACCAACTACCAACCAATCTGTGCCAAATCATGTCATACATATTTACAACAGTATTTAATGTGATTTTTTAATTTCAAAAGTGTTTAAAGGTCTTGTATTATAAGTTTTAGGTTTGTATTAATTTGTTTAGCACAGTTTGTACATAAAGTAATTCAAAGTGCTTTACAGAATAAGAAAGACATTAAAATCACAACACAAACAAATCAAAATGTAAATAATCGTCACAAAATTAGCACTGGAACAGAAAAGAGTGCAGAGTAAAACCAGTTAACTTTGGTTTCTTTTTCCACTCATACATTTTTTTTAATTTTTAAATGTGAAATACCTGATCTTGAGTTTTTTATGATTTTTTTTTTTTTTTAAATCTGAATTAGAGGTAATATAAGACCTTTAAACATCAGTAACATTAAGTAATTTTGAATCATGTCCACTCTGACGTAACTCTACTTTGAGCTTTAATTATTGTTATTATTATAAATTTTTCATCATATCAATTTTTTCAATAAGATGTAAAAAGGAAAGTTACATCCGTCACATTTTTACTCAGTTTTACTGTGTTTTTATTGGTTTGTAAATAGTTGTTTTTGTCGTGAGCTGCTGTGCCACTTTAACTTTGAAAAACCCAAGACCAAAACCTCTGGAGTTGAGTTAAAATGTGCACTGATTTTTAAACAATTGTGCTTTTTTAATTTCGTTTTTTAAAATGGTGCTACGATTTGTAACAGGACAAAAACTTTCTTACCTCTTCGTCATATTTCTTTTTTTTATTTTTATTTGTATGGCTTTGTTTTCTCTGTAATACTGTATTCATTGCTAATACTGAGTAATGCACAGACACTCTTGCACACGAGCCAGCATTTCAGTTCATAATTGTGCATAGATACGTGTGAGAACTGAAGTGTTCTTGAACAAAATAATGTGAAATAAAAAGAAAATCTGTATTTGCATGTGTCCTGGAGCTCATTGGAGATCTCAGATAGTTTACATCAGTGTTAATTTTGATAAGAAAGCATTTACATTCACTCTGTGAGACAAATAATTTTAGTTGAAGTCATGTTTTAGTAGGATTGTGTCTAATCTGAACCAGACACAGGGCAACAAATTCACAGGTTTTTATTTGTACTTACAGATGGGACGAAATATCACCGCAAGATCTTGCAAGACAAAGCTGCCAAAAGATTGTGCACACGAGGAAAATTATCTTGTGATATTTTTTCCTTATATTTTTACATTCACCTTGGATAAAAAAAGGGATTAACTTTGCTAAGTAACTCCTTTTGAGAAGCTGTAATGCCAAAAAGAATAGCTACAATGACAACAAAACTGTAAAATTAAATAAAGGAAAAATAGTGAAGCCTAAACTGTGAACTGAATAGCAATTTTTTTTTTTTTTTTTTTTTTTGTAATTCTTTCTTTTTTTTTTTAAAGTTGTATGAAGAAGACAAATACAATACAGCCTGCGGGTGTGCCTTTGATGCAAAAACAAAGTAATGGGTCAAACAAAGTCCGGTCTCACAGTATTTATACATTCAAGCCACCATTTCCATTTGCTTTCAAATTTGCCTTGTTGCAGTCTTATGCTAAAAGTAATTCTCTCCATCTTAAAAATATCATAAACAATCTCAAACCATTCATCCAGTGTTGGTACTTGTGGATTAAGCCATTTCCTGGTTATAGCTTTCCTAGCAGCCGCACTCAAAATCTGGAACAGGTATTTAGCTTTATACGTCACATTTTCACCCATCAGGAAACCCAAGTACATTGTTTCAAGTTGAAACGGCATGTCAGTACAGAACACAGTTTCTAATGATTTGTGAATTTCTTTCCAAAATGGAACAATATGACACGTCCAAAATATATGGCAATGATTTGTCTCCAGTTCACCGCATTGCCTCCAACAGTTTGAAGATTTGGTGTAGTGTCTTTCCTGGAGCGGTGTTTTAAAGAACCTAACCAAATTCTTCCAACAAAACTCTCTCCATATTATTGAGTTAGAAGTTTTCCATTGTATCTTGCAGAAGTCTTCCCAATCCTGATCAGACATGAATAGCACATTTTATTTATTAAAAATGTTATTAAAAGTCTTGTTCTCGTGGACTGAATCTCATGACATGTCTCATCTCATAGGAATTGTCTCATCCCGTCTGTGCTATTTACGCAATTATATGCTAAACATTGACAATTAAATGTTTGTAAAGACATTTTAAACCAAGCCAATTTCTCTATGGAAATGTTTTGGGGATTAAATGGACCATCTTTGAAGTGCTAATAAGAGTAAAATTATTGAAATGAGCTTTTAGTAACATTTCATAGCAAACTAAGGTAAAAACTGATTAGAAACTGTATTTAATTTGCTTGTAGAGTAAACTAATGAAAATTATTAGGGACATGTTGGTCGTCTCTAATTCGAAGAAATATGTTGTAAAACTGGGGTGGTTTTATTGGATCTCTGCAACTGTAAACTGAAAAACGTAAGGTCTCTTATTTTGACAGGGCAATGTGAATTGATATAGACCAGGATTATTTTCACAGAAGAGAAGTCCTGAGGGCAAATTTGAGGAAAAGTTAATAAATAATTTTTTATATATATAATTTGAGGATGCTGATTCTGATTTTGTTTACCATGCTGGATTTTGAGCGCTAAGCAGAGGTGGGGACTTGCAAATTGTGACTTGGACTCGAGTCAGACTTGAGTCACTATTTTTAGGATTTGAGACTTGACTTGATAAAATGGACTAAGACTTGGAACTCGACTTGGACTTGAAGGTCAGCGACTTGGGACTTGACTCAGACTTGGAGCCTGTGATTTGAGAAGCACTTTTAACTCTGAATTCTTTCTATTGTGACTGTAATGATTCACTCTAAGACCTTGTCAAGACATTTAAAAAGAAAAAAAAATTACTAAATTAATATCTACAACTTTGATATACTCATATAAATACTTATCTATAAATATACCATGGCTTTTAAGTACAATTTATCTTAAAATTCATATAAATTGCAGAAATTGAAGCTATATTTGGTACTTTGGTTTAAAAACTTAAAATGACTTGAAGCTCAAAGCAGACAACTTGGACTTGACTTGGACTTATGGACCAGTGACTCAAGACTCGACTTGGACTTGCCTGTATTTGACATGGGACTTGACTCGGACTTGAGGTCAAAGACTTGAGACCTAAGCCTTCTAATTTGCATATTAATATACATATTAATATGGCACTTGATTGTAAATTTTCCATTCAAATAAAGGGAACTTTATTTAATCTTATTTATTTATTTGATTTTCCTGGCTATGATATTATGTCAGTCTTAAAACTTAGCTTGGCAAACAAAATATTTGGAATCAGCATGCTCAAATGATAGAAAATAGCATGTTTGCGGTATTTTCCCCAAATCTGCCCTCAGGACTTTTTCTGAAAATGTTTTTTAAAACATATTCTCAGTCTAATTGGCGTCACTGTCGATTTAAGCTGCTGCAAGCTCATTTCGATAGAACACCGGCAGTTTTGCGTCTCATATATTCCTGTGTATTTTGACACACGTAAATGTATATGTAAAAGTCTTTTTCAGTATGAAGAGATAGTTTCAGTGGGGATGGGAGAGAATTCCAGTGTCTTTGGGCCTACAGGGCTACTCATAGTCCCCCCCCATGCAGATGTGGATCCGCCTTTACCGGCCTTTAAACTCATGGACAGACAAGATCCACGCAGACGATCCAAAACACCGGCGATTAACCGAGGGGAACCGTAAGTCGCGCGCTCCAACCCAGTTCAGGTGAGTCCAAAAAGTTTAGTACACCTGCGGCCCGGTCATAAACAACGTGAGGGCTTCGTTGAAAAGCACTGAATCAACGTGCACTTTTTTTTTTTCATATTTTAACAACTGGTATTTATTTTTGAGGATGGCGTACAGAGGACAAGGACAGAAGGTGCAGATGCTTACGGTACAGCTCATTAACCTAATTTTCCTGAACCTGCAAAATCTCGCGAATCCAGGTTTGGTTGTATAAATAGAAGAATATGCGGATAGGAAGATGCAGACAGAAAGCAACTGGGGAGGATCACGTTGACAGGAGACAACATTACCGTACTCCAGAACGTGTAACCTGGAGTGATTCTTTTTTTTTTTTTTTTTTTTTTTTTTTTTTTTTTTTTTTTGTATATGACATGAATATAATATTTTCACACTGTGTTATGAAAATAAATGTAATAAAAAAAAAAAAAAAATAATAATAATAATAATAATAAATAAATATATACCATACCATATACTAGCTGCTCGTTTTAGCACACTTCTAAGTTTTGTATAGTCAAATATTACAGCAATCATGAATAAAACAGGGGGCTCCAGTTAGGCCTCTTGATTAAAGGCATAATATGAACCGAATAAACTCCAAACTATCTTAATTTTATGTGGTTTAAAAAGTTTGAGGTCACAGAAGCTAACGTGCTAACTTGAGCTAACCGAGTGTTTGGAGTTAAGGCCGGGGAGAGCCCACAAACTTTTGATCCACAAGGGAAATTATTTGGACACAGTAGCTCACACATCACAATATAATAATATAGTAACAAAGAGTAAAAAATATAAATGGTAATCAAAAATTAATTATTAAATAAGCAGGAAAAATAGCAAGATGCAGGTGTCAAATAAGACATAATTATATAAATATATACTTACAAATCAAAATAAAATAGAAAAATACGTAATAAAATATAAATAAATATATAGTGTAGTAGGGTGTTGTGTAATAGGGTGACCAGACGTCCCTATTTACCTGGTGTAGCGGCCGTAGTGACAGTCCCAGTTTTGAGCCCTGTGTCCCCTGTCCCAGCGGATTTATCCAAAACCAGTGATTTGTCCTAGTTTTATACAAGAAATGTCCCAGATGTCCCTGTTTTTGACCAATTTGATCCCTGCCAAATTGTAATTTGTTTAGCTAAAACACAAACAATCTGATTAAAAATGACGAAAACACAAAGAAAATACTGGCTCATGTGTTCATCATGCATGGTTTCTGTGTAACAATTTTCATTAATTACACACTTGTTTCACAATTTTATTATTACCAGCCACCAAAAAAACAGGGATGTCCCAGTTTATTTTGAAATTCTGGTCACCCTATACTAACGGACTGACTCAGTAGGGATTTTGACCTTATATAAATGAAAGGTGATCTGTTTGAAGAGTGTTTTTAAATGGCCTAAATCGTGTTTACTTTGAGATTTGTGGTTCACTATTGCGGCTGCACGTTTAGCAGTAAAATCACTGAATTGACAAAACCATACTTCCTTTAACAGGCCATTTTTTGATGGTAATGTTGTTTTGAGTAAGTTTCTAACTTTACTTGATGCAAGGTCTAAGTATTCCCACATATCTAATAGCTTGTGTGGTCATACTGGGTTGTCAAAGCCTGATCCTGTCACATCTCAGAGGCTCAGCAGGGCCGGGCCTGGTTAGTACTTGGATGGGAGACCACTGGGAAAATCAAGGGGAAAAATGTCTTTGTGTCCTCAGGCAAGACACTTCACCCACATTGATAGTATGAAAGTGATGATGGTGGTCGGAGGAGCCAATGGCGCAGATTGGCAGCCACGCTTCTGTTAGTCTGCCCCAGGACAGCTGGGGCATGTCTGTGAAAGGAGCTATATAAATAAAAAAAAACTTACTTACTTACTGATGCTCTAAATATCTTTAATAATTAATGATTTTTTAAAATGGATAATAATTTTCGTCCTATTATTCCAGTAGTGGAAATAGCACTGAAAATGCTAATATGTCCCGTCACGTAGATACAGACTGAGATGCAGACTGAGACGTAGATACTGTAAACAAGTAGTGTGTTAGTTTCAGAGCAGTTTCAGTGCAGTTAGCTCCTCCCTCCCTTCAGGCACATATAAGGAAGTGCCCATCAGCGTCGGATTCTGACCAAAACTGAAGAAGCAGCTTGGATGAGCTGCAAAACATTTTCGACAAATAAACTTTTGTCCAAGCTGACTTTCTCCTTTGCCTTTACATATTTACTTTAGTCTGTGTTAAACCAGTTTCTCTTTTGTATTCACAGGGGACTGAAAATGGCTGTGAACGTGTTCTCCACCTCCGTGACCACTGAAAACCTGAGCCGCCATGACATGCTGGAGTGGATCAACATGTCTCTGCAAATGAACTTAACCAATATAGAACAGCTGTGCACAGGTAGCTCACTTTAAAAAAAATAAATTTTCCCTCATCAAAAACATGCCTGAAGAGGTTTTACATTTCATCCTTGCACGTTTTTATGCAACGTGACAAACCAGATTCAGTGTGCAGTAGTTTCATTAGTGGGATGCATGCTGATTGTGTTGTGTCTGAAGGTGGAGTGACTTGGCGCTGAGAGCAAAGACATCTGTATCTGTGTGATTAGCTTTGTCTTATGATGTTTTTGGTAAAAGGAAATAAATTCAGATTTCAGTCTCTGCACTGATATCTGTTGATATTTGGTGTCAGCAGATACTTAAAGCCCGTAGTGTCTGAATCAATACCAGAACTGAAGAAGCTGGAACTCTGCATTCTACTCATAGATATGGACATGGAGCTCGCCTTCTTGTTCCAAATAGGAAATGAGCATGGGCGGGCTTCTGGCTCCAATTGATTTGACATTGAACATTTGTCGCTCCTCTCTCTGTAACTGCTGCTATTAGCCTCATTATTTTGGTCTTAAAATATTCATATTCACCTGCTCTACATAGTCCTGGTGTTTTTTATTTTGCTATGTGTCCATAAATCAATTCCTATTCCAAATATGAAACTCGACTCCAAATTTGCTCATATAACTGCCAGCCTTGGTGAGCTTCATTTGACTGAAGCTGAACGTTATGGTGACGTCAAACTCCCTTAGTCCACTTCTTCCTACAGTCTGTGGTTCTTACTGATATGGGCAAATATCAGTTATAAGACAAATATTGGTAATGGTATCGTTATTCAAAAAATATAAAAAGGGACAGTTATTAGAAAAAGAACAGAGGAAGTGCAGAATATATTTCAATATTTTTAATTGGCCTACCTTTGCTTATGTATTTCCAGGCCTCTGCTGACTTGTCTTGTCTGATCTTAGGTGCTGTCTATTGCCAATTCGTGGACATGCTGTTCGAGAACTGTATAGCTTTGAAAAAAGTCAACTTCACCACCAAACTGGAGCACGAGAGCATCCAGAACTTCAAGCTTTTGCAAGCTGCCTTTAAAAAGTGCGGGATAGACAAGGTAAACAACCCTAACCTCTAACCCTAACTCTAATACTGCCCAGAGACTTAAAGATGCACAAATGTAACTTTTCCTTTGGGGGTCCAGCACCTTCTTGTTTTTTTTATGATTGAAGAGTGTTTTAATTGTGTTTAATTTGGGCCTTGTGGTTGACATTGAATTGACAAAACCATACTTTAACAGGACTTTTTTTTTGTTGCATCTGTTGTTTTGAGTTAGTTTGTAACTTTTACTTGATGCAATTCTTCTAAGCATTCTCAAACATCTAATAACAGGCCATACCACTTTGTCAAAGCCTGATCTCATCAGATCTCAGAAACTCAGCAGGGATGGGTCTGGTTAGTACTTGGATGGGAGACCACTGGGAAAAAGTGGCCACAGTGGGGCACCAGTCGCAAAAACAGTTGTTATTTCCTTAGGCAAGGCACTTCACATTGCCTTGTATGAAAATGGTGTGAGCGGGAATGATGGTGCTGGTCGGAGAGGCCGATGGTGCAGATTGGCAGCCGTGTCTCCATCTGTGTGCCCCAGGGCAGCTGTGGCTACAATAGCAACTTACAACCATCAATTATGGAGTGAATAATGAACCATAAGTGTCTTTATGACATACGTCTGTGAAAACCACTATATAAATAAAAAACACTTGCCTAATAATTGTGCATACAGTATATGATTCCAAAGCAGTTGACTGTGATTGGTCACTTTAAATGTATTTCTATAAAATCTATTTCAAGCAAATAGAACCATATAACTCCATAAAATGTTGATAGAGTGTACAGTAGGCATCCAGGAACAAAAATACGTGAATGACTCAGTTTTGATAAAAGATGTCAGAACTTTAATTCTAATGAGACGATTTGTATATTTTGACATGTAATTTGTTTTCTTTTGACTTTATAGTCTGCATTTAAATGATTCGAAGTCCTGTCCCTTTCTTCATTTCTTCCCTCAGAACATCCCGGTGGACAAACTGGTGAAGGGCAAGTTCCAGGACAACTTTGAGTTTGTGCAATGGTTCAAGAAGTTCTTCGATGCCAACTACGGTGGACAAGAATACGACGCCGTTGCTGCACGCCGAGGCCAGAATCTAGGTACACTATTCTGCTTTTCTGTCCAGCTGTCTAAATTATCGGCAAGTGACAATGCAGGCACCTAATAGAATATAAAACTGTGAAGGGCTTGCCTGTAGAGTGACTTAAAGCTCCTGATGGTGTATCACTCTTATTCATTTATGTTCTACGGTGGATGTCTGTTTGGGTTTCTGTTGCTTTCTTGTCTTGTCTTTGTATTTCATCCCTGTTCCAAGACAAATTTCACCCTTGGGAGACAATAAAGGATTATTTTGGGGATTTCTTCATTTGGAAGGTTAATCTTGGTTTCATGTCTTAGGTGCTCCCAAACTGCCTGTTGCCAAAGGAGCCTCCAAAAAGCCGGGGTCCAGAAAACCAACGGCAGAATCACAAGAACAGCAGGAATTACTGGCTGAGGTCAGTACATGGAAACTGGGAGAGAAAAATCGCACATCTAATTACAATTAGAAAAAAAAACATTGTTAGTATTTGTAGGAGCCATATGTGGGTTTTCTATTGTTTCTCTTGCGTGACTTATGTGCAAGCACTTTAGTTCTGTGGGTGTTGTGTGGCCTGTATGTTGCCCGTATTTTAACAGGAAAGATTTGCACAAAGAAGGAATAGATGCATGACTATGGATCACAGCAGCTTTAAAGTGCATGCTCGCATGCGTATGCCTACCATCTTAAGCAGTTATCATCTACACAGAGGCGGCGATACCATTGGGCAAAAGTAGGTGGCTGCTTAGGGCCCCTAAACCTAGAGGGGCCCCCAACCAATTGCCCTCAGTGCCACTAATGGCCGAGGCCTCAGAGCAATTTCATTTTCTCTTAATATGACATTAAATGAGAGTAGTTTACCGTATTTTCCGCACCATAGGGCGTGCTCTTAACCCTCCAACCCCATCAAAACACGACTGCGCGCCCCACAATCCAGAGCGCCCTATGCACGAATCCACTCTGGTGTCCCAGCACGACTTCAGTCAACTACAAAGTTGCACCACCCACAGCGCACGGAAACACACACGGAGCAGACAGCGACACACAGCGAAAAACACCCACAGCCACACTCATCACTCCACGCCGACGAGGAACGGAACGGAGGAACAAACCAAAAAAGCGAGTCCAATGTGCCACTTCTAGACACAACTGAACAACTGAGTCACTGCGAACACACCGACAATCCACCAACAATAGCGTCACATGACTGAACCCAGTCATGAACCCAGCAAATCAGGAAGGCGGAAGTCACAGTGACGTCAGCGTATCAGTGTTTTCAGGCATCCACACAGTGCCGGGTCCGATCCCTACTCAGATGAATTCGTGGGAGCTGGCGGCACCAGATCGTTCCGTCTCTAGAGCCGTTTTCCATCGGATTATTGTGGACGAACACTATAACGAAAACTATAACTATAACAACGAAAAACGACTTGAATATGTACTAGTGTGGATAGGGCCTAAGACAAGTTTCCAATCTGCTATAATTCAAATAAATAGAGATGTGAATGCGTCAAGAATAATGGGGAAAACCAGACACTAAGTATATTAAAAAAACTAAACAAAACAAAAAAATGGTGCATTACAAATTGCTAACTCCGCCACTGCATCTAGTTTTGTATTTGTTCTGAGTTATGTGTCCACAGTGTTTTACCCCGTGTCTTAGCCTGCCACGGCCCATGGGATAAGCTTTAGGTTACGTACGCCGCAATATTATTATTATTTTTATAAGAAAGTAAGTAAGTTTTTACTTTATAAAGTGCTTTTCACAGACGTATGTCACAAAAACTCTTTACAGTTCATTGTTCATTCACTCACTGACTCGTAGTTTATGTTTAGTCTGAACCATCTCTCATCCTCATGAAACAGACTATGACAATACTTTTTCCTTTTCTAGATTAGTCAGTTCAAAGCCGACATCCCCTTCTTGGAGATGGAGATAAATTTTTACTTTAATAAACTGAAAACCATCGAGACTCTGTGTAAGGAGCACGGGGAGGACGACCCCGTGCTGACGAACATCATCGATGTCCTCTACAAAACAGAGGTAAGTGCACTGATAAACACTTGGCTACAGGTTCACTCATGGACAGGTTCAGTGGTGGACGGTAAAATAGACTGTGTAAATGGACTTTGTTAAACCGCTAACCGCCATGCTCTAAACCGGAAGTGAGCATTGAGGCACTTCTGGCTCAATCCACTGTTTCCAATTCACTTTACATTGAGAAATTGTCACCCCTCTCTCTATTTATTTATTATTTTATGTATTTATTTATTTGAAAAGGGACAATGCACATTAATCAACATCAAAACAATGTAAATGTGCCAGAGTTCGCTGATAAGAGCTAATTTGCATCGGTCGTCCCTTTGCCAGATGTCAAAAAGGCATCATCCTAAAACAAAATACACTTAAAAGTTACACATCAAAAATTACACAAATGTACAATAAGATTGCAAAAATACAATAAGAGTTTTAGTGTTTACACATTTGCGTTTTTAAAAGCCACTTTTTAGCATTCTTTTTAAAAGCAGAGAATGAGGGAGATGTTCTGACGACTTCAGGCACAGAGTTCCACTGATGGGACGCTCTGATGAAAGAGAAAACAGACCAAATACAGCTTTTCTATGAGGAATAATGCAGTCTTCCCTCACTGCTCCTCTGGTCACTCTGTCCTCAGAGTAGATTTAAAATTAACAAAGTCGTTCAGCGAAGGGGGAGCCGAGTCATGTTTAATCTTGTACATTAGACAGATATTTTTAAATTTAATAAGATTGTCCCAGGTCATTAATTTGTATTTCTGCAAAATGTGACAATGGTGGTATCTGTAGTGTTTTTTGTCAAGTGTTTTTAGAGCTTGTTTATAGAGTGATTCAATGGGTGTGACTTTCTCCGTCCTGAGCTTTTGACCTTCTCTTACCTGAGCGTTTGATTTTCTCTGTCCTGAATGTTTGGCCTTCACTGTCTTGAGAGTTTAACCTTCTCTGTCCTGAGAGTTCAACCTTCTCTGACCTGAGTGTTTGACCTTGTCTGTCCTGAGCGTTTGACGTTCTCTGTGCCTTTGACCTTCTCTGTTTTGAGTGTTTGACTTTCTCTGTCCTGAGCATTTGACCTTGTCTGTCCTGAGCCTTTAACCTTCACTCACCTGAGCCTTTTGACCTTCTCTGATCTGAGAGTTTGACCTTCTCTGACCTGAGAGTTTGACCTTCTCTGACCTGAGAGTTTGACCTTCTCTGACCGGACAGTTTGACCTTCCTGTTCTGAAAATTTGACCTTCTCTGTCCTGCGCCTTTAACCTTCTCTATCTTGAGCGTTTGACCTTCACTGTCCTGAACCTTTGACCTTCTCCGTCCTGAGCAGTTGACCTTCTCTGTGCCTTTGACCTTCTCTGTCCCGTGTCTGAACGTGGTAGAAGCCGCCGCAGACTGTTAACAGCTGCTAGAGCCCTGTTAAATTCCTGTTCAGTAACGACACTGTAGAGGTCCATGCTTCGCTCTGCAGACTGAGCGTGTGCTGGAAAATCATGTCTCAGTTTCACAATGCATGACTAATACACGTTTTTAAAAGCAGAAGAAGTTTAGTTCAATGTTTGGACCACTAAATGAAACTTAAAGTAAACTAAATAGAATGTTTTTTCTTTTTATATCCTACTTTCTACATTATTGATGCATACTGAGGACTAAGACCCAACCGATATGGATTAGTTTTGGAGCCGATATGATACCGATATAACAGCTGATATATTTAGTGATGTTAAAATTCACTGTAAATCTTCAACTGATTCTTAGGTGTGACTCTATTAGATTTTAAGATGGGGTTTGTTTAGGCTAAATTTACTGTTATTTTGCCTCTTTATGGTCATATTTTAAGACAGTAGGTCGGCCTAATGGGATTTTTGCCTGACATTCTAGCAGAGGATGACCAGATTTTCAAAATAAAAACTGGCACATCCCTGGTTTGTGGTGGTTGGTAATAAAATTGTGAAACAAGTGCATAATAAAAGGAAATTGTCATGCACTTGGCCCATGTGAGTCAACATAGTCACTTTTGCTTTGTGTTTTGGTCATTTTTAAGCAGCTTTTCTGTATTTTATCTAAACAAATGGCAATTTATGTTTCTCTTTACTATTAGATATCAAATCTGGCATCAAATTTGTCAAAAATAGGGACACAAGGGACATTTCTTCTATCAAACTGGGACAAATCACTGGTTTTGGATAAATCTGCTGGGACAGGGGACACAGGACTCAAAAATGGGACTGTCCAGGGTAAATAGGGACATCTGGACACCCTGTTCTAGCCTGTAAACAAAGTAAAAACTACTGCTCTATACTGCTTTCTTGAACTACAGCTTCTTAAATCGTGCCAGCTTTCAACTCTCTTTCTGTTCAAGCCAAAAGTAAATTCAGGTGGAAAAAATCTCACAAGATAATTTCTCTCATGTGTGCACAGACTTGTGGCAATTTTGTCTCTCGAGATCTTGTCTTGTGGAACGAGATCTTGTCCTATCCCTACAACTACAATATTTACAGTAAAACCTGGAATACCAACATTCAGGTGCCCAAACTGGACACATATTCTCAAGTAAAACCTCTTTCATATTAAACTGACAGTCATTTAAATGTGTACAATCAGTGATTTAAACAACACAACTATTAAAAACAGTATAATAATGTCAACCTCTCAATGTGTATCAAAGGCCAAACTGTCTAAACTAGTATGTTAAAGTATATTTCCTGATTTGCAGTGCTACATATTATAACCACATTCATGTTTGTCTATCTGTGTCCAGGAGGGCTTTATCATACCTGGAGCCGACGGGCAGGAAGAGCCAGAGCCGGAGAAGTTTTAATTCTTAAAACAGCTTTACCTGTTAAGCCCTAAGTCCTTGTTTGGTTAAATCCTCGGGAAAGGAAAAGTTCATATAAACTGAGAGTTTTCTCAGCTTGTACATGGCCCACATGGATGATCTTGGTGTCTTAGTGCTTTCTGTCTAGTGTTAAATAATGACTTTATAATGCTAGACCCAAACACAACTCTTTAATTCTGCCAGACAAAAAATATAAAATTAAAACTGAAAATTGCCTTTTAAACTTTACATGTACCTTCTGGGACTTGTACAACATGAGATCATCTCTTATGCAAAATTTGGTGCAGATAAAATTAAATATTTACATTTTACACTGTTTATAGTGAGAAAAATTCCAGGTGTCCTGAGCCAATCTGATGCCCGTGTACCACCCATGTGCCAATTGGCCCCATCAGACTTTGTCAGAATAAATAATTCTTTGAGAAAAATGCAAATTTTGACACACAAGGCCAGTAAATAAAACATTTTCAAACAATTAATGTCTCAACCTGACCCATAATAAAGCTGGTTTTGAGTTGTGTCAAACAATAAAAACGTATAATTCATTAATTGCGTTATAATATTGTTAATTCTCAAATTTAGTTTTTTTTTGTGTGTGTGCAAATATAGGTAGATAAACTAATGAGGGGGTTCTGTTTATTTCTGTTTATTTGATATAGTAATCATGACATGTCAGGTGAAAGTTACAGTAAAATGTTTTTGTCTTGGACTAGAGGTGGGAGATGTATGGGGAAAAAAAATGTAGTATGAAGTAGAAGTAGAAGGTATGAAAACCTAGAATATCAAATATATTGTCTATGATTACAACTGATTAAAATGTGACAAAAAAGAGCTGGTTAAAAACTCAAATAAAAGAAAAATCATGTAAGAAGATATTTCTACATTTCTGTGGTTACAGCAGAGCTAAGTTAACCTTGCCAGCAAGATGGATTCTCTCAAGTTCACAAACTTGAGAATCCATCTTGTTAGATTCAGCACTGTGGATTTATCCAGCACCAAACAAACACAAACACACGTGCAGAAGGTGAGCTCTTTGTGCACTGGGCAAGTAAGATGTCTGTGCTTTTCTCTCCACTGGATTTAACTTAAGTTTGATTTTTCAGCTGTTGTGACACATCGTCCAATCAACATGAGCAATCACTTTCTGTGAGAACTGTTCCAGATTAAAGTTCAGAGCTCCATTCAGAGATACGCATGTAAAACAGAATCTGTGTGAGCCAGGCTAGAACGAAGTAACTTTCAGTAAAAGAGCTCCCCCTGCAGCTTCCTTATGAGTATATGCTGTCAGGGAATAAACTCAAAGATCACTGTTACAGGCTTGTCAAAGGCTTGCAAAGTGCTTCACTGTTCTTATTATTCATTCACTCCACTTGTATTGATGGTAAGTTACTACAGTAGCCACAGCTGCTCAGGGGCAGACCGACAGAAGCGATGCTGCCAGTCTGCTCCATCGGCCCCTCCGACCAACACTCTGACCTTCTGGTTGGGGCACCACTGCTTTAACCACTGAACCACTATAGCATGATTGAAATAATTAATGAAAATAAGACAGTATAATCACATACAAAAACGTATCTCATTGCCAAATATAAGGAAAAGCAGAGCCTTTTCATTTTTTTTCATTTTTGTCAATATTTTGACAAAAATATTTTGACAAAAATCTCAGGCCAAACTCTGATCCTGACTGCATCTCCTTCCTGTTTGTCACCAGGATCTTTGGCTTCCACAAACACTACAGCAACGTAAGGACCATGAACCAGCAGCAGAGGCAGAAGGTCCTGGGCAAAGCCTGGTGTGTGCCCCTTATCTGCTACTCCACCAAAATATGAGCATATTCGTGGAGGTGCATCCTGGTGGAGGTCTGTGGGGATGGGTCCGGACAGTTGGAGAGCGACACTGCTTACTGGTTTCAGTCAACCAGATTTTTAAATTCTATTTTATGGGACATGTCTAGACTTGCTATTGAATGTTGAGTTTTTATGGTTTGGTTTGAGGCTTTGGGATTGAAAAGTGGAATTTATCTAGTCTCTACTTGTCTGTTTCATTCAACAACAGTCATCAGTTTATATTATAAGTTTTAATCAGCTAAATAGAACATTAGATTAGATTAGTTTCAACTTTATTGTGATTACACATGTATAAATACAAGGTAATGCAATGTGGTTTAGCATCTAACCAGAAATGCAAGAAGCAGCAAGTGTACAGAATGTGGAGTATGTACAATATAGACAATATACAATATATTACAGTGTAGATTGTAGTGAATATAAACAAATAAATATGGCAGTATGAACATGAAGGAAATAGGTATAATATACATGGAGGATATAGCCCCCCTGGGGCCTCCTTCTGAAGCAACATGTCCAGAACACCTCCCAAGGGAGGCACCCAGGAGGTAGATGCCCGAGCCACTTCAGTTGGCTCCTCTCGAAGTGAAGGAGCAACGGCTCTACTCCGAGCTCCTCTCATGTGACTGAGCTCCTCACCCTATTTCTAAGGGAGCGCCCAGCCACCCTGTGAAGGAAATTCATTTCGACCGCTTGTATCTGTGATCTTGTCCTTTTGGGCATTAACCAAAGCTCATGACCATAGGTGAGGGGAGGAACGTAGATTGACTGGTAAATTGAGAGCTTTGCCTTATGGCTTAGCTCCTTCAGGCAGCTTTCCCTCGGAAGGTGGGTGGAGAGTTCTGCCAAGTGGAGGAGTTCAAGGGAGGATGGAGCACTGTAAATAAATAAATATAAAGTTATGTATCAGATGTACATAACATCATCATCAGATGAACATAACAAATAAATATATAATACAGCAAATATAACATAACTAAACAACAATGAATTGTAAAATAATAATAATAATATTTTTCTTTTTTGCCTGACATCACGTCTTGACGCTACCCCTTTATTTTTTGACGTCAGCGCGTCGCTCCTTCCGCTGCCGGTGACCGATCGTGAAGTGCCAAAAAAGAAGAAGACGCCAAAAAGCAGAAGTTTCAAAATTACCGACAGCGTTTAGTTGCCTTTTGCACTGTAATCGAAAACCCTTTAAAACACGACACCTAGACTAACAGCAAGTCGCGCCATCCAACACATTTCAGGTAAGTTTTAGAAGAAAAAGCTCTAACCTACTTCTGTACCGGCATGGGAAGTGGCGGTTAGCTCGCCCGGTCATGTTAGCCGCTCGTTTTAGCTCACGTAAAAGTTTAGTATCGTCAGAAATTACAGCGATCATGAATAAAACAAGGGTTCAAGTTAGGCCTCGTGATTAAAAGCATCGTTTGAGCCTTTTAAACTCCGATCTGTGTTAATTCTACGTGGTTTAAAAAGTTTGAGGCCACGGGAGCTAACGTGCTAACTGGAGCTAGCCGAGTGTTTTGTAGTCCAGGGCGGGGAGAGTCCACATTCCCCGGGAGACTAACGGATTACAAAGAGGCTACGGGAGTGACTCATTTGGGATTTCAGACTCTACATAAACGAATGGTGATCTGTTTGAAGAGAGTTTTAAATGGCCTAAATCGTGTTTACTTTGGGCCTTGTGGTTCAATGTTGCGGCTGCGCATTTAGCAGGAAAATCAAACCATACTTCCTTTAACAAGACATTTTCTAATATCCGTTGTTTTGAGTTACTTTCTAACGTTTTTACTTGATGCAATTCTCTAACATCTTAAAACAGGCCCATTAAAGCTCTAAATATCTTTAATAATTAATCATTGTTTAAAATGGATGATAATTTTCGTCCTATTGTGGAAAGAGTATTTAAATTCTCAAGTATAAGTGCAGTTACTTTTCTAGAATTGTACTCAGTTGCAAGTACTTATGCTGCTGATTGTGTACTAGTAAAAAGTACACTTAGACTTAAAATTTATTGGACACAGGAGCTCACTCATCACAGTATAATCAGTGTTGGGAAGGTTACTTTTAAAATATATTCCCGCACAGATTACAGATTACATATACCAAAATGTAGTTTGTAATGGAATCCTTTAAATTACTTAAAGTGAGTAACGTAATCTGAATACTTTGGATTACTTGATTTGCTGTAGAGAAGCAAAGACGAGGAAATCTTCACATAAGATGTTTTGTCTGATAAAAAGAAATGAAAAGCCCAGACTTCACTGATCCAAATTAAAAATATTATTGATAGAGGAGGAGGTGCACAGCATGATTTAGTCCTGTTAAATCCTGGTTTTAGTCCTGGTTTTAGTCCTGGTATAGCCCAAAATGTGAAAACAGGAAAATACCGCCGTTTAATCCATTTATTTCAACAAAGTAACTGTAATCCAATTACCACTGATTGAAACAGTAACTGTAACTGAAAACAGTTACTCATAATTTGTACTCTGATTACATAACTCCGGTACATGTAATCTGTTACGCCCCAACACTGAATATAATATAATATAATATAATAACAGAGATTAAAAATATAAATGGTAATAATAAATTCTAAATAAGTAGGAAAAAGATGGTAAGAGACCAGTGTCAAATAAGATATAATTATATAAATGTATATCTACAAGTCAAAATAAAATGGAAAAATAAGTACTAAAAAATAAAATCTCAGCTAATATACAAGAGGTTATAAGAAGAAAGTGCAACAATGATCTGATGATTGACAGGACGTATGAGAATTTCTTCTTTACTAGTTACTTTTTAACATGTTAGAACAATTAGGACTTGGGTTTATTAAAACACAATATATTGAGACATTTACAGCACTCGGTAACTTCTATAATTTACAAGTACATGTTAATTATACACTATTGTACAAGTACAGGCTTAAAAATCCACCAAAAGTAGAATTCACCCCAAAATACTCTTATAGTAACCTGAGTATTTGTAATTAGTTACTTTTCACCCTTGCTGCTCTTACTGCTCTGCTCAACAATGACGTTCAGTTTGAGCTAGAATGTGATTGTGTCAAACACTTGGAGATACGGGCAAGACTGTGTCTCACTCTGGGTCTGCTCAGCGTGACCTCATCACAGCTGTCTGGCTCCTGATGAATAATGAACACGTGAAGGGATTGTAACAATTTCACGCTAAATATTATCAGATGTACCAAACCTAACAGTAATTATCGCGTCACCACTTTTTATCTTTAGGCCTAGAGGTGTGGTAATAAAAGGGTTGGATATTTTATGTCTGAAAAGGGTAAAAGAGTATTATTTTTTGTAAAGCTGAGTAATTTTCAAAAGCTCACCTGTTGTAGTACCAGCCAAGTCAACTCTTTATGGTCCGATGTATTACAATCTATTAAATTAAAACTATTTAAAGCATCTCATTTCTCATTTAATTCAGAACAAAAAATTACTAACTTCTTTAACCTGACATGAATAAGAGTTTGGAGCTTTGATTTTTGATTCTGCTGAAATCTGTGCTGTTTTTTTTTTCCCCTCACTTTTTTACATGTAAATTGCCATATTTGTTTAGACATGTGCGGGCCATTTGAGTTAATTTGCCCGCCTCGGCGATAGGATGTTTCCAGACCCACTCATGTTCGTAGAGTTTTGTCAAAGTGTGTGGTTCTGTAACTATAAGGTATTAATGCAGCTCCCAGAAGTTATTTCTGCTCAAACAAAACTTTACATATTTACTTTAGTCGGGTGTCCATGTTAAACCGGTTTTTCTTTTGTATTCACAGGGGACCGATAATGGCTGTGAACGTTTACTCCACCTCTGTGACCAGTGAAAACCTGAGCCGCCATGACATGCTGGAGTGGATCAACACATCTCTGCAGATGAACTTAACCAAGATAGAACAGCTGTGCACAGGTAACTACTCTTATTTTAAGCTTTCTAACATGTTATAAGGTTCCCTCATCAAAAACATGCCTGAAGAGGTTTTTCATGCAATGTGACAAACCTGATTCAGTGTGCAGTAGTTTGATTAGCGGGATGCATCCTGATTGTGTTGTGATAGCGCTCTGAAGGGGGAGTGACTTGGCGCTGAGAGCAAAGATACTGTATCTGTGTGATTAGTTTTGGCATTGAACATTGAACATTTGTCGTCCCTCTCTCTGTAACTGCTGCTGTGAGCCTCATTATTTTGGTCTTAAAATGTTTGTATTAACCCACTCTACCTGGTTCTGGTGTTTTTTTATTTTTTTATTTATTTTGCAATTTTTTCCTTAAATCAATTCCTATTCCAGTCTGTGGTTCTTATTGATATGGGCAAATATCAGTTATCAGCCACCGCAGCAGGACAAATATTGGTAACGGTATCAGTTCAAAAATACAATATGGGACCAATCCTAGAAAAGAACGTCTGTGGTATGTTCCACTCTGCTCAGTAAAATGAACTGAGCCCATGAGAAATGTTGCAGGGCTGTGTGATATTCATTGTGATCTGGACAAAACCAGTGACGTGATCGTTTGTGAACAGGGGACAGGAAAGTGCCGTCATTTTGAAATCCATCAGAAATGTGCTAAAACATGCCTCTATATGACTTACCACTCAGCGTCAGCATCCGTCTGAAGCTTTCGAACTTTAGTTGACTTGTTTTTCACATATAAAATTTGCACCTCTTTTGTTAAAATCAAACTCCTAAACTGGACTATGAAAGCTCGTTTTGATCACAGGCTCCTGAAAATGTGTTGTGTAAATCCATTTTGTATTTTTTGCGAACTTTAAACTATTTTTGACAGTCTTTGCTGATGTGTGCATTGTGTCACCAGGGTAATCATAAGTAGATCTATGTTTTTAAGTATTTCCAGACCTCTGCTAACTTGTCTTGTCTGATCTTAGGTGCTGCCTATTGCCAATTCATGGACATGCTGTTCGAGAACTGTTTGCCTTTGAAAAAAGTCAAATTCGCCGCCAAACTGGAGCACGAGTACATCCACAACTTCAAACTTTTGCAGGTTGCCTTTAAAAAGTGCGGGGTAGACAAGGTAAACAGCACTATGATCACAATATCCACTTAGCTGATAATTGTGCACACAGTCTGATTGGTTCAGGCAGATAGAACATTATAACTATAAAATGACACAGTTTTGATAAAAATGACAGAACTGTTGAGTTGTGCTCTCATTTTGTTACTATTTGTATGTGTTCTATAGAGTCATGATTTGTATTGTATTTCCCAATAGCACGTAAGAATTTTTGGTCACGTGAAAATAAAGTGAAGTGTGCCCGTGGGGAAGAACTTTAATACTAATGGGACGATTTGTATATTTTGACGTGTAATTTTTTTTTTCTTTTTACTTTTTACTCTTCATTTAAATGATTCGAAGTCCTGTCCCTTTCTTCGTCTCTTCCCTCAGAACATCCCGGTGGACAAACTGGTGAAGGGCAAGTTCCAGGACAACTTTGAGTTTGTGCAGTGGTTCAAGAAGTTCTTCGACGCCAACTACAGTGGAAGCGAATACGACGCCATCGCTGCGCGCCAAGGCCAGGACTCTGTCTCCGTCCCGACCCCCGCACCCACACAGAACAAGCCCGTCAAAAAGGCCCTCAGTCAAGGTACGCTCTTCTGCTTTTCTGTTCAGCTGTTTAAATTACAGGCAAGTGACATCCTATTGCATACAGGCTCAGGGAATGTGCAGTCAATACAAAACATAGGTCAAAGGTCAAAGTTAGCTTTAGTGCCAATTTCTTCACATGTACCAGACATACAGAAGGTTTGAAATTACATTGCTCTCTGTCCTAGGTGTAGACAAGACAGGACAAACATTTATGTGCACAGACACAACAAATAACATCATCTCTAACCACTACAGTAACCATAAATAAATAAAGCTAAACACTAGTGTACAGTACAGTGCAGTTCAAGTCAGATCAAGTATTAGCAACAGTAAGATGGTGTAGTGCAGAGAACAAGGCGGTTTCTTATGTGGCTCTAGTGCCAAAGTCATACGGTGTGGAACTGGAACGGAGGCTCCTGTACTTCCTCCCGGAAAGCAGGAGACTGAACAGATTGTGTGCGGGGTGAACTGCATCACTCACAATTGTGATGGTTTTGCGGGTGAGGCGGGTGGCGCTGGTAGCTCTTCGTGGTCAGTGCAGTTTCTACCTCACACAGTGATGCAGCTGGAAAAGATGCTCTCAGTGGTTCCTCTGAGGTCAAGGGAATGTGTAATTATTATTAGAATAAAAAACTGTTAAGGGCTTACCTGTAAAGTGACTTAAAGCTCCTGTTGGTGTATCACTCTTATTTATGTTCTACGGTGGAGGTCTGTTTGAGTTTTTGTTGCTGTGTTGTCTTTGTGTTTTAATCTCTGTCCCAAGACAAATTTCACCCCTGGGAGACAGTAAAGGATTGTTTTATCTTAACCGTGGCTCTGGGATTTCTCCATTTGGAAGGTTAATGTTGGTTTCATGTCTTAGGTGCTCCCAGACCGCCTGTTGCCAAAGTAGCCCCCAAAATGGTTTCCCCCGGGTCCAAAAAACCAACGGCAGAATCACAAGAACAGCAGGAATTACTGAATCAGGTCAGTACATGGAAACTGGGAGAGAAAAATCACACATCTAATTGCCATCAGAAAAAAAAATCATTGTTGTTGTTATTGTTTTTCCTATATATATTTTCTATTTATTCATTCAGTTTATTTAATTTTTTATTTTTTAAATATATTTTATTTTAATAGTGTGTAATCAGAACAAAGCTTTTTTTTATTTGAATAGATTTAATGTTATTCAGATTACATTTTTATTTTGTTATTCACTGATTTTTTTTTTTCATTCATTTATTAATTCATTTTTATTATGATTATTAATAATTTATTATTTTTCTTGCTCTTTTTACCCTTGTGTCGTCCTACTCTGTATGCCCAACAAAATACTGTGCCATCTTACAGAAAAATCGTATAGTTTAGGCATCTACAAACATGTTCCGAAATGCACAGGATTCTTGTATTTTATCTGGTCGTATTTCAGTCTTATTTCAAATGTTGATGCTCCTGGACTCAAGAAAAATCTGCCGGATATGTTGTTTTTGGTGAATATAGTATTTTGAAAAGAATAAATGGTAGCATAATGATCTAAAACATGTTACGTGTCAACGGTTTATCCATAGAAGTAAACTGCCCCCTCTTTAAAATTTTAGTAAATTTTCCAGTGGAGGGTTATTCCTTTGTCTTGAATGTTTAAACCTTTCTGTCTTCATGGAGACCAAACCAGACCAAGTTACAGGTCAGATCTGTGGAGAGGAGACCCCACTCGCAGTCAGAATGCCTGTTTTTCTGGGCATTTTTGAGCTATAAAACCACCTGTAACTGAATAAATGAAAGGTAGTTCTTTTTGTTTTTTATTTGAAACTCGAATCACATTGGGTTAGGGTCAGTTATTTCCTCACTTCCTTCTTCTTGATTCCTCTCCTTGATCCTCCATTTTTCAGATGTCAATCAAATGTGTCATATTAAGGTAACTAAGGAATGAAGGCGTAAACCTGAGGGAAACTTCAGGAGCAAACACCAGATGAAAGAATCAAACTTTGTTGTTCTCAGTGAGGAGTTTATATCCTCTTTCCTCGCTGTGTCTCCTCTGTGGGCAGAACTTCCTCATCCATTTCCTGCAGAATTGAGGAGAGGAATCAAGGAGAAGGAAGCGAGAAAAGAAAAATGAGACGTGACCCTGGTCACTCACTTGTGGAACTGAAAGTCCACGACCAGGATTTTGACTCGTGGTTTATGTTTAGTCTGAACCATCTCCTGTCCTCATGAAACAGGCTGTGACGATACTTTTTCCTTTTCTAGGTGAGTGAACTCAAAGCAACCATCGCCGACATGGAGAAGGAGAGAGACTTTTACTTTAATAAACTGAGGAGCATCGAGATGCTGTGTCAGGAGCAGGGAGAGGACGACCCCACGCTGAGGCAGATCGTCGAAATCCTCTACGCCACAGACGTAAGTGCACTGTTAAACAATAGCCTAGATTCACACGTGGACATACAATAGAAAGTGTGTGTGGAGCAGTGTTCAAAACAAAGAGTAAACTTCTTTTTGGAGAATCTAAACTGATCATACAAGAGCACAGGGATGGGACGAGACACAATTTTCACAAGACGAGATGCACCGTGAGACTGGGTCTGTGAGAACGAGGCAAGATGAGATTTTGACATAATTTGAAATAAATAATTAGGATGTAACACGATCTTGTGCCACAATATTATGCACACAGAAAAATGATCTTGTGAAATTTTTTTCCCAAATGTTCACATTTGGATTGGACAAAAAAGGGTCACGTGTTTGTGAGTTACATCTTACAGTTCCAAAAAGCTAGAATAGAAACACAGCTCTGCGACCTCCAGAGGTAAACGGAGCCCCGCTTCCTCTTCTGTGTAGCTGTCGTCAGACTCAGCATCAGTTCCACTTAGAATTATTCCGGCCTTTCTGAATCCTGACAGGATGGTTTCGGTTGTCACTGAAGTTATTTACTGTATTTTCTGCACTATAGGGCGCTCTGGATTATAAGAAGCACTGTCATTATATGGTCTATTTTCTAACTTTTTTCACAAATAAACCGCACCGGACTTTAAAGGAAACACAACTGTTGGATGGGTTGGTGGGACTTTGTATGGCGTGTTCATGGTGACTCTGGGCTTTGTTCAGTTGTGGAGTGTAGGGAGGGTGCTGTCTGGGACCGCTGGATTGTCGGCGTGTTCGTGGTGACTCAGTTGTGTCTAGAAGTGGCACATTGCACTCGCTTTTTCAGTTCGTTCTTCTGTTCCGTTCCTCGTCGGCGTGGAGTGATGAGTGTGGCTGTGGGTGTTTTTCGCTGTGCGGTCGCTGTGCTCCATGTGTGTTTGCGTGTTCTGTGGGTGGTGCAGCTTTGTAGTTTACTGAAGTTGTGCTGGGACACCCGAGTGGATTTGTGTATAGGGTGCTCTGGATTGTGGTGCGCGGCCGTTATTTGATAGGGTTAGAGGCTTAAGAGCGTGTCTAATAGCCCGCAAAAAATGGTAAGTGTTAAATTTTCAGTGGTACAGAAGAAATGGTGCGATCGACTGGAATGATGCAGACAGGACAGAGGCTGTTTCTCTCTTTCAGGAGACATGCGCAGTAGAGCCAAGTGACAGTGGTACAGGAGGAACATTAGCAGCAGATACTGACACTAGAGATGCGCGGATTGCGGTTGCAACCGCGGTATCCGCGGTTAATCCGCGGGTCGGGCGGATGAGGTGACGAAAAATTATATTTTAATTAAATTCGGGCGGGTGGCGGTTTAACTACTAAAAAAAAAAAAAAAAAAGTTCTTGTTAGTATTGTTACCTACATCTGAAAAGACGAGTCTCATTGTCTATGCTTGTAGTATGAAGTGTACGTCATATCCTTAATTAGCCTATTTGACCTCGTTTTTATGTTCTGAAGGTTCAGGTTGTGTCGGGTTATTGATGCCTAAGGTTTACGAGGCACATATTATATGCAGTTTATTTTATTATTTCTAATTTATTTCAGCTGTTTGCCAACACATAAGTGGCTATAGGGACATATTTATTTAGTTATGCTTTTTTTTGTTGTTTCGATATCAGATATATTTTAAAACACGCAGACATTATAGCGTAGACTGCCACTCGGGGTATTTAAAACTTAAAGAAAGACCGATGGAGTGAGGCGATGACTTTGAAATATAATCGGGCAATGGCAGAATGTTCAGAATGTAACAACATCCAACACGAAGGCAAGAAGCTTCAAAAATAGTCTAGTCGGAAAACGTTGTCAATTAATTAGCTGCGCAAGAAAACCAGGTAAGTTTGGGGTTGTTACGGACAATTAAGAATGCGAACATACACGCTGAGCGAATTTTGGAATGAATGAGCTATAGAGTTTGAATTTTTATCGAGGCTGCTTAGTTTGTTTGCTGTATGATTGTTCTAAAATCTAAAATCAATCGGCGGATGGCGGGCGGGTGCGGTTTTGAAAACCTTCGGTGCAAAATGGACAGCGGGCGGATGATGAGTTTTGTGTCGCGGTTGCGGATGAAAAAATAGCCCATCCGCGCATCTCTAACTGACACACAAGACTAGAGCGCCCTCTCGTGGCTGTCAGTGTGATTTTTAATATATTTTAATATATAAGTCGCACCAGAGTATAAGTCACAGGAAGCACCCAAACCATGAAAAGTGTGACTTATAGTCTGAAAAATATGGTAATGCTATATCTGTCCAGCCAGTATAATTTAAATGTGCAACTTTATTTAACACACAGCCAATTTCAGAGTGCTAATATTAAAACACACGACTAAAATGACAAAACGATAAACAGTATAAGATCAAAATAAATAATGCCAACATTTCAAAGTGTCAAAGGCCAAACTGTCTTAAAAACATGAAAAACTGTAAAAGTAACAACTTCTGATTTGCAATGCTACATTATAAATATATTAATGTTTATCTTTCTGTGTCCAGGAGGGTTTCGTCATACCTGGAGCCGACGATCAGGAAGAGCCAGAGCCGGAGGAGTTTTAATTGTAAAAACCCGGTATCAGTTTTTTTACTCTCACCTCAAGTTCTCTTAAGTAAAGACTGTCCCAACGCAATTCAAAAATCCACTCCCGACTAGCGGCCCCAAAACGTCCGCCTGACATACTTCACTCACCTGCCTTCATTTGGAGTTACATTCTCCTTTTACAATCGTACAATACAAGTCTGTTTTTGATTATTATTTTTTTTCAATCGCAAACACTGTGGACGGGGTGGCGGACTCCGGTGTGGTAATGCGTTTAATTCTGTGTGTGTGCGTGTGCGTGTGTGACTGACTGGATTTGTCCCAAGAGAAAAAAAAAGAAAAAAAAAAGTCAAATTGTTTCTCAGCAGAAGTTCATGTTTTGGAAAAGCTGCAGCTGCTGGCATCCCATTCATTCCCTGATGAAATCTGGTTCGTGTAATTTTATACCAGCAGTCAGTTGGAATCGGTTTTAATTATTTAAGACTTGGCAACAATTTCATTCATATTCAAGCTGCGTTTATGCCATTTTTGAATGCGAAAAACTGTACCTCAGTATTTGATTTCCATATACTTTTCTGTCTGAGGGAGGACCTACCACCGTCTCCATGGAGAGTGACTAGAATGTTCCACAGTGTGTCATTAATCTTATCTAGCAGGTCAAGGGTATAAGTTGGGACTGTAGAGCGGCGAGGCTGCTCATGGTAAGAATCAAATACTGTTTTTTGCAATAAAAAGCAATGAATAAATGCAAAATGGATGGGTTTAAAGTGGGGATGCACCGATGCAAAACTGGTATCAGATATCGGGCCTGATATTGAACATTTTGGTGGATTCTGGTGTATAAATTGGTGTAATACAACGGTTGACTGGCCAAAAACGTCTCATAACATTAAACTTGTATTTTTACAAAACTGTAGTTACAAAAGCAAGCCTTTAATAATTATATAGTATCTTTCACAAATAAAAAAGTAAATAAATCACACAGTGCTTTACAGTGCAATGTAACAAACCAAAACAACATTTACAAGAACGGAGGAATTACACAACTTGACTAAAAAGCAAGTGTCTTGAGCAGCTTTTTAAAAGAGTCTATAGCAAGGATCTCCAACCTTTTACATGCTTTGAGTTAATTTTAGAAAACGAAAATGCCGGAGAGCTGCAAATTTTTAGTGATTGCTAGAAATTAAGTGGATATAAGAGGGAAAGCATTAGATGTTGTACAGTTAGATGCCTTTAAAACATTAAACCGTTATCCATTTATTAGTGCAGTGGTAATAATTAATAAAATTTGAGTTATTCAGTATAATATGCAATTCAGAAATCCTTTAGTGAGCTACTTATAACGGGGTGGAGAGCTACAGACGGCGTCACAGAGGGCCAGGGGGCAGGAGGTTACATAATTTTAGGGCCACAACCTGAAAGCACACGTCCCCCCGAGTTTTAAATCGGGTTTTTGGGACCATCAAGAGGCCCTGACCACAAGACCGGAGGACTAGAGGTTGCAACCTGATGTACTTTGTCCATTTAAAACTGTGCAAGTTAAAACTTACAAAAAGTTAGAACTTAACAAAACAAATAAAACAAAAGATAAAATTGGTGTAACGTTTGTTCACCTGTTTGCTCCTGTTAAAGCAAAAACAACAAAACAACATTTGGATCTTTTTAGTTTTGTTTACCATAAACAGTTTGCGTCTAAATGAAATATCGTCATCGTTGACGGAACAGAAAAAGCTGGATCGGTTCATCCCTAGTTTAATGCCATACTGTGGAACATTCTAAAGAAATTACACCTCCGTGGAGACAAACAGTTAGCAGACCTCAACAGAACAGAATATTTACATACTGGTAGTTACAAGTCTGATTCACACACTGATGGTAGTTGTCGTTTTTTAGCAGTGTATTCACTGCCTGATTTTCGTCAAACTCGCACTTAAGTGAAATTGAAAATGAAAGCTTTAGTCTGAGGTGGGTGATTCTTCTTTTAAGGCGTTTGCACTGTCTACACCAGTGGTCCTTAATACTCGCCAATGAACCGAGCTCTGCGGTACACTGTGATCTTTGCCTTGTTCAAACCTAATACTGATGTCCCATTCTCAGCTGTTTACTGCCTTTTGAACAATTTGAAAGTTTCTCTATTAAAAAATGTTATGGACTTTTAGCAGTAAAATATGTTCAGGTGTACACAGCTCTTCTGCAATGGCCTTATTCATAACCTGTTTTCTCTTTTTATTCTATATACTTTGATATTTTGGGCAAATGTTTGTATTGTAACTTTAAAATATGTTAAAATAAACAAGTATTTGGACAAGTGTCATTTTCTTTTTAAATATGTATTACCAAAATTTACACATTTGATATAAAATTGCAGGTGGCTTTAGTTAACTTAGAAAAAGAAAACATTACAATTCTACATTTTTTCAGTTAATTATTTACATCATAACTTCATCATAACACTTTAAACCCTGAAAGCTCTTATATTACGTAAAATTTACTTGCTGTATTACCACATGACATCACAAGGTGGTAGAAAGAACTCAGTCTAAATGTGCAGGGTTTGTGTTTTAAATATGTGTAAATGAAACCAAACGCAACTCCAGGTCTGTTTGTGACAAGGAAACAACAGAAAATAGAGTAAAACTGAGACACAGACACAGTAGGCGATAGAAAAATATCTTAAATTTTGAGACATGAGTTTGAAACTTGTAATTCACTCACAAAATGTAAGGAAAAAAATGTATTACAACTTTTTGATCGTCTAATGTTTCATGCTTATGTTTTTATGTTTAAAATTGGCCAAAATTGACACTTTTTGGGACATTCAAAACAAATTTGAAAAGACCAGGTTTAAATTTCTAGCTTCTTTTTGTTGTCATATTAAATACCGAAATCCCCTCTGTATATTTTTAGTATCTTTAGAGTCTGAGTGACCTGAATATGCCTAAAGATTGTAATTTCACCGCATTTTCTGAGCCAAAACTTTAATAAGATTTGGAATATAATATAAAACAATCCTCCGCTGTAGATTTTGTCAAAATCTTGTTGCATACCTTAAACTTTCGTCGATTTAAGCGCCACTTTTAGGACGCTGCTTTATTAAACTTTTCACATGTGGAACAAAACCCATTAGTACTATAATTGTCCAGCAGATGGCGCCAAAGTCCAAGCACCTGCAGTAATGTTGCTTCTTTTGTTAACACGTTTGTCAACCTATTATATAATTCATTATTCCTTTGTATTGTCATATATTGCCTTTATTATTGTTACCGGCCATGTGAAGCACTTAAGTCAGGTCAAGTTAAATGTACTATAAACCGGAAATTAATGGAACTGATAAATAATAATTATTATTTAGTTATTATTACTCTGTCTACATCAGTGTTTCCCAAACTTTTTTCCTGGGGACCAATATTTTAAAGTCACAAACCTTCACAACCCAAGTCAATAGACATTATATGTACATCAGAAAATAAAGGTGGATTTGACCATTATTGAACATTAATGAGGATATTTTGTTGTTGACTGAGTGATCATAATTAGTAATTAGTATTACTCAAGTTTTAAACTGTGAGGAAAAGTAATTGAACCAGCAATAAAAGGATCCATAAGTCGCCTATTTGGACATTAAATGTAACCCAAATTCATTTTCTTTTCAACATTCAATTGAACCAGCAACACTGGACCAAAATAGTCAATACAATAATTATGTCTCATGTGTCATAACTGTATATTGCAAACCTACATAAGATCATGACAAGGCGACCCCCAAAAAAATCTCTTGCGACCCAATCTTTGGGAAACACTGGTCTACATCTCTAAAACTCAATAATACTAATGTATAAGTTTAATATAATGCTTTTCTGAACACTCAACAACTCTTTTCAGAGCATTATTTATTCACTCCATACCCAGTGGTGGTAACCTACTATCGTAGCCACAGCTGCCCTAGGTCAGATGAACAGAAGCAATGCTGCCAATCTGCGCCATCAGCCCCTCTGACCACCTCCTAGTGTTGTGGCAGTGAATAGACCTCGACGCAGATCCATAAATCAAAAATGATGGCGGCAGAGTGTGATGAGTCGAAGCAGAACTATAACTGGGCCTTAACAACGGGCTCAGACTTGAACTTTAACAGCCACATCAAATCAATAACATCTGCAGCTTTTTACCATCTAAAAAACATCGCAAAAATCAAAGGTTTACTGTCTAAAGCAGATTTGAAGAGACTTATCCATGCGTTTGTCCCCAGCAGATTAGACTGTAATTGTCTGCTCACTGGCCTCTCCAGACGAGCTGTGAGACGCTGCAGAACATCCAGAACGCTGCAGATTGGGTCCTTAATCGAACTAATAAGTACGAGCACATACGTCCTGTGCTCAGGTCTGTGGCTCAGAGACTTTAAAGTGGCTCTGGTTGTACAAGTCTCTCCACGGCTGAGCACCAAAGTCCATCTGTGACATGTTAGTGCCACACGAACCATCTGCACTCTGAGGAGCTCAGGGACCGGCCTCCTGCTGGTGCCCAGAGTCAGGACCAAACACAAGGAGTCAGAGTTTCAGGTTCATGCAGCTAAAACCTGGAACAGTCTTCCTGAACATGTGAGACAGACTCTAGTTTGACTGTTTAAATCCAGGCTCAAGATGGTTCTATTTAGCTCCATGTGACTGAAAGGTTTTCATTCCGCACTCTTCTCTCTCATTTAATGTCTTTCTCATTTGTTATTTTATGATGATTATTTATGTTTTGATTTTCTTGTATTGTGATTTTTTATGTATTTCTTATTGTGTAAAGCACTTTGAATTACTTTGTGTATGAATTGTGCTATACAAATAAACTTGTCTTGCCCTGTGTGTAAAATAAGTGTTTTTCTGTGAAACATGCAGCTGTTTACAGTCGTTTGTCCTTAAATTCTCGTCTGGCTTCAGCCAAACCTCCAACTGCCTCCTGCAGGAACAGGACACGAGAACAGGACATGAGGCTCTGAGCCTGGGAACGTGTCACCTGAGCTTTACCAGGAATTATAAAGACTATTGTTTATTCTGTGGGGACACAGCGTATTTACTTAACTCTCAGTGTACTGGTGTATATATAGATATTTGTTAATCATTTCAGAAAGAGTGGCAACCCTTTATTGATTTTTTACTGTCTGTGTATGTGAGAAGCAGCTCCTAATTCATCTCAGTAAGCTGTTACTGTCTTTGTTTTCACTTTTGTGTGATTCATTGTCATTTTTTTAAACACACAAAATATTGAGCTCACTTTCAATAGTTTTCTCTCAAACTTTTGATCAGTCATCACCTCAATTCACCTCCAAAAAATGCAATTTGAAACCTCACATTGTCCAACTGCAAAGAAAATTGGTGTATGGGTAAATCATAGCGAAGAAAACCAAGATCTCAAATTTTTGCATGATTGGAGCAACGGTTTCCGAGATACTGCAATTTCATTTTTTCACTTTTTTGTGTGGTCGCTGAATTTCAAATTGCATTTACTCATCAACTACTGGTCCGATATCAAAAATGATGGTGTCCCTGGAAAGGAGAAATCATAAGGAACCCAAATAAAAAAGTCACATTTTTGCATTTGAGTACTTTTGAGATGAATGACCTTTTGACTTGTATTTTGACCTTGAAATTGACAATAAGGGACACGCCCGACTTCAGTGACACCAGTAGAAAAAAATGTAGCTCTATATGTCTACTACAACTTCTAAAAAAAATCTGGAGGGGTTTTATCTCACTGGCTGAACTGAGGTAATACAGGAAGTGTTCCACTGTGTTTTTAAACTCCATACACCCTCACTAGAATAATTTGGATGATTTCAGTTCTGGAATTGCCAATCTACACAAAACAAAAGCTAAAAGACACACTGTTAACCTGAAAACTACCACTTCATGACATCATAAGATGAAACTGCATTTTGAGATTTAGAGATGCAGACAGACTAATAATGCAGGATTAGTCAAACATGTGTGAATGAAACAAAACACAACTCCAGGTAAGTTTTTTATGAGGTAACAACATTATAACACGGCTAAAAACTCAGAAGAATCAATTTCACGTAATATGAGGCGTTTACGTTTTCACAGTTGTAATAAAAACGCTTGCATCATAAATCAATAGAAAGTATCACTAAAAAATAGAGACACAAATAAAAAAGACGTTCAAAAATACACACAAAAATATACAAATAAAAAAACTGCAATTAAAACAAAATTCAGCACAAATCTTTATAAAAATCACTACATTTGAAGATCTCAGAATATGCGCAAAATATTTTTATTTTTTACACTTTAAGTACATTTAAAAACACATTGTTCACCCGTACATTACACACTTGAGATGGTTTTTAAAGTACTGTAGTTGAAATTTGAAGGCCTCAGATGTTTTTTCCGGATTCCAAAACTTTTTATACAGTTTTGTGTTTGTGTTTCGCTGGTGTCCGACGTACATGTCACTACAGGTGGTCACCATCAGGGAGCCCAGTCCATCCATGAACCACTCTAACAGTAACAGAGACACAAATGAACATATATTGAACGGATATTGTACTGGTTATGAATAGTGATGTCGAGATGAAGCCCCATGAAACACTGAAGCCTTCCATCTATTTGCTCGACTCGTGAGCCGAAGCTTCAAGGTGCTTCATTTGCTCCACTGCGCCATCAAGTGGCCAAAAAATGTATAACAGGCAGATTAATAATAGAACAATCAACATGATCATCGTGGTTCTGATGGAAAGATTTATACTGAACAAATGAACGATTAAATATTTGAATGTCTGTGATTTCAACATAAATTGTGAATTTATTAACATGGAGTCTGTGTTCATGATTTAATGGTCGGGTTAAAAGAAAAAGTAGACACTTCACCTGATTTTAAAATTTTTTTTTACAAGAAATATATTAAACCAGGGGAAACACTGTGTTGTCAAATTTAGGTATTTAGTAATATTGTTTATTTAATGACGTCATTATTACTATATACTTTATTAGGAGATATCAGCTCAAAATGGTCCCAAACAGGAGAAAATATTATTTTTCTTGCTGGCTCCATCGCAAAAAAAGAATCTCAAATAGAATGTACCAAACTCGTAATAACCCAAAACCATAAAATCTGAGGGGGAATCTGTTGCGTTTCTTTGGCCCTTATGTTTTGAATCACACGCCAAATCCACGAACAACTTCCTGAACCAGTTACATAGACACATCAAGAATCTCGGACTTCTGGTCATTCCGCAATGCATACTGGGAAGGATTTTCTGAAAAACTGAGCATCAAACCGTCATGTTTGATTTTACAGTGGGATGAG